CAATGGATGACCGTGGGCCTAGGCACTCTGGGAGCACATTAGAATCTCGTGGGGGAGCTTTCTAAAGATCCCCACACAGACGGATCACATGGGAACGGCTGGGCCCTACCCCAGCCCCGAGGGGCAAGGGCCGCCGAGGGTGAGACACTCGGAGAGGTTACTCGAGACTCACCCTTCACTCTCTTTGAGTTCCACTCCTTTGGGGTTGTTTCATCAGTTTACATTTCGGTTCATTCCTGCCAATGACCTTTAGGGAACTCTCTCCGAGGAGAATTCTATTTTCTTTGTTTTGCAGTCTTCCCCCAAACCTAGATAATTCTGATCACGTTACATGGCAAATGAAAGATTTACGGCTGTGTCTTCTGTAGGAACAGAGTTTATGCCAAATGCCTTGCATACGCCTCCACTGAAAGTAGATACCCCGTATGGAGTTTCTCTCTGGCTAAACTTCTCAGTCAGCAGTAGTCAAACACTGGGTCTCTTTCTCTCTCCTCCTTCCTCGCCCCAGCACATGCACATACAATGCAGGTACCAGCTCAGCACATTTTAGTTTGAGTCTCAACCAGTGGACTTATGAAAAGTTGACCTCTTTCCCTGGCTGTGAACAGAACCAAAGCATGCGATGTGTCGGGATAATTTCAACAGTGATCCCCCGCCAACCCCACCTCACTTCACCTGGAACTGCGCATACCAAAGCAGATCAGAGTAGACTCCTTTGCTGTCCACTATCAGTAACTGGTTACTTTTTCTCCTTCTGCACTCCGGAGGCAGCCTGGCTCCCGGGGATCTAAGAACATTCACAGATAACCAGGTAGTTGACGGCAGAAGCAAACGTACAGTGAAGTCAGCCTGACAGCGTCAGTGTTCTGTCACCCAGTTCTCGGAGGACCTGAGCTGGTGTGGACTCACCCAGTGGCTGTCTGAGGAACACTTAGACGCACCACACATACTGAGTGACAGGCACTGAGTGACAGGCAGGGACCTTCTTTGCACTAACTACAGAATCAGTCCTTATTTTATTCCAGCCCATGCCAAGTGAAATCAATTCCCATGTCACAGTCAAGGGACCCTCTTTGTGAAAGTGCTCCCTCCCCAAATCTCATTTTGCAAAATGATCCTGGATGCTTCCCTTTGCATCTTTGAAGTAACATCCGGGGGATACCATTGGAGCTGGGACATAATGCGGACCAGAGGAAAGAATGCCTTTACTCATGCTTTGTTACTGCTGTTGGCTCATCCGAACACATCAAACACATAGGTTGATTTTGCTTTATGTAGTATGTGCTCCTGGATAATTGTCAGACTACTCAAGGAAAGATATTTGTGCATGATGAAGACAAAATGTGCACCTAGATGTTTAAATTCGGATTCTGCTGCCTACTCGTGAATGACCTCATTGGGGTGGATGTTTCTTCACCTTTGGGATCCTCCTTATCTTCATTTGAAAATTAGGAATCTTCTTCATGGAGCTGATGGGATCATTAAGATAGACCAGCCATTTTCAGACTTTTTGGTCTTGGATCCTTCTCTGTACTCTTAAAATTTGAGAGTGCCAAAGAGCTTTTGCTCACATGGGTTATATTTATCAATATTTACCATATTTGAAATGAAAACTGAGAAAAGTATGTCCTTCATTTAGATAACAACCATTACTGTTGACAGCTTTTGAGAACTATTTTCCAAAACAAAAGAATTAGTGAATAGTGGTATTGTTTTACAATTTTGCAAATCTCTTTAATGTCTAGATTTCCAGAAGACAGCTGGATTTACAAATATGCTTCCGAATGCAGTCTGGGGCATTACGTAGTTTGGGCTGAAGTGTACGGAGAGAGTCCGCCCTCAGTTAGATATGTAATTGGAAAGGCAGGGGTATTTTAATAGCCTTATCAGTTAATTGTGGCTTTCCTTGATTCAGCACCAAAACTCAGCTGGTGGTATTATCTCAGGGGTTAGTTGTCGTGTGCATCCTGAAGCCAAGTCTGTTAACTGTATGCACTCTGCCACATTAAAATCCCCTCGTCTGTCTGGTACTTTGAATGACTCTGGGGTGTGCCTAAACATCAGACACTGGACATTTAGAAAATATTGGTTCACGAAAGTAGACAGCCCTCCTAAAAGGTGACTCACTTCATGAAACCAGATGGAAGCAGTCACAACTGTAATCTCATCAGGTCAGAGGCCGTCAAGCTCAGGATGGCAGACACATGTTTTCCAAAATTCTAGTTTCTGCTGGAAAGCCCCATTTTTATCAGCAGCAACAAATATTGCCAATTGTCTTCCTGGAAGTGATAGGCTCACTTCATTCATTTAAATAGCAGATCTTCCAGATACTCAAGTTTGAGTAACCACAGTTGGTCTAAAGTTGTTCTTTCTAGAAAAAAAAATGCAAGAAAAAGCAGCCCATCCTGTTTGCAACTGCAGGGATCCCACAGGCTTTTCCCGGAGGCAGCCATCGTGCTGTGCGTTCTGCTGGTCCCCTAACAGCATATCTCAAAGATACATAGTGGAGAGTCGAGATGGGATAAAATTAATATTGTTACTGCTTCCTCCAGGGACATCCTGAGGGAAGCTGGCTTTGCCCCCTTTGCTCTGGGAGCGTGAAGTGGAGACGACAATGACCCCTGGGGTAGTTTGGTGCCGCTGATTCGATTTGTACCGAGACCCAGGTCAAGGCTGTAGTATTATTTCAAAAATGGTTTTGACCCCCCCAGCTCCCTGAAAGGGTGTCTGGGACCCCAGAGGTCTGCAGACCACAATTGGAGGACCGTTGGGATCCTTAGTGGAAGTGACGTACCTTATTGTCGACACGTAAAAGTTAGCCTTTTCCTTTGTGGTTTGTGGCTGTGGACGTGGTGACTGGATGTGCTGAGAAGCCTGGCCTTTGGGCAAGTTATGATTTCGATGGCACCCCGTGGAGTTCCTCCCTTGGTCACCAGAGCCCCACTGGCTTTTCCCTCCCTGGGATGGTACCTTGAAGCTGCAAGAAGCTCAGAGTCAGAGACTGCAGCTCTTCTAGCCTGCAAACAAGGCTTGTTTCGTGTTAATGTTACTGCTGGCTCTGTAAAACCTATGGAATCCTTGATTTCTGTACGGCATAGAGTTCATAAAGATATTTTGTGATAATTTCCTAATCTTTCCTTTCAGGGCATTTTCAGAGGCTCTTCTGCAGCTTTGGGTTCAGGAGCCCTTGAAATTTGGCAGAATTTTCCGTTGTTTCCTGGGGGTGGGCAGAAGGCGGGTTGGTGGGAAGAGTGAGCAGCTCCAGTCAAACTTACAGAGATCCTGGGGCCCCTCCCTCGCGTAAACGAACACTAACAAATGACTTCGGACATTTTTACGGGGTGGCATCGACCCGCCCCTTCTCCATTTGCAAGCACACTTCTTTTTGGGAAGAACTTTGGCAGTTCCCTCCCTGGCCTTGCCCGTCTTTCCTCTCCCTCCCCTCGGCATTTCTTCAGGGCCCTCATCACCGAGCACTTGCTTACCTGCCCCTTTGGGGCTGTTTCTAAGGGCGCCTCTGTCCTCTGTCCCTAGTTGGAAAGTGCAGGTGAGCAAGGAACACGCGTCTCATTGGCTTTACATTCCCAGGAGCAAAGTCAGAGGTTGGAACTCTTCAGTTAGCGCCTTGGGGGTATTTCAGGCCAGAGAATGAATACACCCGGCTGCATCCGTGGGTGGGTTCCTTTGGGAACTGTTGAGACGTGCGAACCCGGAACGTTTATTTATGCCCCGGCCGCAAGATGTGCTTTCCTCCCACCGGTTCCTCGGGCAGCTCCTCGGAATCCAAGTGCTGTCACGAAAACGGCGAGGCGGCCCATTCTGTGCCAACAGTAGCATTTTTGGCACGCGTTCTGGATTCCGTGGGCGTAGTGTGGGGACTACCACTGGCTGACAAGGACCGAAGGAAGCTTCTGCAGTGTGATTCTGTGCACATGCTAAAACACCAGCTCCCCCGGGGGCTGCAGGGAGGGGGCGACGAGGTGGCTCTGCTCAGCGCGGCTCCCCTGGCCGTGGCAGGAGGCCCGCATGGTGTAGGCAGAGCCACAGGTCAGCAAGCCGGCTTCAGGGCCGTGCCTGAGAATTAGACAGGACGCTCCACAGACCGTGGTCTGATTGAAATGACGTGGTTGTTCCCCACCTCCAAGCAATCTTTTAAGGGTTCTGTCATGTGTGGTTCAATTCGGCAGCTTCACGGTTTTTCAAAAAGCCGTGGCTTAGCTAACAGCACAAACACACACACACGTAACAGTCAGAAAGCTACGTTATCCCTGTTCTTTACGGGAAGCGAATGATATGGCGGCGCACAGGCAGTGTTGCCCTGGTTAGGAAGAGGCAGAAGAGTCGCCCAGTAGCACACTGAGAAAGTGGGCGTATGGACCAGTCGCATCCAATCATGTTTTATTCAAGGGCATGTCTCCACCGCTGGGTCGCATTTGTCTCAAACTCGGCTCTCTGGACATTTGAATTATTGACGTACTCAATTTTACCTCCTGTTTCACTGGTGTCTCCGAATAATAAAGCTGCCACTCACACTGCAGTTTGCAATGTACCCCCCGTCCTCTGTCTTTGTCAAGTGAAGCCTCCGAAATGGTCTGATGTCTGTCCCTCTTTAGCAGGTGAGCCAATCAGGACCTAAGGGCCTTTGACGTGCCCCAAACCCCTGAGGAATAGCGCAGGTGACGTGGACAGCTGTGTGTCCCAGCCCAGGCGCGCGAGTCCAAGAGTGTGTTGCTCGCCATTTGGGAGAGCGCCCTTCACGCTGTCAGGGTTGGGGGGCGGGGGATGGCGGACTGTGCGCTGTTTGACCAGCTCACTCCTCCTCAAGGGCCGAATCTGGTCAAAAGCTCCTTTGGGAAAATGCCACTCACCAGCGGGAGAGGAAGGTAAGAGGGACCTTGGCTCTGCTTCCCGACCAGATGGCTTTGATTATCGCGTGATAAAAATGTGCGGCTTCGCGCGTCTGTGCCTCCCGCCACTACAGTGCCCTTTCTGTTTTTAAGGAAAGAAGGATTGTCCAAATGTGGAAGATGCAAGCAGGCATTTTACTGCGATGTGGAGTGTCAGGTAGGTGCCGGGCCAACTGGCAGGGAGGGCCCCGTTGCCTGTGGAAATCGGGACCCCCCGCATCCTTCTCTTCCTCGTCACAGCTTCCCCCGTGTCCTCCTGCAGCCAGGGCCGGAAAGCTCTGCTGTGGTGGAGGATGTGGCTGGACACCCCTGGGTGCTGGCCCAGGACCAGGGCAGTAACATTTAGGGGCCCATGTGTAGGACAGAAAAGAGGAGCAGGAGGCGAAGGGGGAAAGACACGAGGATAACCACGTTGGGCACGAGCAGGTGTGTCTCCAAGGTCGACAGTCCGCCCGCAAGGCCACCGGCAACAGATGGAATGTGCAGAGATGACCGATGAGCAGTGTTAAAACACTGTCTTTAAATTTTTTTAATTTTTACCTTGTAGGCCTGTATTTTTATAAATCCCTCTAGCAGGCCACACGTCACCCTTGGGCTGTTTGAGCCCAGCCTGGTTCCAGCTAGACTTAGGTGAGCCCCGGCACCGCCTTTGACCGGCCAGAGAGCGGCTGCTGCAAACTCGGACTGGGAGCTGGGGCTGAGCAGGGTCAGGAGGCTGGCTACGTGCGGAGCACAGCCCGTCTGGTTGGGTGGCTAAGTCTCGAGGGGCCCCTGTGCCACGGGAATGGGGAGCTTAAGGAGGAGCTCGGAGGAAGTCTTGCAGGCTCATCGGGGGACCAGCAGTGGTGTCTTCCAAACGCCCCTGCTAGATACAGTTTCCCAAGTGTTCATAGGCAATTCCACAGAAAAAGCGTTCCAAGTTCTGACGACCTGATTTTGGGGAGACTATGACCTTTGATCTCTGTATACTTTCTCCAGTCTATTTTTTTTTAATGGGAACCTATTAATACACCTTGGGAAATGCTGGTGCTGTTACACAGTGTCTCCAGCTGACAGGGAGTGACTTGGAGGCATTCACTCCCCCCCATCTACCCTTGATTACCCACTATTTTATCTGATTCCTTCTTCTCTCCCCAAGCAGTTGGCCTCCGAATGTCCCCATAGAGCATTAGGTGGCACTGGGAGAGGTTGCTAAGCCCTTATGTCATCTGACTGTGGCACTCCAGTCGCAGCGGGCCCTTGCCAGAATGCAGCACAGGCTGTGCCATTGGCAAGGGAGTGGCTCCCTTGGCCCCGAAGGCCACACGTACTGCCTGCCTCCCTGGGTGTCCCACGGCAGGCTTCCAGGGGTGGTCGACCCGGGCGACAGCGAGAATGTAAATGGGCTTGTCATTGAGTGTTCGGGGAGTGTGCCTTCTTCTGAGGAGGAGAGATCGTGCTTGGCTCCCTCCAAGTGTGGCTAGACTACCCTGTGGTTGGACTGCTGCCGTGGTGGGGGGCATCTCGAGCCCCGGGACTTCCACGGTGTGGTTCCAGGCCTGACAAGTTAGCAGTTTCTATATTTAAGTTAAACACTTCTAGAAAAGTTGACTCATTACGTTCCGGTTCTTTAGACAAGCAAGGTAGTAAATCACATACAGTTCAGATGATATGACACAGACCGGCAGGAGGACGTGAGCCCCGCTCTGCATTCACTACCTCTGTGAACTTGGCAATGCCAAGGATGTCCCTGCGTCCCAGTTCCTTCATATGTAAACAAGGACAGCAGTGCCCATCATTACGAATTGTAAGGACCAAGCGATACGATAAATGTGAATGTTCTGTGTAAACTCACACTGTGTACAGGTGTGAGGGCTTGTGGAAAATAATGTTGCAATAATTCAGGCGGGACCAAAGCTGAGGTTTATGCAAAGGATAAAGTGTATGGCGTACTTTAGAGGTAAGGGGGCTTTTTTTTAAGCTAAGAGAAAGCATGGATTGTAAGACCTTGGGAACACTAGTGGTATGCACTGTACGGCTGCTGCTTATCACAATACAAAATGAGTCTTCACTTCTGTAACTGTAAGCCCTGCGTTAATAGGGAACATCAGGATGCGTGAGGTGCTGAGCTACCTACCTCTGGGTGTCTTGAGCCTGCTGCTAAGCTCTCTCCCTCCTCACTCGGTGAATTTAATAACGCCTCACTCGGTGGCATTATTCTAATGAATCACTACGGTGCATGCCGGGGTTTTGAGGTGGCCACGTGGTTTCCCCTGCCTGGGAGGCAGGACCTGGTCTCCCAGATTTGCCGACTCAGAACCTCACAAAAGAGCACACAGTGAGGGGCGCCCTCTCTTGGGGACCAAGCACACCAATCCGTGTGCCTGTTTATTACTCGACAACAGGCGGATGACAGTCCGTACATTCTCTTCCTGTAGTCAAATTGTACAGGTGGTTAAATCATAGTGAGATTGCTTGGAGAGCAAGGGACCCCCGGATGGAGGATGCAGTCTGGTGACTAAGTCGCATTCAGAGGCCTTAGGCCGGGACAGCTTGCTGGGTTCAGCCTCAGGGCAGGTGGAGTCTTCCCTGCCCCTCGCCCAGTTCCTGGGCCCGGGCACCCTCAGCCCTGGAGAGTACTCGTGCACTTCAGTTCTTCGGTGCTTCTGTTAGGTGTCTGGTGCCCAGAGGACCCTCTTAGAGGACCAGTGATAACACAGCTCCCGAAACCCCTTGTTTCTAAGGGTGCTAGGCTGGACTCGACCTGTAAGTTCCATTTCGGCTTCATCTGTCTCCTGTGGTTGAAGGAGGAGGCTGGTGGTCTCTAACCTTTTCCACCCTTTAGTGCCGAAGGACTGAGCCCGTGCAGGGCAGTGTGGTGTGAGGAGACAGAGCGTCCTAAGGATTAAGTAACAGGAAGTGCCTGGAAACCACTGGCCCGAAAGGGCTTTGCTTCTTTGCTGGGTAGGCACAGGCTTCAGGGAGGAATCTGAGGCATTTGCTCTGGATTAAGAAGCTCTCCCGGGATTCCGCCTGAGGGAATGCTTGGGTGGGGTCAAAGCAGGGGCTCTGCCGCAGGACAAAGATAAGACTAAGGGAGACCGGAGTGGCTACCAGTGTGAGGAAGGTGCTTAAGTGATTGAGTGATTCTCTGCTTATGTTTAGCGAAACAAGCCAGGCAGTGAAAGACGAATACCATATGATCTCATCTTTAATAGGAACCTAAATAACAAAACAAAGAAACAAGCAAAATATAACCAAAGACACTGAAATAGAGGACAGGCTGACGGTGACCGGAGGGGAGAGAAGAGGGAATTTAAGGGGGACAGTGGGAAGGGTTCACAGGAACAAACTTAAAGGACACATGGTCATAAACTAAGGGGAGGGTGGTAATGGGAGGGAAGTGGGGGTGGGTGGGAATGGGGGACTGGATTGGGAGTAAAAAAGGAGAAAACTGTATTTGCACAATGATTAAAATTAAAAAAAAAAAAAAAAAAAGAAAGCCTAGCCCTGGTCCCTAGTCCCTTATCAGGGCCTTCGTCACAGCGAGGCCCCACCCCCCTGCAGTCCTCAGGGCTCAGTGCCTCCCAGCAGAGGGTGGGACAGGAATGAAGATTCTCTGGTCCAGCCTGTCCGTAGATAAGAAAGCCGTGTCCACCCTGGCTGGGGGACCTGCCTAAGGCCACACAGTGGCGAAACTGGGACCGGCCTTGGACTGCCCGAGGAGCCCTGTCACCACTTCCCGACACTGTGCGGGGACCCCCTGGGCCCCCTCAGAGGAGAGGCTCCGTGGGAGTGGGTCAGCGAGAGAGAAGCGGCCTTCAGTGGAGGAGCCCCTTCCCGTGTTTGCTTTGCCAGAAATCTCCCGAGAGTGCCAGCCACACGTCCCTCCCGAGGGAGGGATTCCGGTTTCCGGGGAGTGCGGGGACTCAGGGGGTCCCAGGCGCGCTGTCCACTCTCCCCAGACCCTTCTCGTGAACCCCAGTGCTTTAGGATCTTGCCGTATTTTATACAGTTTGGCCATGTCTTGTCCCATTTCCTTTCTCCTCTTCATTCACTTCACCCAGCGTGATCCTGCCAGAGGAAGTGTTTTAATTGATGATGCATAAAAGGGTAATGGGAGGGAAATATGAATGAAATAGAAATCCCTTTTTAGTTAGGCTTGTTTTGTGATCTGTGTGTGTTTTAATGAACTATATTTATTTGTATAGGTATGCCTAGAAAGCTAAATGTGTTGTTAACTCACTTAGACTTCATTAAATTGCACCATGACATATTTAGGAGAATAGTTTTAGAAAGTCAATAGTTTTAGAGGAATCACTGGGGAGTGGAACCTTCTAGGGTGTTATTTCTTAACATTAACAAACAGAAAAAAACTGGTTGTGTTTTATTAATGGAGGTGATGGGGTTGTGAGTGCCTTTGAAGGGGCATGCCATGGCTGGGATTAAAAGAAAAAAAGAGTATGTGTGAGGAGCATGTGGCTAAGGATGTGAGAACGTCCTTGACTTTTATCACCCAGAAAAAAACGGAAGTGTAGAGAATGTCTCAGAAATGGTCATATGACCCTGTCATGGTCCTGAGTGACGAGTGAGTGGGGCCAGAGTCAGAGGTTCCATCTGGGTTCAATTCACTTTGGTCTGGCAAACACAAGAAGCATCTTAAACGCAGCCACTCGTTTTTAAACAATGTTCAGAAGCGTTTTTGCACGTCTTAGAGTAGGAAAAAGTGTATGAATGACTCAGTGCACCCCATCACTCTTATGGGGAACACGAGACAAAGCACGTGTCCTCGTGAGGAGGGTCCAGCGGCGTCGGTCATCGCGGTGGGAGCCGGTCAGTGCGCATCTGCTTCCGTTTGCACTCCTTCTCTCGAAGGCAATGGCAGTGGGAAGCAGAAATCGGATGGCATTTTCTCACTCGTCCACATGTGAGGGAAGCCCACAGACCTGTGGACCAGTGGGCTGTGTCTGGTTTGAAGGCACCATGAGAACTAGAGAGATATCTAATGCGAGAATTAGAGAAGGGGACTTGGCAGGAAAAGCCCAGTGGCCTGAGCCAGAAAGACAATGTGTCCTTCGCTCTGCAGGCAACTGGATGACCTAACAACGACTCTTCTCTTCCAGGGCTGGAAATTTGGGCACCAAGAGACAATTTTGTAACTCTTTATGCATGCATCTCTAAGCTTTTTTGTCCATGCACAGAAAGGAAAGTCATGCAGAGTTGTTAGTCCATTGGCTTGAAAATGAATTAGAAGTTTAAAGGTACAAAAAGAATCCCTATCTTACTTTTATATAAGTTTACTTGTTTAAGTTTAGTGCACAAATAATCTGTGCTTCTTATAGAAGACTCAGAAAGTCTGGACTGCGAAAACAGGAAGAGTACCCATAATCTAGCCTTTCCAGAGAAAGTCACGAGTAAAGCTTTGGTATACATCTCTCTGAATCTTTCCTGTGCGCTTATTTGTATATTATTTTTCTGGAAAATTGGATTCGAGTTTACATAAAATGTTACAAAGATTGCAATCAGGGCAGGAGTAATAATAGCTTGAATTTTGAAGAAAATAGGATTAAAAGTTTTAGAAAAACTGGCAAATGTTTTAAAAAGCAGAAAGGGTTGCAAAATCACTCTGTGTACAAAGCAAGTGCTAATACTATATATATATATATATATATATAAAGGCTAGTCTAATTTTTCCTATTTTGTCCAAGCTGATTGTTTATAGTATCTTATGTGTAAAACTGGGGCACATTCCCTCAGTCAGGTTCTCCAAGATAATGTGGGCCATCACTTTCCAATGGAAAGTGAAAACTTACCATTATTCTGATCAGTTCCCTTGAAGAAACTTATTCTCGGGGTGCTGCACTCCCTGGAAGCTGCCCAGCGCCTGCTTTAACTGCTCGGTGGGATTGTGTCACATCCTGGGCACTCCTGCTTCTACCTCGTGGTTTCATGAAAGCACAAACTGCAGAAAGTCAAAGATTTCGTCTCTCATCCCTGCCTCTAGGGTCAGTGGCAGAGCTTATCGAAGGAATGAAGGAATGAATGAGTGAATGAGTGAACGGACCCGTCACCCAGCAGTTACCACCGTCTGCCTGAGGGGGCGCCATGTGTGCCAGGCACTGTCCTGAGTGCTCCTTGTGGGTGAGCGGATTCGATCCTCACACGTCCCTGTGCAGAGACAGGAAGGCCTGATTATCCTTTGCAGGTCCCGTATTTCTCCGTAGTCTTCAAGCTTTGCATCTGATTATCGCCGTTGGAAGGTGTAAGATCACAAGCTCAGAACTCTGGACCTGCTAAGTAACTCAGGGATCATGTTATTTGCGGCCGTGGCCGCGGCCACGAAGGGACTGAGAGGCCTGACTTGTGCCCCAGAGCTGCTGCCCTGCAGGGCGGGCGCGGGAACGCAGGCTTCACGACCTCGGACCAGCGACCTGCCTGCCCGACAGCCCTCTGCTCCCGCACCCAGAGCGCTCCTTGCAGTTAGGGTGCTCTCCGTTTGAGGGCGTTTACATCAGTAAAGGTCAACATGGTGTGTTATTTACAGCAACATTTATTTTGTGCTAAGCATATTGATAAATAATCAATAAATCACATTAAGAAATGTTAATATTAAACTTTTTTCTCCCAAGGGGGTCGTTGTTAAACACTAGAGACCTCACCTACAGTTCAGAAAACCAACATCTTTTTTTTTCTTTTATTTATTTTTAGAAAGAGGGGAAGGGAGGGAGAAAGAGAGGGAGAGAAAGGTGTGGTTGCCTCTCATATGGCCCCTATTGGGCAACCACAACCCAGGCATGTGCCCTGACTGGGAATCAAACCAGTGGCCTTTTGGTTCTCAGGCCAGTGCTCAACCCACTGAGCCACACCAGCCAGCGCAGAAAACCAGCATCTTAAAGGTCCTCTTAAGAAGGCCTTTGCTTAGAGATCTCAGGGTCATATGGACACTGGTTCTCGGGTGTTGATTATGCATCTGTCCCCAGCTGCTGTGTTCCCCTATTCCTCAGTATCCTCGGCCTTGAAGCCCTCTTTTCTCGCTCTCTCTCTGCTTTGCATCTGAGGAGGGAGCTGGTTTGCCTGCAAGGAGCTGGGCCTACCTGTTCCTACCTCTTGACCTCATCACTGTGCTCTTATTTTAGGCTTTCGCTACAAACAGATCCCCTTCTCCCTTGTGTATAATCTTGTCACTTCTTTGTCTGCCTGCTCTTAGGTATATTTGGCATGGTGTCATTTAACTCTGCAGATCGTGTAGGCACAGACCTTGAGCCAAGGGTCTGTGTCATGTACTGCATTAAATCATTGAGTGACACTGTGTCCTTCCTTCGTGGGAGTGGGGTGTAGGCGAGGAGGTAGGGAGACATCTTCATTCATTCAGCGGCTTTACTGCATGCCTAGGAAAAGTCAGGCACTGTTCTAGGTCCCGGGGTTATAGATGGGAACAAAAGAGACAAAGTTCCTTTACTTCCGTGGGGGGAGGAATACTAAGCTGGAAACTAACATATATGTAATTTATCAGGTGGTGGGAGGTTCTAAGAGGAAACAGGAAGTGCTGTTTTGGGCCGGGTGTTCGTGGCAGGTGTCTTGAACAGGTGCCCTTGGAGCAGAGACATGGAGTGGGGGGGGGGCGATACAGGTATCTAGGAGAGGAAGGCTCCATCCAGCCGGGAAATGCAGCACGCGAGAGAGGTCTTGAGGCAGGACCACGCTTGGTTTGCTCGAGGGACCCCAAGGAAAGTGTGGGGCCCATGTGCTCAGGAGCTGGTGGGAGTTGTGGGGCGGGGTGGGGGGTGACTCCCTTCACCTGTGGCCTCCCAGGTCCTCTCACCTGGCAGTGGACTCAGAGAGAGAGAGAGAGAGAGGGAGGGAGACACAGCTCCACGGTTGCTCTAAGCTGAGACACCATCAGAAGGCTCTGTGCCCGGAGATGGCATGAGCTGAGTTTCGTTGAGCAGGAGGGTGGGGCCGGCTGCGCTGCTGGCCACTGTCGGTGGGGGTCCGGGGTCGAAGGCGAGGTTAGTCACCGCAGAAAGAGGCGGTGATTCAACAGGGTGGTGAACGTCGGGTGTGAGGGAGACTGAGGCAGCAGGGAGGACTCCAGGTGCCTGGCCTAAGCATCCGAAAGAAAGCACTTGCCGTTTCTGAGGAGGAAAGCCTAAGGGAAGAATGGACAGCACCCACCTCCAGTGGGAGGAAGAGCGTCTGGAGACTGCCATCCGTGTACAAATGTGCTCTGATGTTCCCCAGATAAAAAATGGGCCCCCTCCACCCTGCACCCTGCAAAGCCCCCATGTCTCCCCATTTCCATGTCTCCCTCCCTCCCTCTCTCTGAGTCCACTGCCAGCAGCCTGTCACCCCTCACGCTGCCACACCTGGTGTTTGTCAGAGTCGGCGATGACCTCCACGGTGTCACCTCTCAGTCACCCCACATCGACCCTGTCACCAGCACTGCCCTGGTCACTCCCTCCCCACTCCTCACTCTCTCCCATGGCATCCACAGCACCTCCTGTCCTTGACCTCCCCCCGGTCTTCCCGGACCCCATGCCTCTCCACCCTTCCCATCCTGAGTGTGTGTCCTCCACCTTCAACCAGGACATAGAAGCTTCAAGACATGGCAGAGAAAGGAAAACCATTTTCCCGTTTCATCAAGTGAGTCTTCAGGCAGTCCATAGGGGCCCCCAGCAGACTCCCCGCGGGCCCTTCACGAGGCCCCCCACTCGTGTTTTGTTTCTGTCCCTATCAGAGGGGACGAGTTGCTGGGCACAAGCCCGGATGTGTGCCCTGAAGTGAGACCAGAGCCAGGACAGAGGGCCACATCCGCGGCTCGGACCCAAAGCCCTTCCCGAGGTGCCTCCACAGCTTCCCCGGATACAGAGAGGCGGGCGGGCGTGTCGTCCGGAAAGACGAGAGGCTGCAGAAGGACGCGAGACACTCGTGAAAAAACACAAAGCGAATTTTCGCATCCTGGCGACCTTGGCCGGGCCTGAGTGCATGTTATGCAACCCTGTCTACCTTAAAGGATGTTTTTCATCTCCAGCCGTTGTGAGCATCGTCCTGTTCTCCAAAAGGAAACACATTTCACTTGACCTCAGCCGGGGGGACTTGTTGCATCCTCTCTTCTCAAACTTCGTTCCAGTATGTGTGTGTTCAGAAATTTTTTTTTAACCTTCCCAGAAAGAAGATTGGCCCATGCACAAGCTGGAATGCTCTCCCATGGTTGTTTTTGGGGAGAACTGGAGTCCCTCAGAGACTGTGAGGCTCACGGCAAGGATCCTGGCCAAACAGGTGAGGGCGCGGGATGCCGTTCAAGTGCATTTTATTTTGTTTTTGTTTTTTTCCTTAAAGGTCAGAGGGACGAGTAACTGGCCAATGGTGATCATTTCTTGTTAATCCTTCCTGGACTGCATTCCCCACCGCGTCCGTGTGGACGGGGCTGGGAACAGAGCTCCAGCTGCAAGCTGGCCTGCCACCCACCCTCTGCAGCAGGGTGTCGCTCACCCCAGGCCAGGAGCAGGGCCCCAGCTATTACACTGTATGCCTTTTTAATGAGCTAGGATCACATAGAAAAATACGGCATTTCAAGGCATGAACACCGGATTGAAAACAGTGAGTGCATCGTAGGGAACCAGACTGGCCTGTGGAGCACTGAGGTTCCCCTCTCTCCTCTCTGACTCAGAGAGGGCACCCCGAGCCCCTGGCCCGTACAGTGTCCTGCCCTTCTTGTCTCCTTACGAGCCCTGTCTGTCTAGGCAGGGGAGGGGTGGGGTGGAGCAACGGGGGGGGCGGGCAGGCGGGCAAAGGAGAAGAGAAAGCAGTGGGCAAGGGGAAGCTGAGGGAACATGGCGGTTGACAACGGGTTCCTCCAAAGATGATGGAGGAACAGCCCGTCTGTTCTTCCTTGTTTGCTCAGTCCTTACTGATCACCGGTTAGTGAGACGCCTGATCTCCAGAGCACTGAGCTAAAAAGGGGGCAGGGAGCCACCCAGGACCTGTCCTTGTGACACAGTGAAATAGGCCACAGGAGACTTACAAGGTATTTTTGTCCACGGAGCTGCTTGCTAGTAAGCAGTTGGTGGCAGAGCCTGTGTACTGTAAATCTTTTTTATTTTTAATTGATCTTTAGAAAGAGGGAAAGGGAGGGAGAAAGGGAGAGAAACATCAATGTGTGAAAGAGACATCGATCGGATGCCTATCACACACCCCCAACCGGGGATCTGGCCTGCAACCCAGGCATGTGTCCTGACTGGGAATCGAACCGGTGACCTTTCAGTTCACAGACCAGTGCTCAATCCACTGAACCATACCAGCCAGAGCTAAATCTTTTAAAGCCGAAATTTCATCCACCTCTTCTTTATGCATCCCCCCTTTTAAAACTTTTTTTTTAATCTAAGCCAAATGTGATCTTAACGATTACCACACACCTGACCCCAGACTAAGTTGGGATCCTGGGCCGCGTAAACAGAAGTAGGTCATTTCCGAACTCTGAGCTCACCGTTCCGTTATGCTCAGCCGGGGTCAGGTGCTTGCCGAAATGCCACTGCGCCTGCTCAGGGGAGCCAGAGGCATTCAGGGCGCCTGCAGAAGGAGGTGGAGTCCTCAGACTTGTTTTCCCTGGAGGAGGTTAACTCTTGGATCCCAGCAGTCATCTTTAAGTACATGCAGAGCACTTGGTCAGAAGGGAAGGGTAGGGGGAGCTGGTGTGACTTGGGGAGGCATCCGGGTAAATGAGCCCTCGAACTAGATCCGTGAGCACCCAGGGAGGATTGGCTGACCAAGCTGCTCGCTCCCCCCACCCCCCCACCCCCACTCAGCGACGTTATTTATAGCGTTGTGGTTAAGAATTCCGAAGAAGCTGGTGCACTTTCCTGAATGAAAAGCTTTCCCAGGCAAAATGAACTACTAATCTTATAGAAACATACCCCGTGAATGGAAGATTTCTGCTCCCCAAAGGAACTGTTGAAACGTTTCCGCACCAGGAGGCTCCTCCGAATGCTATGATGAGTTTATACCAGTTTCATTCAACTTTTATTATAATTACTGCGACTCCTAATAGTCTATTAAATGAAAAGTTACCTGGCCACATTTTCATCTCTCTAGGACGCGGTGATTAAAAAAACAGACCATTTGTATTCCAGTAGCTTGCAAAGGATTAGGGGAGACAGGCCACCCAACTTCCAGGGGGAAGCTTAACATGTTAACTAGAGAGGTGAGAGCGCCCTGGTAGACCACCTGTATCCCCAAATTGAATAGCCAGATGACAAAGACGTGCCTCGGGCCAGCTCTTGAGCTCTGCGTTTGAACTCTTGTCAACACCAAGTTTATTCATGTCCTCAAAGCCTGGCGGGTTTACTATTGTTAGCTCCTCTCGGGATGTCTAGAACAAAGGCAGCAACACATTTAAAGCGAATCTGGGCTCACAGACACAACCCAAAGTGTTCCCTTTGAAACACAGAATTGGAGATCATTTTAGCTTATGCTTAAAGAAAGTGTAAAATGGATGGGGGGTTTGATTTTGTTCCTTTTCAGAAGGAGAAATAATCAATCGGCTGGTTCATCTGTAGACTCAGTCCTTTTCAAGTCGGGGCCCTTAAAAAGTTGTTTTCTAGCCGCGGTTCTTTCCCATAACAAGCATTTCTGAGCCTACTGTGTGCATAGCATTATCGGGGTGTTGGGAACACAGCAGACGCTTTAACAAGCTTTTCAAAGGAGTCTTTGGGATTTGGACCTCGGGCAAACGCTCTCAGAGCCCCAGCGGTGGATTCTTGGAGGGCTTTCTCTACTTCACGGAGAACTGTTGCTTTTTCTTCATGTCAGTGTAAAAGCGAAAGCGCACTTTGCCTTGGTCGCTAAAATCTGTACCTGTGTGATTTCTTCCCCAACGACTAGAAAAGCCACCCAGAGAGGACGCCTTCAGAGAAACTGTTGGCCGTGACGGAGTTCGAATCCCGTAAGTGCCTGGGACCGGCTGAGGAGTCGTTTTACCTCCACATCTAACGCGGACGAGGCAGGACTGGAGACAGGAAGGGACAGTCTGTCTTAGTGCTGCTGGTGGTTTTATAATCAATCGCTTTTATTTGGGCTTCTGTGCTCGTTTGAAAAATGACTAACTTTTTTGTCTGAGCTGACAGGATTACTCGGAAGTAATTAAGGGGAAGGAGGAGCTTGAGGAATGAACGATCGCACCCCGAGCTCTCTCCCGTGTACCCTCCTGGCACGCAGAGTATTTCTGGATCTCTGCTGAATTGCAGCCCTGCAAACAGCTGACGTCCTTAATGAAAGACTTGAAATCAGAAGCTCTCCAGCTTCTTGACCGAGACACAGATTGCAGGGCCAGCGTGGGTGGGGGTGGGGGGGGGGCGGCTAGAGTGCTCTGAGGCTGCTTCTCGGTCATCGCCACGCATCTCCAAGCTCGTGGCTAATTTCACGTCCTGAGTGACTTCTGGCTGTCAGAGGAAGAGAAGGAAGAAGTGGCATGCTTCTCCTCCCCTCGGGTTCATCAGTTAGGCCAGGTGATGGGCAAGAATATTTTGGGGGGGGGCTCCTCATATTTTTTCCCTCTCCTCCCTGCCATTTATAGTAAGAGAAGGGTATAGCCAAAATCCAGAGTTTTCTCCCCGGTGAACAACGGTGTGTCTCTCCACAGATCTGGATAAACTAGACAACGAGAAGAAGGATTTGATTCAGAGTGACATTTCTGCTCTCCATCGCTTTTACTCCAAGCACCTCGAGTTCCCTGACAACCAGAGCCTGGTAACGCTCTTCGCACAGGTGAGGACGCAGCCTCAGGTGACACGGGATGTAGCTTTTCCCCGCCCACGCGCCTGGTCCCAGCGCACGCTCAGTGAAGGGGAGCAGGAACAGAGGGGTGGCCTCTGTGAAGACAAGGCTCTGGACCTGCTGGACCGTTTCACACGGCCTTGCTAGGTGACCTTGAGCATGTCAGGGTCGGCTCTGGATGGGCCCTCGAGTTGATGGGGGGAGCTCAGGAAATTCACCTTCCCTCTGCCTCTAGTCATGGCAAGAACAGACGTGTGGCTGTGCCCCAGCACCACAGCACACAGTAGGCTCCTTGAAAAGACCACTTGCGGGTCCTACATGAATCTTTACTTTTCTCCTCTTAAACCTTCCATTCTGAGAGCAGTGTTTTCTATTCCGGCCGACACTGTCCTGGTAAAGCAGAGGCCAACACAGATGTCCTCAAGACAGAGGCCCACTCTGATGGCCCTGGGAAGGACCGTCCACAGGGAGGAGCCCTGGGGTGCCTGGGCACCGGGAGCCTTGTCAGAAATCTCTGGAGAAGCCTAGGTTTACCGAAAGCTGATTTAATACAGAATTAGAGAAGTTTCTACTCAAGAGCAACTTCCAAGCAATCGGAGAGCTGCCAGGCAGCCATGTGGAAGGCTACAGCTAGGTTCATTTAGAATAGAGCAGAAAGTGCAGCCGGCACCCTCGGCTTCGTGAGACTGCAAGGGTGGCCCTTCCTGGCACACCTGCTACCGGGGACTTCTCTCCCCAATACAGTTGTGTTTCCCCTGCGAGCTGCACATGTCACTGAAGGGGATCTTCCCAGAGAGAGAAACACCAGGATACTGCTCCAGGGTGCAAGGAGCTACATTCTCCTGCCGAACCTTTGTCTCTAGACACATGAGAGAGCTCAGGAGGAAAGTTGCACATTGTTCTTAGACCAGAATAAGCATCGGCTGTGTACCCCTTGGCCCATCAATTACATTTCCAGGCATGCATCCCCAGGAAGCAATCAGAGATTATGGGCACAGGCGGGCCTGCCATTTTTTCCTGTGGGGTTCTCTTTAGAGCCAAAAAAAAAAAGAAGGAAATATTATAAATGGCCACTGGTAAGAGTCTGGTAAATAAATTATGGCATATACTGTAAGTTATATTTTAAAGAATGTCTGAAGACGTGGACAACCATTGATGATATAACATTAAGTGTAAAAGCAAGATAAAAATGTGTCCAGTATGAGAATACGCATGCGTATGTGAAAAATGATTAAGTGGAAGTTCACAGTTGGTCATCTGCTGAGTTGTGGAAAATCTATGCTTTTTTTGCTGGATGATTTTCTAGATTTCTTACAATGTGCATGTGTCACTTAAGAAAATACTGAAAAGAAGAAAAAGATGAAAAAGCACCCACAATTCTCCCACTCTAAAAATTACGCACAGGAAGGCAGAAGGGAGTCTTTAACCCCCAGGAGTACGTTCTAACACTGGGAGGGCTTCCTTGGCGAGCAGATGTGTCTCTATTGTGTGACTGTCAGTTAGAAAACAACGCTGTTGCTCATTCAGAGCAAAGTGGGTCCAAGTTATGACTATTAAAGCAGTAATAATGAAAACCTTCCTATTTTTTATGTTATCATGATTTACAAGATACTCTTCTAAGCATCCTAAAACAGTGGATTTGGGTACCAATGGCAAGTTGAGGTATTGACTTCTCTTATTTTTTTTTTTAACACAAGATAAGTGACTTTTTCTCTGGGTTAGATGAAGCATGGTTATACGAGAAAGCAGAAGAGGTGAAATAAATATAAGTATCTTCTCCTCACTTCTAGCTGTGAAAAAAAAAAGGTAATTTCCCCCCCCCAAGACAGCAGTGCCTGCTGATGGCACTTCTCAGTGGTGACATAATAGGTATGGGGCCATATTTTCAGAATCAAAAAACCAAGGCACTTGATCCCACAAGCAAAAGTATATTTGTGGTGAAAATGACTCAGAGTCTTTGAATTTTGAACTGACTCAGAAAAATCAAGGAGACAGATATAAACATATGTGCATACACACACATACTCACTCTCACACACATAACCGTACGTAATTCCTTCCTTCATAGACTTCATATTCATCAATTCATAATATCCATCCTGAGACTGCATGCACACGCAAATACCCACACATATCTTTTTCATATGTAAATTTGGAAAGGGACATTCAGTATCCCCAAAGAAAACTCTGAAGCAAAAATGACGGGCGCTGTCCCAGCCCCCCACCATGCTCCGGCCCCGCCTCTCAGCCCCCCCCCCCCCACTGCAGGTCCGCAGTCCTAGCCCCTGAGCCCTCATTCCTCTCGGGGTCACAGGTCACGGGTCACGGGAGGGTGGCGCGGGTTACCCTGTGGCCCAGCCGCAGCTGGCAGCGGAAGGTGCTGCCCTCCCACCACGGCCGGAGGTGCGTCTGCTCACTGGGAACACCCGCACGGCCGGGAAGTGTATTTCTGGTACGCAGCCTCCACCCAGGCTGAGTGCTGATTGTGAGAACAGCTTTGGCAAGGCATTTACGCCCGATTTGACTTGAAAAAAAGGGACTGTGGCCCATGCCTCCCTCTTAACACCCAAATTCGTGCTTCTCCTCCTGGGATATTTCAGAAGGCAGGGAAAGCTGACAGGGAAACTGCTGAGCAACTTGGCTTAAACAGCATCACCGCCTCCAAGGAAGGAGCCGTGAGGACTGTGCTTCCAGGAGCCTTCACGCAGGAAGAAACACTCTGGCACAGCGTGCGGGGGAGGGCCGGGGAGCGAAGCACCCCGTGGTCAGAGAGCCTTCCAGCCTGCAGGCGTTTGGAGGCGTGGGCTGGTCCAGTTGAGCTCCACGCAGAGGAACAGACTAAGAAGCAAAGGAACAAATTTCCCAGCCCTAAGTTATCAGTCGCTAGATCAGTTTTGAAAACCGTTGCTAAATTGTCTCATTCATTCTGCGAACATTTACTGTTGTTTTGTGGGTACCAGATGCTGCAGAGGCATGTGAGTGTCCGGTCAGAGGCTGTGTATTTCAGTAGAGCATTCAGTACTTACTGCGGTGCTCTGTGTCCTGTTTGCAGTCCATGCTCCAGGACACTTGTTGAATGGATGAAAATCCTAACTGAACTCTTACCTAATGTTGATTGATGGTCACTGCTGGACGGTGGTTGGTTAATCCCCGATGACAGAATAGGCTAGGGTATTGAAGTTGGCACAGAAAACAATGGTATGCCAAGTCATCCGTGTGGAAATGCCCAGCACCTCAGGGTGTGGAAGACCGTGTTGTTCTACTGACCCTTGGTAATCTCTTTTTGTGTTGAAAATGGTTAAGTCCTGATTGGAAATATGTTGAATTGTAAAAACTGTAAGTCAGAGCCATCAGAGCCTTTACTTCTCTGTGTACCAAGATTCTCAAGCCTTTGACATTGGCCCTTTCTAATTTTTTAAGTAAAATTACCACATTAGCATTCATGGATCAGAACGATTTTCAGAGAAACTTGGTGTAGTGTAAAGAAACGCACGTGTTTCCGACAACTTCGCAGTCAGAATGTCTAGTTGGAATTCCAACTCCTTGTTTTCCCACTTGTTACTTATGTGGCTTTGACAAGTTAGAGAATCACTGACCACCTGGAGCCTCAGTTTCCACATCCGTGAAATGGGTTATGTCAGAGTAGCACTGCAGACGTGAGGGGGTAAATATGCAGCACCCGGCACAGGGCCTGGCCCAGAGTAAGTGTGCCGCGGATGCCAGTTCTCAAGAGCCCATTCGTTGGCCTGAGATGTACCAGTGCGGTGTCTCCCGTGTCGGGGAGCCCGGTCCCTGCCCCCCCGGGTGAAATCCTTCTGCAGGCGCCCCTCCCAGACAGCCTTGCTAGTGGCTTGGGAGGAGCAGGGCTCTCCGCTTTAGGTGCTGGCTTTGGGCCAGTCGCCACTCCTCCCTGGTCGCAGTCTCGCCGTCTGGAAAGTAGAGTCTGAGCCCCCTTCCTGCTCTGAAACTTTAGATACAAATGAAAGCACCCCGGAACTGTCTCCCGACAGACTGGCTGTTTCCTGAGGGCACAGACTGGGGCGCGTTCAGCCTTTGTGTGCAGCGCCCAGCCCATGAAAGTTCTCCATGAGTGTCTGCAAAAAAAAAAAAATGCATTTATGGAGCAACATAAAATCGGGGGTGTATTTTCCTGCTAGCACTGGGGAAGACTTCCGGAATGGCGAGGGCTGCCCTTGGTCTTTTTCAGTGTAACATCTTTTTTCAAGGATGGGCAAGCGGCCAGTGGTTGGTTGGGCTGGCCGTGAAGGGAGGTCTCAGCTCCTTAGTGCCAGGCCCCTCTGCCTCTCCAGGGGCGGATGGTTCCATCGGCCGTATTAAGGGCTTTGCTATTTACCACTTCCCCTGAGGAGATGGGTGCCGCGCTAAGTGACTTCATTTTTAACGGGAGAAAGTCAGAAAGTCGAGGACACGGGACTCAGAGATGGGCTCCGGATCACACTGCAGATAATGGGATTGGACTCCGGGAAGACTAACTCCCATTCAAATGTGCGGCGGGCTCTAGTCCTTGGCCCTTCGTGGTGTGCGGTTGGGTGGTGACCGTGTGTGGTGGGTAGGGTGCCAGGCTAAGGGGGCTTTCCCTGATAGTCCTGCTTTTATTTGCTTATACAAGAGGCTGATGAGTAAGTTTTGTTTGAACAAAGGATACTTGGCCAAAAGAAAGGTTGTAAAGTCACTAAACCAGACCTTCTTCCTTGTTAACTTGTTAAAAGTCAGAAATTAACAAAATGATTTCTATCCAGACAAGATTACACTCATTTTTTTTCTCCCACCTTCTCACCATAGGTTAACTGCAATGGCTTCACAATTGAAGATGAAGAACTTTCTCATTTGGGATCAGCAATATTTCCTGAGTAGGCTGGGTTTGACTTCGTTTCTTTTCTTTTTTACTTACTTCACACTCATTTGATTTAAAAAAAATAACCTACCTAACTGTGTGTGTCAGACATGAAACTCTAAGTGAATTAAGACCCCTTTTTAATTCCGCTAGATTTCAAAATGCTTCCCCTACGTTTAAGGATTCAAAGGTAGTTGTTAAGAGAACAGTTACTTGTTAAGTCCTGCTAGGTTGAGAGCTGTTATTAAAGAATATTTTATAATGTGCCCTGCTGGGAAATGTGCTTTTTTGCATACCTGTGGTTATGGAAATCTCTGGGTTCTTGCACTCAGAATGAAACATTAATTGCCAACCAACAATTGCCCATAGGCTTAGGTGAAGAACACAGGAGCTGCCTCTCCACCCGTCCTGTGTGAAAATGCCAGGGTAGACACAGCACGGTCTGGGGAGACGGTGCACTGAAGCAGTGAGCCAGGAGGCAGTTGCAAAGCCCTGTGGCTCTCCCTACTTCAGGAATACTGCAGTAACTCCAGAAAGGCTGGCCAGTTGACAAGTGGAGATCTTGACAGCTCCGACTTGAATGGGTGGCCAAGAATGGCTTTGCCATTGTCTTTTCGATGCGATGAGTCTTCTCAGAGTGCTTCAGCCCCCCCGAAGTCAAGCCCTGGCTTCACAGGGGGAGCGAGGGAGCCTTCCTGCACCCCCTGTCTGAGTTCACCCACGCGGTAGATTATTCTGTCCAAAGCGACATTGCTTAGTATTTATTTACTTTGGGTTGGAGCAGCTGTGGGACACCTGACACCCCCACGTGTGCCTGGGTGACACCTGGGCTCCGGGGGTGTCTGGCCGGTGTCACCCAGCTCTGTGCTGCGCACAGGTCTGAAGGACAAAGAATCTGCACTAGTCCGAGTCTCCTTAAGCAGCTGCCACGGGCTTCCCTGAACCCCAGAAACACAGTGTTTATTCCCAGGGGAATAAACAGTGTTGCCTGCGGGTTTCTGAAGTCCAGCAGACAGGGAGGAAAGAAGTGTTTTGGGAAGAAGCTCTTTTGGACTTCTGCCCTGGGGGAGAGGAAGGAGGAGGAGAGAAAGGCCACGAGACTCTCTTCGGGGGGCTGGCACTGACTCCGTCAGACCTGCAATGAACTTGAACGGCTGTTCTTTCAGCTCCTTGGATAAGACCAGAAGCGGGTGCAGAGCGGTATTGTCTGAGGTTTCAGCATTTTCAGCGACTGCCCAGAAAAGAACCACAGCAAGAGCAGGAGTGGCTTTAGGTTCTTGGCCTTCAGGGCATCCCCCCCAACCTTCCTTAAAAAGATGTCGAGGAGTCTGTCTTGAGTAGGAACACTTCATACCTCCTCTGCAGGATGGTTCTAGAAGTCTGCTCTGCCTTCACTAATGACTTTCGGTGCACCTGTCAATCGGATCTCCTGGGCCCCCACTTCCTGAGCAGCACTTGGTCACGAGCCGGATGGGCTGTAATTCGTGGTGCAGGGGGCCCGCCCCAAGGCCGAGACAGGGAAGATGCTGCATGCTGTCCCAGGTTCAAGGCCAGCGCCAGACTTCACTCAGCCCTCTGAGCAACTGGGCAGTGGGGGAAGGCTGTCCCCACCCCCACCTGGTCCACAACAAAACCCCAGGCAGCTCATCCTGGGTGGGCTTTGCAACCCCTGTGCCTTTTTTAAGTTTGGGGGCAAACAGGAGAGGGGTCTTGGTGGCCGAGGGTTCAGGCAAGTGCCAGTGGCCACCAGAGCAGTGGTGCGTATGGACGTGAGTGCCCACATGAGCCCCAGTTTCCAGGCAGATTTAATTGGGGGAAAAAAATCCCTTTGGACTGAAATCAGTTCGGCATTGTGATTTCAAAGGCAGCATTTTCAGAGATCAAGCATTTTTCCCCTGTAGTTTAGAAATTTCTGTTCTCAGAACTTTGACCTTGATAGAATCAGAAAGCTCAAAGCCCCTCGCACAGGCGCGTCTCTCTGTCCCCGCCGTCCCTGAAAAGCAGACAGCGAGCAGCAGGTGCAGCCGTGTCCCAATTTCCCAGATGAGCAAATTGAGGTGCCAAGACCCCAACGGGCTCCTCCAGGGCTCTCGGGGGATCACAGGCCCTCACGTAGGCAGCTGGCACCTCCCCCGGGGGCGGCTTCTCCACATCTGAAGAAAACGTGTTAGAAATAATCCACTAACATAAAAAAGCGGCTTGGAAAGGACCAGCCGTGCGTCTTGCACAGCGTCCCGTGGGCGGCGGTTTCCTGGGGGTGTCGGGTTGTAAGCCCTCCACCCAACAGGCAGGGGTTTCTGTGGGATTTGTTGCTGCCATTCTTGTTGTGGGGTGTTGTTTGTTTTCTGGCTTAGGTGTCACTGTTTTGCATGGCACATTTCACTGTTCAGTACTGGGAGCATTTAAGATGACCGGTGCACGCGGAGAAACCTCGTAGAATACGATGGTGGACTGTTAGGTGGTTTCGCTCACGTCCTGCAACGTGGCTGTGAGTTAGCAAGTGAGCAGCCAAGGATTTGCCTAGACTGTGTCACCGAGTAAATGGGGTTTTCTCTTCTGCTTGACAGCGTCGCCTTGATGAATCACAGCTGTTGCCCCAATGTCATTGTGACCTACAAGGGGACCCTGGCAGAGGTCAGAGCCGTGCAGGCAATCAGCCCGGGAGAAGAGGTGAGTGTGTGGCCGGGGTGGCTGGGGCCATGGGCTGCAGACGGCTGTCTTCAAAGGCAGGGCGAAAAGTCGCCAGAGGTGGCAGGATGGGCTGGGGGAGGTCGGGTAATCATGCCGTGTCCATCCTCGGGCCTCCCCGGGCCAGTGTCCACAATCGTGACATACAACTGGGGGGTCCCATGCATTTGGCTTCCATGTCATGCTCACCACTTCCATCCCAGGAAAAATAGGACAGAATGAATGGGAGCGAAACTCCTCGAGGAGATTTACAGAGATTTACAGAGGAAGGGGTCGGCCAACTCGGCCTAGGGCAAAATTTTGGATTGCCGTTACAGTCTGTGTATTCCTATTGCCAAGCGATGGAGTTTGGGCTTTTTTTTTTTAAGATTTTATTTATTTATTTTTAGAGAGAGAAGGGAGGGAGATAGAGAGAGAAAGAGAGAGAGAGAGAGAGAGAGAGAGAGACATCGCTGTGTGGTTGCTGGGGGTCATGGCCTGCAACCCAGGCATGTACCCGGACTAGGAATCAAACCTGTGACACTTTGGTTTGCAGCCCGCACTCAATCCACTGAGCTAAGCCAGCCAGGGCTTTGGGCTTTTTTTTTTAATTAGTGAATTTTGGCCTGTTTTGCTCCCCGTCCCCCAAAAGGTCAAAAGCCCTGTGACTGAAAAGCAGAAAAGCAGCCCAGCGGCAGCTGTGGAGTTACGGCTGCAAATGCCAAGAGTCTGCGCTTCCTCTGAAGTCCGAGTCTGGTCTCGGGAGAGTTTGCTTTCCAGGGACGCAGTTCAGGCGGCCGGTCGCACACGCACTGCCAGGGCCAGGAGGGGCCCCGTGGCCAGGAGGCCCCCGTAGCTCCCCTCCCGACACAGGGATGCGGAGAGAACCATGTGCTCCGTCACTGCTCAGTGCCCGAGCTGTGATTCCGTGACCACCTCATAGACGGCTCACCTTAAAAGGGCTGGCCTAGCAGATCGCTGGACGCAGGCTCTGTTCTTACGTAAATAATACAAAATAAAATGAATGCATTCTTGGAGATTGTAATTACACACTTTTGATTACATTGCAGTTCAGGAATCTTTAATACCACACTGAGGTGCGTGTCTGGTTTTCAACGTGAAATGCAGTGGTCAGCGCCCTAAGTGAGGGAGGCCTCGGCCTCTCGGAGGCTGTCCGCTGACCCTCCGCTGGACCGAGATGTCCTCCTCTTTGCTAAACTTACCTCAGTGAGGGCATGGTGCTCAGGGCCGGAGCGTCTTGGTTTCCGAATGTCTGGTAGGGACCACCCAGGCGCCTTTGTGGTGAAAACACATGCGTGCAGAGAATGCGAGTGACCAGGCCCCGTGCTTCCTCGGCTGACGGCTGACTGGAGACTCCAGCAGCGAGCTGTCTGGGCCTGCAGCAGGGACACTGAGCGGCCTCTGTCGCCACCTTCTGGGCTCTTCTGTTTGTTGCACGATGTGACCGTCCGTGGTTTCAAAGAAGGGAGGCAGGAGGCTCCTGCCACTGCCAGGTCCCTGGCAGGGCTTGCTCCCATGGGTGTGCCCTCGGTGTGCCCTCGTGTGCCCTCATGCGCTCTCACAAACCGGAAACGCAGCAGCCTCATTTGGGGGGAGGCGCTGCTTTGGGAGAGACTTGGCCTTCAAAGAGGAAGAAGCCCACTGCCCAGGGCATCGAGGAGCCGCGAGGCCTCCGCTACTGCCCTCTGGGGTGCAGAGAGCTCGGCGGCCCCTGCAGGTGCCCCTGCCTGCCCGCCTGCCATGCCCTGATATGCTGTCGGCTTTGTGATGTCCGTCTGTGCAGTCAGACAGTTGCCCGATGGTGTGGGACGAGCAGCGAGGCCGTCCCAGTGAGCGGATAACGGACAGTTCAATGTCGGGCTGGTCCACATGCTCCAAGTCTCAGTTACAGACCCGGTTAGGAAAAGCAGAGGAGCAAGGATGGGAGACCCGATGAGCCCACAGGGAAGACTTTCCCCGTTCTCCGGCCCAGCTGGGTAAGGCGGCAGCACGCCCGCGTCCTCAGTGTCCTCGGAGCTGTGCCCTCCCTCTGCGACTCGCCCCAGCCTGCCCAGCCGAGCTTCTCGCTGCACTGCCAGCAGGTGGAGGGAGAAAGGGAAACACGTCAGTGATGCATCTGAGCCGTCCCCGCTCGCGCGTGCAGCAGGAGCGGCCAGGCAGAGCCAGCCGGGGGCCGGTGCACGGATGAGCAGGGCCTTTGCCCAGGGGTCTCTGCTTCCGTCCAGGAGATGAATCCCAGCTCGGTCTCTGTGGGGAGGGAGGGGGTGGAGCTGCTTCCAGGGCTCCAGTTTCCTGTGCCAGGGGCTCCCTGGTTCTGCAGGGGGTGGGACGAGAAGCCCTCTGTCCCTGCCACAAGGAGGAGGACGACACCAGGGGGTCGCTGCGTGTCAGCATGCTGGTCCTACCCTGTGGCGTCCTCTGCGTCTGCCCTGCAAGGACGCTGCCGCAGGTGTGCGCAGAGCCACAGGGAGGGTAAGCAGCGAGCCGACCGGCAGCAGGCCGCAACGTCCACTCTTTGGGCCCCCCAGATTTTTACCAGCTACATCGACCTCCTGTATCCCACAGAAGATAGGAATGACCGGCTGAGAGATTCTTATTTCTTCACCTGCGAGTGCCAGGAGTGCACCACCAAGGACAAGGTAAGCTCCCCGAGAGCGCCTTTACGGCAAAGGTGCTGGCCATCCACTGTGTCTCCGGCCCTCTCTGCCAGACCAGCAACCCCGTGTGACTTGGGGCGTCTCCGCCCTCCGTGTTTCTGACCCTCTCAGTCCACCTTGCTGAGAGGGCCCGGGGAGGCCAGGCCTCTGTTCACGCCTGATGCAAACGTTTCCATGTCGCCGTACCACGCAGAGAAGCGTTTGCCCAGTTGCTATTTCTTGAAGAGAAACGACTGCTCCGGAGAGAGGGAAGGGGAGAAGCATGGGAGCACAACCCTCAGGCTTCCCACCCCGTTCAGAACGAGCAGAATTCCCTCGGGCCTCTCCCGGAGTTCTCTGTCCATGCCGCCCCTCCTTATTCTATTCCTTTGATTCAAAGGTCTCTGCACACACGTGTCTGCCCATAGCAGACACATTCTAGGTGCCCAGCCTAGATGCAGATTGTCTAGGAAGTTTGTGTTTTTTTGTAGAAAGGTAATGGTGTATTGAATTTCTCTTCGATCCTTCCCCTGACTTCCTTTCGTCCTTTGGTAACTTTCGAGTGGGTGGGCGGCCCCTCTGCCCGGCAGAAGGAACTGTTTGAGAGGCTTCCGCATCTGTGGGGTTTCCACGGGAGGTAACGCCGTGCACTTGTGCACATTTCCCGCAGGATAAGGCCAAGGTGAAAATCCGGAAGCTCAACGACCCCCCAAAGGCAGACGCGGTCCGTGACATGGTCAGATACGCCCGCAACGTCATCGAGGAGTTCCGGAGGGCCAAGCACTACAAGTATATCCTTTGCCGCCGGTGGGACGTTTCCCCCCGCGAGGGGCTGGTGGGGAGCCGGGCAGAGGGAGCGGAAGGGTGGGCTTCAGCTGCTGAGTGGCGGAGGAAGAAGGCCTCCTGGTAAATGGGGGAAGCTGTACTGACCACCCCTGACTTGGAGTCAACCACATCCGTTTATGACTTTGATCCCTGTCTCCTTGTTTGGCGAGTTTGGTCACGAGCGTAATGTGGTGGAAGAGTTCTACCGTCTAAAACTATGGAGAACAGTTCCTGGAAAGTGCTCATTTTGGGGAGTCTTTTACTTTGGGCACAGTGTCCGAGGGCTTTGCTTATATTGTCTCCCCTGGTTCTTACAAGGACATGCCTCAGGACATCGCCCCACATGAGATGGAAACAGGGTCTTAGATACCAGATAATCTGCCCAAAGGACACAGCGCCCACCCCCGTGGCAGATCCAGAGACCCACAGCTCTGGCCACCACTGTCCACATTCCTAACAACTGCACTGAAGCGCCTTCTTGGGTGTCGAAAAGGCAATAGATTTGTACTAAGATAAGAACTAAAACGGGTAGAGGAAACCAGAGAAAGGCACACCGACTTCTCAGTATAAGGAAGAACTTACCCACGGTGGGGACTTCATCCTTAACAACGCTGCAGCTCACCTTAGGTGACGGTTTAAATGTACCTTGTTTCTAATCGGCATTGTTTACAGCTGAACTGAGGGTCTGTGGCCTGTGGCTAAAATTCTTTCGTTGTGTTTACTTACCAGTTGAGGTCTTCAGATTTCCCTATTTGTTTCTTCAAGAAAAATGCGATTCCTTTTTTCTTTTGGCTGGCCTTCTGTAATTTACTTTTTCAGAGGGCGAGGGTATATGGGGGAAGTGGACAAAATAACTCCTCACACCCAGCCTGCCTTGGGAAGTCTCCAAGCCTAGTGGGCTGGCCGGTCATTTCCTTGACTCCAGGGCACCCCCTAGCGAGCTGCTGGAGATCTGCGAGCTCAGCCAGGAGAAGATGAGCTCCGTGTTTGAGGACAGTAACGTGTACATGCTGCACATGATGTACCAGGCCATGGGCGTCTGCTTGTACATGCAGGACTGGGAAGGAGCCCTGCGCTACGGACAGAAAATCATTAAGCCTTACAGGTGATTGCCATGGCCCTCCTGCTCGTCTTAGCCCGGAATGGCACCTGGTGATTTGGAATGTGCACCTAGGCAGCCTTGTCCTCTCACTGTCCCGTGTTGCAAGGTGCCTAGACCAGCTCTCTCTGCTCTGCACCCGCGTCCAGAGGTACAGGTGCAGGGCGCTGCTTCAGTGGGCCCTGCCTCCTCCCTCTGCCACCTAGAAGAGACACCTGGCTTGGCAGGTTGAGGTTGTGCAGGGGTTGCCGGGGCCAGATCCGTCCGGGGACCTGCCCAGGTGCTGTAGCCACTGTCGTTAATTCAGACCAGTGCTAGAAAGCTGCCCGTTGGTTTCTTTTCCATCATTGTTCACACCGCCCCCTTGTGGTTCTCTAGACTGCAGCCCAGTCTGCAAATGAGGAAACTCCAGGACCACTGGGCAGGCTGGCCGTGGTTATTCCACATCCCGCCTAGGTCTGACGGAAACAAGCTGGGTTACAGTATAGTCGCGGTGACTGGCGGCCGTGGGGGAGTTTCCTGTTGAGAGGGTTGTTAACCCTGCAAGTGGGTTGCAGGTGGAGGTCGTGGCATGGCCCTCAGGCTCTGCGTAGGCACCTCGGGGTTGGGACGGCCCATCGGATCACTGGGGTGCTGGCTGAGCACATCTACATTATGCGCGGACAGGATCTCCTCCAGACCGAGGGGGTCGGAATCTGGGCGTCGGACCTGAAACCCCTGTGTTCCAGGGGCACTCCAGGTGTTTCTCAGGAATTTCAGAAGCCCTCTGTTTACCTTCTAAGACCAGGGACTGTTCAATTTATGTCTGGTTTGACTGTCCGCTGCCAAGTTGGCCCTCTGCCTACCCCACAGTGCCCTGATCGGCCAGCAGGGGGAGCTCAAGGGGAAGCGGCTCCTAAAATTTGCTCTTAGAAACAGAATTTGCTGCCTCCGGGATCATCTTAAAGCCTATCCTTCTTCCCCCGGGGGGTGGGGGGGGGGTAAGAAAGTCCTGGGGTCTCCTGCACACCTTCCTCTGTGAGATCTGGAGGGAGGGAAGGAGGGAGGGGAGATGAGAATGAATGAGATCCTCTCTGTCTTGTGGTTCCTCTTCCAGCGGGAACTCGCTCTGCTGGACCTTCCTGTGCTAAGTGAGCCCCAGCTCCGGCCTTCCGGGGTGGGGGTTGGCACTGCCCCCAGGGCCGGGCCCCCACCCAGACGTACAAACAGAATGTGTCTTTTCTGGATGGACTTTGAGGGTAGAGCAGCACAAACCAGGCTGTAAATAAACACCTCCTACACGCCCCCCCGCCCCCCCCAGTGCACACATCCTAGCCCAGGAGCCACCTCCTGGTCTCTGTCCCCGGGGAAAGGTCCCCTTCCCAGGGGACCCCCATCCGTCTGTCAGCCATCAGTTAACACCAGGCAGCCAGTACCTACAGTGTTGTGTGTGGAGCTCACTACTGAACAATACGGAAAGAATGTCTGGAAGAAACAGGAGGCCTTCTCCTGGCTCCGGGGAGCTGACAGTGTTGCTAAACAACTGGTATCACAGAGTGCGATAGAAAGCGGGGGTCTTGAGACGTATTAGTCTGCGCATATTTTTAAGTAATTTTAAAATGAGGGGAGAGGCCCCATGTCCTCGTAATAGGGAGTTTACCCGAAAAGACGGTTTCCCAGTGCTCTGCCTTGGGGGCACCTAGGACAAAAATCTGGGACTGGGTCGAATGCTGTGTTGGTAAATGCTTTTGAGTTGGGGAAACCCTGCAGTGTTTCTGGAGCTTTTCGGCAACACACGCCGTGCACGAAATGGGGTGCATCCGTGGCCCTTAACCAGGATCGACCCGTCCCCGCTCTCCGCCCAGACCCGCCAGGGTTGGGAGAAGCCTGGTTGCCATGGACACTGTGGCTTCTTGTCCCGGCCTGTGGGCTGTGCCGCAGGCATTGACCAGGCGGCCGCTGTCTTCTCTCTTCTTCTCCCAGCAAGCATTACCCACCGTACTCCCTCAACGTGGCCTCCATGTGGCTGAAGCTGGGAAGACTGTACATGGGCCTGGAGAACAGAGTGGCCGGGGAGAAAGCCCTGCGGAAGGTACGTCTGTGGCGCGGGGGACGCAGGCTTCTCGGTGCCTGGGTGCCCTCCTTGCCATCATTTCTTCTTCCCACGGGAGGCTGAGTAACGGGGGGTGGCGAAGGCCCACTCTTGACCCGCTCCGTCCATACGAGTTGGGGGGGTGGGGTTGGCAGGTGAGGGTGGCATCATCGAGCCTTTGCCAAGCTGGCGTCCAGGCCCTCCTGCAAGGAGAGGGGCGTGCAGGCTGCGAGCGGCCGGCTGACTGCAGGCTCAGCCCACAGCGGGGGGACCACACTGCCCTGCCCAGGCAAAGCTGTGCTTGTGGACAGAGGCCACTGGGGGCACCGGGAGCCCGTGGTGAGGCCACCTGCCATCTGTCTGCCCTTTAGGCCTACAGGTTCACGATGCCCCATTGTGGGGAAGTCAGGGCAGTGAGACTCGGAGTGTTTCTAAAGTGCACTTAATCATCGGTGTCGCTGTTCGCTGAGTACCAATCACAGGCCAGGACCCGGACGCGTGGTTTTTAATTCTTACAAAACTGAGATAGAGTTTCCTGGTGAGGAAATGGAGATGCACACAGGTTAAGGAATTGGCCTTGGGTACACAGTAGGCTCTTGATTGAAATTGGGATCTTTCTGAGTGGAACGCTTCAGGTCCCCACTCCCACTCATGCTGTGACTAACTCGCAGGGGAAACCAGGACCCTGGGCAGCATCTGCCCCACCTCACCCCGTGTTTGACAGCTGCCCGGTGCTGCCCGAGGACCTGGGGCCAGGCCCCAACCCTCACCGTACAGCAGCTGGATTGTGCCAACAGACTCTCGTTGTCCTTCAGGTATAAATTAACGTTGATAAGGGGTAATCTTTGGGACAATCTCTTCATTCCTGCAAGAGAATGTCTGTAAATGTTGGGGCCACTGGCTAGCCTGGATGCCTAATTCTCTAGATTCCACAAATCTTCCCTACTCAGGAAGATGGGAGCAAGGTCCTGCATCCCACACGGAAGGCTCACGGCCTCGCCAGGCTAGGAGTATGAGTGAAGCGTAACATTTTCCGTTTTTAAACTGGCGAATTTGTCTTCCAAGGTAACATAGTCATTGCCTTAGGGGTTTGGGGGGAAATTAACCAGTTAGGTCACAACTGCAGAGTGCTGGGAGGTAATGAAATACAGGATCAAGGAAGGGTAGAGAGCCCTGGCCGGTGTGGTTCAATGCAGTTTGTTGGAGCGTTCATTGTCCAGTACACCAAAAGGTTGGAGGTTCAATCCCCAGTCAGGGCACATACCCAGGCTTCAGGTTTGATCCCCCATTGGGGCGTGTATGGGAGGCAGTCGACTGATGTTTCTTTCTCACATGGATGTTTGTCTCTCTCTCCCTTTCTTTCTCATGCCCTCCCTCCTTCTCTCTGTAAAATCAATAAGCATATTAAGAAAAAAGAAAAAGAAGGAGGGTAGAGTAGATCCGAGCAAGGAACGTGAGTCATGAAATGAATGCAGACGGTGCAGGAGGCATTTAACAGGTGATTCCTGGGAAACGACTGAACAGGTGGTTCCTGAAGGCCGGCACCGTCCCTTGGCCGGCCTCCTCTTGGCCTGAGATCTGGGGAGAGGATGGTATAACAGCAAGGAACACTGTCACAGTCACAGCCATCAAAAATCCCCTCTTGGGGAAAACAAGAGTAATTTCTGTGAGTAATATGGTTGAATACAAAGGAGCAAAATAAATTCTCATGGATGACATTTGATATATACTTGCTATGTGCCGGGCACTGTTCTAAACACTTTATGTGCATTAACAATTCTGAGAGGTTGGCATCCTTCCCATTTTACAGATGAGGACATGGAGGCACAGAGTGGTAAAGTAAATTGCCCAAGGTCACACAGCTAGGACGCGACGGAGCTACTGGACATGCTCTCACATTATATCCCCTCACTCTAAAGAACTCTTATTAAATATGTTCTCTCTGGAGCAGCCTCAAGTGAATCCTGCACCTTGATTTTTCAGCTTCATTTCTTTTAAGAGCGGGTATGAAGAGGAAAGCATGCACTTTTTAAAAGGGAAAACAGTTCAGTTGTATCTCATAGGTTAGTAATGTAACCTTCAAATCAAAACAGGTTTGATGTGGAGTTCCCTGTGCACTTCCCTGTCCCAGCCTTGCCTGTGTACTTGATTGAGTACAGCCAAGTAATTCCGTCCCTAAAGCAGAGTTCAGTTTTTACTGAAACCTTGAGAATAGTGGGGCAAAAATATCGTGCAATCAGTTTCTCTGCATCACGTCTTCAGCTCTTGCAGAATATTTCACTCAGTGGGAGAAACTGGGTGGCTCTTCGGTTCCTAGATAATCTTACCCTTTTTTTTCCTCTCGTGAAGCCAGACTCCGGAGGAAGAGGAGAGCACAGGCTCTGAAAGCCAGTTTGCGTCCTGCGCGTTAGAGCAGGAAGTCCGCCTTGCACGCACAGCAGCCCAGGTGGAGGTGTGCGGGGACTGGCTTCCGGCTCCTCACCCTTGGTGCGTCTCGCTCTCTCCTAGGCCATGGCGATCATGGAAGTGGCCCACGGCAAAGATCACCCGTACATCTCTGAGATCAAACAGGAAATCGAGCGCTGCTGAGCCTGTGCCAATGTGGCGGTTTTACGCGCGTGTGCAGAAGCCCTCCAGGATTTGAATATTTCAAATCCTGCACATCACTCCGGCGTTTCTGCAAACTCACTGCAGGGAGAACACCATCTGCACTCAAGCCTTACACAGCTCACTTGGCATTGGTTTTAATCTTTAACCTTAAGGTCACATTCATTTTTGAATGCTTTTTTCCCTAAGAGGGAATGGCATGGTTTCATGTATTATACTTCGGACAGGTTGAGTTTGAAAAAATGTTACTATTTTTCCCTTCATGCTTATTATTATAACGTTCTGAACAAACCTGAGTGATGAAAGAGAATAAAAAAGGTAACAGTGGTTGAAGTTTGTGTTTCCTTTTGTCTGTGGGGAGGACTTCGAGGAGGCAGTGGGAGCCCCATTGCGGAGTGGAGGACATGTCCCCTGTGTCAGGCAGTGAGCCAGCACTCCCCCGGAAGGGGGTCAGGTGGCCGCTTTAGGCTGAAGTTGCTTTTGGAATACAGTGCGTATGGAGGAAGAAAGAAGATGCGAGACGGGAAAAAAACACACCGTGAAAAAGGTGACGGGATGAAGAGATACAAATTGGCAGTTACTAAACAGTCCCCGGGAGGTAAAGCTCCTCCCTTTGCTGCTGTGTTACCCTTCCTTCCTCACGGCCACACCCCCACACGCCTCGCACACACAGTTTGCAGCACACGGTCGGACCCGGCAGGTAGGATGCCTTCTCTTGTCCGGTCAAGTGCGATGAGACGTTTATTAAGCATCTACTATGCAAAACAGCCCATAACAGTCCCAGTGCAGCCCAGGGAATACAGTCGGTAATATCGCAATAACTGTGTGTGGGGGGGTGCCAGGTCGATGTCTAACCACTACGCTGTGCACCTAAAACTCGTATGTAATATTGGATGTCAACTGTAACTGAAAAAAAATTAAAATAGATTAAATTAAAAAGTGGGAATTTACGTGTCGGGGAGAACAAGTGAGTGGCCCGGGTGCCCCGCACGCCCAGCAGGAGCACGTGTCCCTTTCGATTCTCCCGTCTGTCGTCCGGTCTCCCTTCAGTGCGCGTGGGTGCTTCACCCAGGCCTCGCTTTCTGGGCCATCTCCTCGTCCGTCTGAAAGCAGTCTTCCCATCTCTCCTTCTGCTGACGGGCCTGTGCAGTCCTCTCCTTGTCTGGAAACCCTGCAGGCTAAGCTCGAGAAGGAGGGAAAAAAACGCCCGCCCTTACCAACTCTGTGTTGTGGAGCAAACACGGTCTCTCCCCACGCGGCAGGCAGGCCGGGAGCGGGAATCCAGCTTCCCCACAGCCTGGCAGGGAGCACCCCGGGGACTGTTTGTTAGCAACGGCCGCGGAGACACAAGGCCCAGGACCGGGCGCGCTCCGGGCGCAGGGATGTTTCTCGTAATCTGAAGAGAGGAACTTCCCCATTAGGTAATACTCAAAGCCTGACGGAGCTCAAGGCCAAGCTCTTCTACGCCTGATACGCAAACAGCTTGGAGGGCCATGCATCTGCTGTGTTATCTCTCCTTCCCATCTCCACACACCCAGGCATCACCGAGCACAGCTGGCCCCGGCAGGTAGGATGCCTTCCCTCGTCTGGTCAAGTGCGTTAAGACCCTTACTGAACACCTACTATGTGCAACAGTCTGTATAGCTCTCCCAGGGCAGAGAGAGGAGCAAGGCAGGGTCCTGGCGCTGGGGAGCTTCGTGTGTTGTAAAGCTCATTTACTCAGTAGCTAAGCCTCAAATAAGCTTAGCCCACCAACTGCCTGCATTTTACAGAATTTATAAATTTTTTTCAAGAAATTTAAAACAACACAAACATCGGAAAAAAGCAAGCTGTTCCTTCTTCTTCACTAGTCCCTCTCCCCAGAGGAAGCCACTGGAACTGTTCGCACATGGGACCTCAGTTTTTCCAGATCTAGACAAACAGACTTAGGAACACAGGCAGAATGGTGCCCACATACTTTTGTGACCGTCTCTGACTTAAGAGCCTCTTTCCATGTCAGCCTTCACGGATTTGCCTCCTTCTTTTTGGAGGCAGAACATCAGTCACCCCGAGTGCTGTGACCGACTCGGCCGTTCCCATGATGCACCTGTGGTTTTCCAGTTTGCTCCTGTTACCAACAAAGCCTCATGGACAATCCTAGACCAGCACCTTTGCTGACGTGTGGTAGCATCTGGGGGGGATGGATCCCTAGAAGTGGAATTCCAGGATCAAATAGTGGACACATTTTTAATATGAATAAATATGGCCACATTTCCTTTTTTAAAAAGGGTATCAGGATGCCAGTAGGATATAATAATATCTGCAGTATCTGTTTTCCTCTACCCTCATAACAGTACTATTTAAAAAATTTTTGTTTTGCCTATCTGTGTGAAATACACATTTATTAATGAGACCGGGCACTTTGTTTTATATATGCATTTCTTAATGAGACTGGGTACTTTTTTCATATACCTAGGAATTGTGTTTCTTCTCTGAGTTGTTATCCATAGCAGTTTTCGCTATTTTGCAATTCACACCTTTCATAATAATTTCTAAGAGCTCAATGTATATTGGGATATTAGCTCTTTGTCCTGTATGGGAAATATGTTTGCCCTGGTTGTCCATTAACTTTATTTTTCATGTCACTTCCTGTCCCCAAGCAGATTGTTTTCCTCTTAAAATGAAGAAAAGAAATAAAACCATTTTTTATGGAAGTCCTTGATCTGTCTGGAGTTGTATCTTAAACTTTAATTTTCACCATTGCTAGCCCCTCATGCCAGGATCATTTGTTAAATGATTTATTTCCCCCGCTGGTCTGAAATGTTCTCATTCCCATTCCCGTAAGACTTAGGTCTATTTCTGCACTATTTCCTTTCATTGATTTGCCAGGAAAATCCTCCTTTAATTATTGTTGCACTGCAAAACTTTTAGTATCCGTGAGAGCTAATCTGCTGTGTTCTTTCGAATTTGTCTGACCATTCTCCCAAAGTTAACCCTCCAAAGTACCTGAGAGTCATTTTGCCGAGTCCTCTCCTGACCTCTCCTTGCCCCCCACCCCCCGCCACCACATAAATACTGTTGTGGTATCTACGAGAATCGCCTTGGAGTCAGGGCTACACAGAGAGCAGAACTCTTCATAGTAACGAGTTTTTCCGTCCAAGAAAGTGGTTTTTCGGCTTGTCTACGTTTTACCTCGAAAGGGCTCGGTTATGTTTCCACTGGTCCTCCACATTCGCCCCAACTCATGGCTTGGATGTCTCTATAGCTGCTGTGAACGAGTTTCCCTTCCAGTGTTCCTTGGCTGGTTAAGTCTGATGAGTTCTCCCCATTTATTTTTATTAAAGAAAATAAAATGTAAAATCACAGAATAGACATGTCTGACCCTGTTTTTGTCATTTTACTGCATATTTTCTTATATATTTTTTAAATGTTCATCTTCTGTTCTCTTATATTAGAAGTTTCTACCCCAGCTCCATCTACTAGTGGCTGTTAGTGTTGTATCTTTCAATTAAAGAAAACCACGTTTTCTCTTTATCTACCAAAGAAAACACAATGGGTCTATTTACTCAGTCCATGAAAGATAAAAACAAATCAGTATGCGTACCTCTTCTCTCACCATAGGACTGGACTTCCCTCCATTTTCATTGGCATTTTATCTCATCATCTTTTTAAAAACACTATGTGGCTTTTCTTCCAAGAACTGTACCTGTTGTCACAGTCAACACACACACAGACTTGTCTGTACGTCTAGTGAGACACCCGCCACCTCCTGGCACCAGGCGTATGGTGCTCTCGCTTTCACGACGGGAACCACGCTGGGCCCTGCTGGGGGTGGACGACTCCTGGTCTGGTGACGGGGCGGAGAGAGGCCCCTTGCAGACGCAGTGCTACTGCCCTGCCACTCGGCCAAGACACAGCGTCCGCCGTCCTCACCAGGGGCCCAGCGTGTGTGTCACTGGCCATCGACAGGCTGCGAGAAATATGGGGCGGGGCAGCCACGTCCAGCACTGTGGACGAGTTGGGCTGTGGATGAAAGTTGAAAGACGAAAACTAAAATTCGGGTCTTCTCTAGCAGCCCGGTGCCTGGCTTTTTGCAGGTGGACAGCGTGGGATCTGAGTGCATGACGGCTGGGGGGAGGGACTTGATGCGTCACAGGGTCTTCGCCGCACCTGTGAGAAGGACCGCTTCTGCTGAGTCTTCGCTCCATCTGCCTGGCGTGCGCCCCACTCAGACACTGTCCCAACAGTGGCAGCTTTGCAATGTCCCCCTGGGCATTTACTATGATCAAGTTAGGCAAGAATACAAAGTGGGTAGAGATACATGGGCTTTAAAACACCCGGCACTTGTGCCTGTGAAAATAATCCTAAAAGAGATTCCATGCAATGCTTTCAACCAATGTAGACACACATAGTACAGAAAACAGAAAATTCAATGTTTTTTTTTTCTGGGAAAAAAGGTTTATTGCATTATGTTATATCAATAGATATCTTTTATAAAAAAAAGGTTAGAATAGAGATCTCACCTTTGTAAAGGCACATATGAAACATCTCACAGCCCAGCCGTGGCAGTGAGAACAAACAATACGCAACTCTGTAACAGGATCTAAATAAGACGTTATAAAAACAGGAAACAGTGCAAAAAATACTGTCGGAAGTCAGTTTTATACACCTCATCACTGTGTATAAAGCTGCCAAGCATAAGCTTATTAACTGATATAAAAAAGCATATAGAATAGCATGCATAGTTTTATTTAAGGCTTTTAATATTATTAAATTTAGAGGGAGCCTATGACAAAGTAGAGTTGGCATGGATTTCGGTAAACACTTCCCAACCTAGGGAATGTCTTACAAACTCCCCGCTCCCTCTCTCCCCTCACAAGTTGGTAGTAAAGAGGGTAGACTTCCATTTGCAAGGTAGCAACTCGGGAGCCCCAGCCCCAACCTGGAATGCATTTCTCACTGCAACAACCGAGCAGGTGGTTCGATTTCCAGGTCAGCCCACAGCAACAGCCAACCGGCTCTCGCTGACATAACCCGAAATTTCAGCTCTGCTGGGAGTCAGGAGGTTTCTGTGGGCTAATCCAAGAACTTCCAGAACAAACTGGTTTCTAAATTGGGAGCTTGTCTATGTATCGTTTAGAAATGAGAGCTGATAATGTCAATTGTTTTGAATGATACCACCATTTGCAACATTTTATAAAACACAGACTAAGGAAAGCATCAGAATACTGAATAAAGTAGCATAACAGTCGTCCAGTGAAACAAACTAGTTACACCTGTTATTTGATGTAACACAGGTTACACATAAGGTTACATAGTTAATAGTCATCTGCATATGTAAAACTTTTTTTCCCATTTCTGACTCCTCAAACAAGTTAGTTGACCGTTAAAGGAACAAAGGACATACCCAGGGAAGCATCTCTGATGAAGAGGAACCTTAGTAATGAAAGGATAAGGTTCATGTTTAAGATTCCAAAGAGTGGCAAGAAAGCTCCGTGAGAGGGAACTGCAGTAACATTTTACAACGTTCAAGTCGAACACAAAATGGCTCTGGATTACAGCTTTCGGTCCCAGGCTGAAGGTTATTTATTAGCTAACACTGCAGCGGAGGGGGGTCGGAGGCCCCTGAGAAACGCCTAGAACTCTGGGGGCACCCCTGCTGAGCCCCACTGATGCTAAACTGGAAGCAAGATTCCTGAGATTTTAGCCAAACAGTCCCACCGTAGGGCACACAGAGCCCAGGTCCAGTCCTGTGGGCTTTCTCCCTGAAACCTTCTGTGAGGAGGCATCTGCCTTTCCCGGGAGCGGGAGATGGGGAAGGAGGAACAGGGCAAGGCACAGAGTGGATAAACAGCTCACCCTCCCCCCACCCCCCCACCCCCCCGCCAGATGATAGAACTGACCATAACACGAATTGTCAAAAGTTCCTGGGGAGTCCAGAGCTTTTTCCGTTTCACCAGATTGGCTATGACGAGGGGAACTGGTTCGGGAGGGAGCCAGGAACAAATTAATCTGACCGCAGACCCCACTCTGCCAAGTGCAGCCGCTGGGGATCCGTGTGTGTTCACCTTGGCATAAACAGCAGGTGCTGCTGCTGTCAGTCATCGTCGTCAGGAGGGCGGTCCACCAAACCCACCCGTGCTCCCCTCTCCGCTGCTGCTGAGCGAGGGGCTGTCCCCGAGGGGGGGAGTGGGTGGGTCGGGGCAGCTTCCTGGCGCTTTCTATTCTGCTTATTTCCATTGCCAGATCTTACTCCTCAAAACTAAATAGCTTTAAAAAATTAAAACCCTATTTCCTGATTACACAGTTTGGAGAGGTTCAAGAGTTGAATACAGGTTACTAATCTGGTCACAGATTAAACTATTGTGTTGGGGTTTCCCTGACAAGGTAGGGAAAGAAAAGAAGGTGGGCTGATGAGGGCGGGCCCCTCATGCAAGTGGAAAACAAGGAGAGGTCGGCACAGCCCCTGGCAGATGAGGTGTCCCGGGTGAAGAGGGGGACCTCACAGAATAGTCCCACTGCGCCCCCTAGCGAGACAAGCAACAACTGCAGTTGCTGTCCTGACGTCCTCCCTCCTGACGTCCTCCCTGTTCTGGGGCCCTGATTATAAAGGTGACTTGCCATAAGGGGAAAATGCCCTGCAGGCCTCTGGGACAGCAGGAAAGAAGAACCAAGGTGCAGGGGAGCTGTGATTCTGACCGCGAGCCACGGGGATGGACGAGCGGAACCTGCTGATGAAAAAGGAAGGGCCACCAGCAAGCCACGGGAGACAGCACTTGCAAACAGCAAACCCAGGCGGCGCCCAGAAGCCATGGCGTCATCGAGCTCTGCACCACAGTGAGGACACGGGTTAACACCGGAGCAAGGGTGAAGCAGACCCCCACACGGCAGTGCGGTCTCTCCAGGGGTGTCACCGCCTAGCTTCTAGCCTCACAGCAAAGGACGGAGGAGTGCGAGAGACATTCTAGGATCCAGAAAATTATTTGTGAATCCATGACTCTCTTCGTAGCAACTTCAGGGTTGATTCCAAAACCCTCCCTCCTCCTCTCCCCACTCATAGGTCCTCCCTGGACAAGCTTGTGGAACTTTCTGGAAAGAACGATCCTGATGGCCCCGAGTGCGGCAGAAGAAACAGACTTTCCCTGCTGACCCTTGCCACATTCAGGCTGCACATCAGCTCCAGTCCTCCTGTCTTACAGTGAAACGTCCTTGGATTTGCTGCTGAGATCGGAGGCCTGGCCAAAGCTCTGAACAGCAGGAACTGATGCACACCCTCCCCTTGATGGCACCAAACCACAGAAAACCATCCAGTCCTATGAAATCAACTGACACCAGACACTCAATACCAAGGTCACGGACATTTTAGCGGAGAGCCTTTGAGTTTGGCCTTGCGGAACAGATGCAGATGTGTTAAGCTAGAAAAGATAAGCAAAGCGGTCTTATCTGAAAAAAAAAAAAAAAAACCCAGGTTGATGGGCTAGCTGAATTTCACTGGATACACCTCTCAGTTCTCCCAGGCATGCTGCTGCTACTTGTAACAGATGCATCACTGAGGTCTTTTGCCCTCGAAAGTCTTAAAAACTGAGGCAAAGACCAGAACCATCCTGCTTTATCACCCAGAGTTCAAGGGAAGTGTCGAACACAACTCAGCATCTTAGAGATTTCCACCCTACGGGCCAACTGGTGTGTCACCTACAAGGCTGTGGGCCACTGGAAAATGTGTGCAGTATCCACGGAAAACCCAAACCTGCATTTGGAAGCACTGCTACATGGGCTGCTATTTTGCTCACAAGAAGAAATCACTGCATGAGAGCATGAGAAGTGTCTGATGAAAACCAGAGGCAACAACTCAGCACAGCAGCAGACGAACCTTTGGTGAGACCAGAGAAAGCTGAGTTCCCACAAAGGGCCACTTAAGAGCCCACCCAGGGTTATTCGGTGTTTCTGGGAATTTCTGACACCAGGATCCCAACTAGTCCTGACACGGAGGTGGAGTGAAGGGCAGAGGACCACGAACCTGGGTCTGACCCAGTCCCCTCCTCGCGTCCAAGCTCCCTGGCATACGCCCAGGAAGGCCCCTGCACTTGCCGCCCACCCCGAGTGACTGACACGTCTCCCACAAAAGAAAAGAAAGGAGGTGTGCCCACTTCCCCATCAAACGCGCACTGGGAGTTGGAGAGAGAGGACAAAGCACCTTCTGCTCTCTGAAAGGACACCTTCGGGGACCACACACCTTGTCCCCTGACCACCGGCTGAGGTCAGCTCATACAGATGGCACATCCAGCAAGGACGGCAGCTGGACACCCCACAGTGCTGTGCCTGGTGGCCACCCCGCCCCCCAGCAGACTCAACAGCGCGCTAACGCCTCTGCAGAGTGACCTCCAGGCCCTTGAACAGCCCCCTCCCCGCCATGAGGCAGGCCTCTGCAGCCAGGCAGGCAGCGCACGCACGGACAGCCACGCTGCCTGCCGGCACGGGCTTCCGCGTCCTTCAGCTCTCGCCTGGAGAAACGACCTGCCCCGCTGTGCTGGGGTCTACGCTGCGTCGGGGGAAGAAACACACTCTGTGTATAAGGTCGCTCCACGTGGATTTTCTGTTATTATAAGTGAAATACGGTCCAACTCCCCAAAATTTCGTATGGGTCAACTCTATTAAGCTGGGAAAGGTAAGAAAGGCAGGCAGCAGGATGGAAACGCTGCCCCACTGTACCCACTGGGGTTGATAACGGAGCTGCAAAGGCTGAGAGCAGACAGGGCAGAGGTGCAGGGGGTGCCGGGCAGGCCAGTGGTCGAGGCCCACGGCACGGCCCACACGGCCGCTCCAGGCTGTCCAGGCGTCCAGGCTGATGGAGGAGGGGGCCGAGTTGGCCAAGGGACAGACACCTAAGCAAACAACAGCATTGATTACAGTTAAAAAATTTGTTTCTCTTCACAGTCTTGGGGCCACAAAGGTTCTAGAAGTGAAGTCCTCTGCGTGCAGGCTCCTGAAAGTCTATCACTCCAAGTCTTCCACGCAGAGAAGCGTTCCCCTGCCCTGATCCTCCGGTTCCCCTCCAACCGAGGACAGGAGCGCATTCCTCCTTGCCCTCTGGTGAGAAACTGATGGTTGACGCCCCTCTCGAACGCAGCCAGACCGTCCTGTGCCTCCCGTGCCTCCCGTGCAGGGAAAGACAATCGCGGGTGCCAGCGGAAACGCCACCAGACGCTCCTACTCAGAGGTGGTGCCTCCTTAGGGCCCAAGCCGACCGCCAAGCTCACACCCCACTCCGCGGTCCAGTGACCGGACTCAACAAGGCTGGACACGGGGTCCACGCACCCCAATGAGAGCGGATCAGAGGAAGAAAATGTTTCAACTGGACGGCTTCGAAACCAAAAGCCTGAAAATGTTTGGAGTCTTTGTTGTGGGGTGGGGATCCTCCCCTCCATTTTTTTATTTAATTCTCTCCTTTCAAACTGAAACCACAGCAACCGAGCCCAACAGCTCCAGCTTCGGACCTGGTCCACCATCAGGAACTCATTCCAAAAGCGCCGACCAGATAACTAATTTAATGCAGTTTGCTCCCAGGTTTATTCCTTGGCCGGCTTCCCAGATATGAAGCGTCTCTGGGCAATTATTATGCAGATGCCACCGACGAACTTTAAATGGCACTGCTCATTGAACAGGAGAGAGGCTGGTGTGCACTGGGGGTGGGAAAAGGAATGCAAAACATGCTGAAGGACCCAAAGCATTTGTTTTTCAAAAGGAAAGCTGTGGAATAACTTTCGAGTGGTTTTTTTTCCCCCTTTTGGGTTTCCATATAGACTTTGGCTGGGAAGTCAGATGTTAAACCCGGTTCTTTCCTGCATACTGTGCATTCAGGAGTGCTCCTGCAGCACCAGGAGGTAACCCTGGGTGGGAGGAGGGAGGCCCCTGAGTGATGAGCTCAGAGACAGCAGACCTGCACGTCGTCCTGGGGAGACGCATCCACAGGGCCCACGCTGTGGCCCGCGAGAGAGAGGCGGAGTGCCGGTACCGCTCATCAGACACTCGGGCAGTGAGCCGCAGACCGCCTGACCGGCCACCCCTCGCAGCCGACTACCCCGAGGACGGAAGTCTCCGAGGAGAGGAAACAAGTACTTCTCTGCTTGTGGACCCAAGTTCTGAGCGTCTCGAGGGCGGGCTGTGAGCTCTGTTCCACTGAAGGTACATGGCATGCTAACGGTTCTCTTTTTCAGAATATGCACCCGAATGCCAGAATCTACAGAGCTCAGCTGGAGCTGTTACACTCCTCGACTGACTCTTTAGGCCTTGGGGTGTAAGACAGACACTTACACGCCGCCCTCCGTCACCAGACACTCTGAGTCTACACAAGGGAAAGATCACCGTACCATCCGGCCAGATGGGACACTGAGTTGATTCACAGGCCAAAGCCACTCACGGGCACCTGTGTCCACACCCATCTGTCGGTCTGTGGCGACCGGAAGTCACAAAGGCACACTCTTCTCTTCTTGCTGGTTGATTTCATGCCATTCTTTCTCTGGATGTTTGTGCTTTCAGCTCAGGAGAAGACAAAAAGAAAAAGGAAACCAGGCAATCGTGGGAGAAGGCACGGCGCCACACCTCAGGGGCCCACTCGGACAGCAAAACCGCGACTTAAAAGTTGTGTTCAAGAAGAACTAGAGAGGAGGGGGCAACACCCCAAAATTCAGCAAGATGGAAGATGCGACCTGGGGTATCTGCGCCCTAACCTGAGACGTTCTGAAGGACGGCGACCGACGAAGGCCCAGGAAGGGGCAAGGTGAGAACCGGGCGTCACTGGAGGCGGCGTTAACGGCACAGATGACCAGGGTGGGCTGCATGGAGAGAAGGAGACCCCCACAGGACTTCGTGCGAGACCCCCGTCTTTCATCACGCGGGCTAGGTTTCGACTCCAGGGCCCGAGTGGGCTTAGTGCTGCTCTCACAGACCAAGGCCCGGAGATGGTACCAGCACAGTGGGGTCCCCTCCGGGTGGCTGCTGGCCAGGCCCCTGCTGGGTGTCAAGCGGCCCCTGTGAATCATCTTTCCCAGCTGTTTCTTTTATACCCCCTTCCCTGACCTGGCGACTGATGGACAGACAGAAGAGCCCCAGCACCTTGACCTTCAGGTCCCCACACAGCACACACTTCATAAACCAACACAGCATCCAGGGCCTTCCTGTCTCCCCTCGCTTCTCACTCTGGTCCGTCACCTTCTCTCAGTCAGGCAAGAGGCCCAGCTGCACAGATGGCCTGGCCCGGGGCCTCAAAGGCCACCAGCCCAGTGCCCACCGAGCAAATGAGGCGAAGCCGCAAATACGGAGGGTGCAGCCCCCGGCAAGGAAACATGGGCTCTGGGCCCCGATTACGGGGTCTTCGACAGAGACACAAACAGAGCTCCGCGGTCAGCCCGGGCGAGGGCACTGCTGCACTGGAAGGGCGGGATTTCCGCCTGCTGCTGCACCTGTCACTCCAGGCTGGAGGTGGGGGCTGGGAAAAGACCACTGAGGGTGAGGACAGAAAGGAGGAAGGGAGGAATCTGCCATCAAGGCTCATCAGCCCGAAATGCAAGGGAATTGTAGTGTTTTTCCTTCAGAAAAGGGTCTTGTGCCTGATCTTTATATTTTAGGAGGAATTCATTTTCTTGCCATCTTTGATTCGGACATGAGAAGTTAAGCTGATGAACTGCAGGGCTGGTTACCTGTCTGGCTGCAACTTCCCCAGAGATGCGTTCCCTGGTGCCCCTGTCCCCCAAACGGTCCACCAGGCCACCTTCCCCACCAACGTGTTACAATGCAGATCGGTCAAAATGTGGTTCAAATGAAACGTACGGCATTACAATGATTCACAAAAGTTATTCCAAAGGGGAAAAAAATAAATTATCTCATATAAAATAATACATGGTGTGTATGAATGATCTCGGCTCCCGTCCTCAGGGAGCATGTGTCCTGTGGACCCCCGCCGTCCGCGCCCTGCGGGGGGCGCAGAGGCTGTCTGGAGGTGCCTCCCCAGCTGCAAGGCGGCGCCGGGTCCCTCTTCCAGGAGCTGCGTCCAGGGCTCAAATGAGCCTGGAGTTTTGGAGGAACTGAATGAGGACTTGGTAGACAAACTTGTACTGAGCGATGGTCTGGATCATGAACATCCTCTGCTCCCTGAGGAGCCTCAGCATCATGGGCACCTCCACCTTCTGCAAGAGAAGAGAAGAAGCACAAGGTGCTGGGTCGGGGAGTTCCTCCATCCAAGGAGCGGCCGCTCACTGTCCACGTGCAGGGACAGGAGACGGCCGAGGACTCGGCCCCCCCCAGTCCCTCCCCACCGTGAGTTTCCCCGGCCGAGGACTTGACACCAGCAGCTGGAGAACCTGGGTGGCATGTACCCTGGATGTCCTAGTTTCAATGCAGGCCAGTGTGTGAGGGGAATCCTGGAGGCTGGAACGAAACCCGACTGGTCCTCTCAACTCTGTCATGGCCCAATGACAGGATCCGTGATGTCCCTCGGCCTCAGTTCACTGGTAAATAAGGACAACGGTGCTTTCCTCCAATGGCAGTGTGGCCCCGCCCAAGTCAGTGACATTTCCTGAGCAATGGCGTGGGGTGTGGATAGTACCCACCTCCCAGGACCACGTAAAGGAGTGCATGTGCAGCCCTCAGCACAGTGTGCGGCACACAGTGAGTTCTCCCTAAAGAGCACTCCTTATTATTTTATTCATGTTAATGAGGACAAGCAGGTGCTGCCCCTCCGCTCTACCGCTCTGTGGGTGTGGGGTGTGGATGCCTTCCCTCATCCACCTGTGCCTCAGTTTCTCTGGGCTGTACAAGGGAGCTAGTAAGACCCTCCTCACAGAGTTAACAGTGAAGGCTCCCCGAACAGTATATGGCTCTTACAATAGTCCTGGCACATGGTGAACACTAAATACAGGTTAGCTGTTGTTACTGTAATATTTTCATTTTTGTCATCGTCATCACTACCCCCTCCCCCACCCTCACCACCTCCTCCCCTCCCCCTCCCCCACCCCCACCACCTCTACTCCTATTTCCATCATTAGCACCGCCAGCACCACCATCACCACCACCACCACGAGCCTGCAAGACTCAGCCTCAAGGACAGACGGGATTTTCTGATCGGGTTTGGAGACGAGACAAAGAAGGTTCTCCTTGTCCTCGAGGGAAGGGTCCCAGCTGCCTTGAGGACTCATGCCCATGGGCCCTGATGTCCACTGCCCCTACCCCGAGGAACCCTGAGGCGGGTGACGCCTGCTCAGTGTTGCCCAGAGGGCATCTCCTCCTCCCGGCTCTGTGAAGGAGGGACAACTGATCCAGAAAAGCAGCCAGATCGAGACACTGTGCTGCTTGGCCAGTGAGAACCTGGTCCTCTGTCATTAGCTAACCTGGGACACATGGCTGAATCCAGGGAGCCGAGAGAGAGGACTGCAAACCACAAACTCGTGCTTTCCGAAGAAAACGCACGGGCGTTACAATGTGGCAGGGGACACTCGGCGGCCAACAACAGTGGGCCACAGCATGCAGACTGCACGGGTGACGGAATGAAACATAAAGTGGGTTAACGCGGAAGCCACGACACGAAGGCAGCAAAGTTCGGTGATTTGTCAAAATCTTTGCTGAAAAAACACATGAACACGCTATGCATGTCCCGCTCCTCTCCCAAAATAAGGGTTTGAAGCTCCCTCGCCAGGCCTGGAGCAGGGCGAGGCACAGGACTTCTCTCTCCCTCCCCATCTACCGACAGCCATCGTGGGAAACGGGCCCGGCGAGGCCGGCTATATTTGTGCTGGGGAAGGGAAGTGAAAAATATGAGTCATCCAGCTATCTTTGAATATCAATGGGAACAGAAGTCCTTTCTGGACCGGCCACTTTGCGACAAAGAATGTTCTGGCATGCAACTGGGCATTGAGGAAATCCGCTATGTTTGGACACGCCAGGGAGAGGTGACCGCCCGAGCCCTGGTCAAGTCCGCGCAAGGCCCCAGGGGCCGGACCCCTCACTCCGCGCTGGGCTGGCTCTGACGTGAGCCGTTTATGTTCTACTGGGTCAGTGACATCTGGTGACCAGTGAGCCTTCACGGCATCGCATCACGGAGGCCAGGTCTTTGATGGGTCTCCAAAGAGCTCAAGAGAGCCATCCTTCATGTCAGATGAGAGAGAGAACAGCTTCTTAAGGTGAAAACGAGGAGGGGAGTGGGAGAGGGGGCATGCACAGGGAATGGAGAAAAGAAGAATTTGATGAAGAAAGTGATATGAGGGGGGAGGCAGTGACATGTAAGGGGGGAGGGGGTGACAAGACCCTTCTTCCTTCCTTGGAGCCCACGGTACCCCCAGGGCACCCAGGGTATGCTTGAGTCACAGGTCCCCCGGTCCACTGTGTCTCACCCCATCTCCCAGCATGGCGCGCATCTGGGACTGAGCGGCAAGCTATTCACTCCGCTGCAGACTTACGGAGACTTCTAACGGGGACAGGCAAGCAACGAGCGAGAAGTCGTATGGGGGACAGAAGGGTGAAAAGTCATAGAAGATGACGGAATCTCCCTTACGTCACTTTGACTGTTTTTTTTCAATGACAGGCCATGTCATACCAAACACCTGTCCTGTGTTTCAGCTGTACAAACGTTCATCTGTACAGACTGAAAGTTTCCAAAATTAACTCTTTACAAGCAGGGAGTTTAAAAGTCCTTTGAACACATCTAAATGTAGCATTTATTGTTTTCCTGGAAATTGCAATATAATGAATTTCGTGGGGCAATGATTAATCCAATTTCGGAACCGCTGATGCTACTGAGTAAGTGCACATGTTATCACATAAATCCCTTCACAGCATATGCATTGTAATACTCCCTAAAAACTACCGAACCACTTTAAAAGTTTCCTGGATTCGCCAAGCTGTGTAACGTAGACAATGAGCAAGGACCCAAGGACACTTGTCGGGGTTTGGAGGTGGAGGGCAGACTGGCAGTAACTGGGGGCCAGGGGTAGGGGATCTCGTTTCTCTCCAAGGCACCGCTGCTTCGGAGCCACATGGCACTGGACGAGTCCCTAGCCAGTTTCTGGGCCTCAGTTTCCCCGCCTGCAGAGCAGGGGGACGGACGTGCACCCAGTCCCTACACGTGGCTGCTGTGAGGACCCCAACTGAAAAAAACAAGGGCAGCCCAAGGCAGATGCTCTTTAGCCCTGACTTCTGCGTGCTTCATCCTGAGGAACTCCGAAGCCCCTCAGAGTACCTCCCTGATCTGCGGCAAGAAGGGGGATCCATGCACTGTGCCGCCAGTCCAGCCACGGCCCCTTCTCTGGGGAGAAGAGCTGGGCGTGACCTCAGCAAAGGCACGCAGACGGTCGACCCCGCTTTGTGTGTGTCCACGCCGCCGCAGGCCTAGACAAGAGCCGACAACAACCCCTTGCGAGAAACCCGCTCTGAAGAACGACAGCCAGTTTCACACTCCACACATTCCACACAGGATCCAGGCCAAAACACGTCTCCGACGCGCCAGACGCATCTGAACTACACGCGACCGAATAACCCGCCAGGGGAAATTACCCACAATAAAACCAGACTGTCTACAAAACACGGCCGACTTCTGGAAGGAGACGTTGACTAAGATGGGACTTTCTAAACGGCTCCTATCTCATACTCCGATCTCTCTCCTGTACGCTGTGGACCTCCGCACGGCGCAGTGAGCGACAGCAGATAGGGAGGCAGTGAGTGTCACCGCACCGTCCCAGAGGGAACCACGGGTCTGGAAGGCCCGGGCCAGCACCGAGGAAATCAGGCCCTGGAAAATAAGGGCACGCGAGGAGAAAGGGTGGCTGTGGGTAGATGTGCTCAAGGCGGAGTGTTGGGGAAGCCCAGAGTGACTCACTTCGTTGTGCTCCAGGCAGTAGATCATCAGCTCGGAGAGGATGACCACACCGGTCCTCCCCACCCCGGCACTGCAGTGCACGACGATTGGAGGGTGCTGGGTCCTGGTGCCTTCCAGCATGCTGTTGGTGTGCCGGCGGACCGACTGGATCTCCTCCAGGTAGGCTGCAAGACAGAATGCGAATCTGGTCACCCCAGTCCTGCGGGGCGTTGCATACAAGTGAGGGGGGAAAGACAAAAACTGATGGTGAATCTTTTTCTTTTTTTTAAAGTGACAATAATTTACAGTTCTTACAAGACACTAATTATTTGGCTGGTACTCACTGTACAAGTCCTGGAGCCAGAAAGGACCAGCTGGGAGTCAATTAGTCCATGGGAGAATTTGTTCCTTAAATTAAATAGTTCTTTTTTAAAAATTAAATTCTGGTTTCCCCTCTGCAAATCCCAAAGTCCCCCAAGCAGATGATTCTCGACATTACTTACAGCGATTCCTACTATTAACAGACGGGGATCAGAACACCAGCTAGGGCCCCTTGAATCGCCCGCCTGTCGCAGCCAATTTCTGCTGGGAAGAGCGTCCATCTGCCCCTTTCTCCCTTCTCCTCACGGAGTGAGTGAGTGTCAACCGAGGCTTGACTTCATTTTCAGATTTTAAAATAAGACTCGATGGGGCCTGCTTCTCAGCTGGGATGCCCGAGGTTCAAGGAGTAGCTCACGATAAGCCACCCTCGGCCCCATTTCTGGAGGCGACGTGTTGGGACCCGGGGTCTTGCCACCTCCCCCACCCCTTCCGACCGCTGCTCAGCTCAGCAGGGCTGCGCGGGGCTCTGTTCATTACTCCCAAGGGGCACGAGTGAAAAGTTACGGCAACACTGGCCATCACGAGCATCAAAATAAATAAATAAATAAATAAGGGTAGAAATGTAGTTCTCCAACAGTCCGGAAAAAGCCCATCAGTAACTGAGAGTTTGCAGGAGCTGGCTCGGGGGGTTTGGAGGTTCCCGGCCCTCAGGAGAATCCCATCCTAACGCAGCAGCGCAGCAGGGTGCACCAGACCTGGAGACGCTCACGAGGGCGAGAGAAGGAGGTGCGTGCAAACCCGTCTCGCCCATCGAAAAGCATCTGTTTACACACAGTGAACAAAAACTCCCGATTTCCTTTATAAACTCATCTAAGTACAAAGCAATCTGGGGTAATTCCCCAAAATAAACAACGATCGCTACCGGCGCCACCGGCAGTCATGCAAAATGAGACAGGACAAGCAAGGGGGCAGACGGAGGGGCTGCCCTGAGCCGCACACCGCGCAGGGAGGGAAGCCTCCGACCCGCTGTTCTGCAGCGCGGAGAAGACAGCGGGTGACGCTGTCCGACAAAAGGCGATGCTGCCCAACAAGGGACCCGGGTTTTCTTATGCTAAATGGAGTCACAGAAATGCTGGTCTGTGAGGCAGAGGCCCCAACAAAGGCAGTTTCAGACGGCACGGGGGAGTTGGGTTTACACGGGCGCTCCCTCCAGCCACTGCACGGACGAAGCTGTCACTCAGCGAGGCCCTCCGGGGGCTGGAAACGCTCAGTCTCCGCGCAGACAGGCGATCTGAGCTGAAGCTGGGAGGGCCAGCGGGTCTCAGACCCCACTCGGCGCACCTGCCCCGAGTTTCCCAGGAGTGGGAACTAGCACATGTAGATCGTTTAAAAATGCTTTCTCGGTCATTCGGATGGGCCTTCCTTCCGTGGGTCCTGATTTAGAAGATCTGGCTTTAATTTCAACCACCTTAGAGGCTCGATCTTTTACCGGCGTTGGCGGTCAATCACCCATCTGATCCACCCATCTGATCTACCTTTGTGGTTTCCATAGTCTGCATCTTGGAAACGCTTCGCATCAACCCGTTAGAAGGGAATAAAAAGAACGCTACAATGAGGAGAGTTCTGCAGAGGTCACTGCCCCGCTTATTAGGATCTGAGCTACGGGCAGCGGCTCGACCTCAGGCCAAGCCTCTCCAGGTCCTGCTCTAGACCCTGGGGTTCCAGTCCCCTTTCTCTTCTCTGCTTACAGCCTCCACCTCCTGCGGTAGCATCGTTGCCCGAATGGGAAATTAAACACCTGTATCAGCAAAATAAGTCTGCATCGAAATCTTTGCGGAGAAGTTCGAGAATGGTGCTTAAAAGCCTGTCTTCTCTGTCTTCCCCGCCTCCCTGCCCTGCCTCCCACTCTGAAGGAACAGCAGAGCAAACTCTCAGTGCTGGACTGATCCAACGTCCAGATGATGGACCCCTGGCACTAGCCACAGGTACCCTACCAGCTGGGGAGGCAACCACCCAGCAGGCAGAACAATAGACCTTCAGAGAGCCCGACGCCCTCCTTCCTAGGCCTCCTTCCTAGCGGGGTCAGGAAGGAATGGGCTCTCCCCCCAAGGGCACGGCATTTAGGCGAGGAAGGAAGGGGACGCTCTGCAGCTGTCATCAAAAAGCGGGTACCCTGTGAGCGCCCATCTGGGATCCAAGAGATCGCCAGTTCAATTCCTGGGAGGGGCACATGCCTGGGTTGGGGGCCAGGTTCCCAATTGGGGGCATGTGAGAGACAACCCACATTGATGTTTCTCAAGCACATCAACGTTTCTCTCCCTCTTTCTCCCTCCTTTACCCTCTCTCTAAAAAATAAACGAAACCTTAAAAAAAAGGCAGGTGACAGTATTGCTGTCACCCCTGGACTGTAATCGCTGGCCTGCCTTTCTCACAAGACCTCGAGCACCTTTAACACAAAGATCGCTGCATCCCTGCGTCCCGCGAGTCCAGGCTGTGCTGGCCACATGGCGGGCACACGCCCAGCTCGGGCCTTTCAGACAGAGTACTGCGTGTAATCTGGGAGAGAATGCGCTTCCCAGGTAAGCACATCCTGAAAAAGCATGGAAATGAATGACTCCAAAAATGACCGTTTCAAGCCTACAAGTGGGTTTCCATAATTCCTAGCATCTTAATCGCAGGTCCTGACGGAAACTTACTGCTACCGGGAAATACAGGGCTTGTGAGAGCAAAAAATAAATGTCTTAACTTTAGTGTTCTGTGGGGTGGTTTTAATTATGGTGAAGTACACATAACATAAAATTGATCATTTTAATCATTTCTACGCATACAATTTCAGTGGCATTAAGCATATTCACAACCTTGTCCAAACATCACCGCTATCCATTCTAGAACTTTCTTGTTGTCCCAAACAAACTCTGTACCAGTCAAATAATAACTCCTATTCCCCTACCCCCTAACCCCAGGTAACCTCTATTATACCTTCTACTTGTGCAAAGCTATGCATTCTGGGAACCTCATATAAGGGGAGTCATACAATATTTGTCCTTTTGTGTCTCGTTTATTTTACTCAGCACAATGTTTTCAAGGTTCGGACATGTAGCATGCACCAGAATAATTATTAACGAGTAGCTAAAGTTCTAAATCCAGGTAGAAGGTTTAGTTTGCCACAGTTTTCGCTTATTTGCATAACAAGTAAAGAGAATACAGTAAGTGCCATGACTTGTCTTCTCTGCCCTGCATACACTATACGAAGGGTCACATCCGTCAGTGACATGCATCACTGTTACAATACTTTTGCCTCTTAAGGGAAAGCATCCCCTTTCCACTTCACCTCCCACAGATACGACCGCTGATTCAGCAGGTAAAACCATGACTAGGAAGGGAAAACTTACACAAAAATCCTTGGACATCCTCTGGGCAGCCGTGATCCGGCCAGTCAGTGTACTGCAGATGCCACACCGTCCTTTCCTGCCCAGACAAAAGGTGCTTGACCTTCAAGCCCGTGGTTGCATAGCAACCAGAATCTGTTCGGAACTTTGTGGTGACCTTGAATTTGCCATAGGTGGCTGAGCTGTGCTTGGAACCCAGTTTGGGCCAGTATCGGTGGCTCTTGGTTCGTCCGCCCTCCTGAATCACACACAAAAGCAAAATTGGAAATAAGTCAGGGGAAGGAAGCTCTTATCCTCTTAATCTTAAAATCTGAGGACAGAGAAAAATATAAATAGCTTCTAAGTCACTAACTCAGCAGCGCTGTGCGGTGCCTACCAGAGATTAGGCCCTATAAATCTGAGCTAAGACCCATAATAAGATGTACAATGGTAGTGACAGCGATGAAAAAGGTAAGAGATTCACAACTGAGCTGCGGCTGAATGTTACAGAGAGACGAGCCAGCGCAAAGTCTAGAGGGGGGAAACCAGCTTGGGGTGTCGAAGAAACAGAGAGGTCTGCAGAGCAGCTGCAGTGTGGGAGAGGGTGGTCGAGAGGAGGCTGGAAAGGCGTCCTGGTCCATGGCAGGGGGGTTGGATGTCACGCCACAGACAGTGGGGAGCCAGCAAAGGTGATGGAGCGACCTTAGGCAGTGGGGTGACGGGCTCTAGCCGTCACTCTGAGTCACACTCTGCGTTTCTGATGCTCAGCCCTGGGCTCTGCTCTCTCTAGGACATGCACTGATGATGGACACAGCCTCCACCACCTAGTGTCCGTCCACCTTTTCCCCAGCCTGACCCATCTGTTTTAGTTCAGTCGACCCCTGAACGAGAGAACAGTGGGGCATACCACCTTGCTCTCTCCGTTCACCGTTCGATCTTTTCTGAGAGTGTGCCTTCTCAGGTGCTTACACCAAGGGTCTATTTCTAAACTTTCTGCAGGGTTCCGAAATCCCTGGAGTGGGGGTGGACAAGATGGGGGCTCACAAGGGGACCCCGGGCAGGGAGTGGGTGCAGACAGTGGAGAAACGCCGTGCGGCGGGAGTGGGCAGCCAGCGCTGGGGGACTGGCTCCTCACACGAGTCCTGACGCCTGGCGCACCGACAGAACAGCGCATCTCTGGGGGACACAGAGAAGCTGCCCCTCACTTATTTGGCTGTAGCAAAGCCTTGTTATGTTCGAAGCAGCCTGCCTCTTTTATTTCTCTGAGGCCTTGAATTTACGTTGCTGCTGAGCGTCTAAATCAATGACAAGTTTCGGAGGCTGCCTCACAGACAGACCACTGGACTTCGTGCTGGTGAGGCTGGCCTCTTCCGTCACTCAGGTTTCAGCTCAAATGCCACCCCTCGGCGGGCCCTGGGCTGCCCATCTGAAGAAGCTCCCAGTCACTCTCTGTCCCATTACCTGTCTGCTTTGTCTCCGGGGCACTCGCCACTGTCTGAACTTATGTGACTTGTTCGGTTCTTACCCTCCCCACCCCTCACTCTAGGGTTCAAGCTCCCTGGGGACAGCGACCGCGCCTGTCTCGTTAGGCACTGTGGCCCTCGGGTTAGCACGGATGGTGCCCTGCGTCAAGTTGAATGACATCCTCCCAACTGTATCTCGTGCAATTCCAAAAGATACAACCACCCTAGAGATTTTAGGAGAGTTAACTCTTTGTGGGAAAGCCAAATCGAAGGTCAGAGAAGGGCAGGGGCTTTAAAGAGGGGAAGTCCCTCTCACCACTAGCTTCTAACGGGCCGTCCTGGAAAGCAACTGCATGGGACAGTCGATGAAGAAAATGGGCCTTTTCCCCCCAGTCCTCTCTGTTCCTCACCTTTTAAAAATGGTTAGCAAAGGGACGTGTAACACTATACGTGGTAAAAACCACATGAAACCAGTCCCTCAAATGACTTCAAAACATAAGTTAAAATTTAATGAAAAGAACGAAAGGAAGTGGTTAAGAATTTTTTTTTCTTAAACTTGAGAATGCAACAAGAAAAGAAACAAAAAAAATGTCTCTCTGCACGGACAGCAAGCTCCTGGGGAACCACTCTGTGGCGTGTGCCCATTCTCATGCTGCCACGTAGAGTTCTCTGTTTGCAACAGTGCAACTATGTTTGACTTGGCAAAGGAAGAAAAAAAAATCCTTTTCTCTCCTGAGAGAATAAAGACCTCCACAGGAACAACAGCTTCTGGTCTCTTTTCCACCGATAAGCAGGAGGGCAGGCCGGCTGGCCATGCGCCCAAAGTGGCCCAAATTCTCGAGTTCCGATGGAAAGACCATGGCTTCGTTCAGCACCCAAGGCTGAGCAGGCTCTTTTTGTGCGTTTGATTTTAGTTCATGGCCATGCAGGGAGGAGAGTGTAAAGGCTGATGGAAATGGGATGTAATACATTGTCTTTGGGAAGCAAAACGAATTCATGCGGACGTCAGAAGAGAAGACGCATGCACGCCAAGGAGAAAAGGGTTTGCAGAGCACAGTGCTGCCGGAAGAGGCGGGGGCAGCCCCTCTCTGGCCAGCGCCCCCCGCCCCCAGCCCCCTGCCGCCCCCCGGAACAGACCGCTGTCCCCTTACCTCTTCCGCGGTGACCATGGCGATCACGTTGGCTCCCTGCTCCCACACCATCTGCCAGAAGTCGTGGCACGTGTGCGGCAGGGGCCCCTGTGTGGCTATGTAGTGCCATTCTGCCCCACCAACCACCACCTGCAAACCAAGGACAGCATTGGTGAAGCAGCCCCAAGTGCAGGACTTGCTGACCCCGGGCAGGCCACGTCGTGGGTCAGTGCCATTACCAAATACCCCGAGGCCATGCGGGTTCATAGGAAAATGCTGTTAAAATACATTTTTGTCAGCAACCCACAGTAACTATGTACGAACCAGTGCACTTCAAACACACACGTATCTCCACACACACAATACTGGATGAACGCATGTGTATATAACCTAACAGAATTTATTATAGGAACGACAGCCATGTTTACCATGTGCAATGCACTTTGATAACCCATTCTTTTCTCTACTCTAGTCTATTTCAAAACCAAGCTGGTCCTGACTCCTGAATTGACTGTACACCCCACTACGACACTGTGACCCGCAGTTGGAGAATCAGTGCTCTGTGGCATCCTTCCAAACAGTGCAGAAGTCCACCGTGGACAGAGTGGCTTCAGGAGTGATGTCCTTCTACTGCTGACTTGGTAAGAAGCGCATCGTAAACCTCGGTGGTGCCTGCCGCTGCACTGTGCCCCCCACGGTAGAGGCGTCACAAAGCCACTTAAGTCAACAGCACGGGCTCTTCTGTCACTGACTCCCCCTGTGCCGCCCCACAGCATCCAACCGAACTTTGGAGCCATGAGTTGGTTTTGGAAAATAAAATCACTACCCCGCGCGCGCTCAGAGTGACCTCGGGAGAAGAATTCTGCAGCTGCAAATTTCAGCAGCAGAAAAATCGTAAATAAGAAGCTGTGTCCGGAGGCCCAAAGGCCACGGTATCCGGCTGAAACGGTGGCCCTGGCAAGGATTCCTTCCGGGTCCCTTTCCATTCCTGGGCCTTGAGGTCGCAAAGCCAGGCTCTCACACGGCCGCCATGGCAGACTCTAAGGAGTTCTAGAAGCAATGAAGGGACCATTGTTGGAAACTTTTCCCCTCCCTTATGTTATGAAACTCCAGACTAACTTGATTCAAACAAAAACAATGTCAGTTACCGTTTGATTACACAAGGCATGTTTAGGTCAAAGCTGGCAAGCAAAATCCGTTTTCCAAGTACTGGTGGGAGGCAACATCCATATAGTTGCTGGCTGGCTAGGAGTTGGGTTATCAGTGGAGCTGGGATGGATTTTCAACATCAGCCTCCCTGGCACCCACCATATAGGAACCATAAATACTTCCAGAGTATGCTGCTGCCTGGGGCCTTCCAGCAAATTCCAAGTATTGACAGGAGGGTATTAAAAACTGCATTAAAAACACAGCAACCAGTGCTGCTAGGTAGATTTCACAGATGTGATTCCACCTCTGGAGCGAAAAAATCTCTGTTCTGTGTTAACGGCCGTTTGGAACCCAGGGAGAAAACATTGGCAAGGTAGACGAGTCTATTCCAAAACCACGGACAAGTTCTTGCAAGCTCCATGGGTCTATTAAACGCACCCATGTCTAACCCGGATCCACAGATGGGATGTGGGCCCCGGAGAACACTGGGGAAGGGAGTGCTTCCGTAAAGGACACCCAGTGGGCCCAGCTGATGCCGACTGACAGATTTTTCCAGACAGCAGATGGAAAATGGGAGAGGAGATTGGGCCAAAAGAACAGCACAGTATAATATCGCCATGCAAGATTTCCATAGGCATTCTATCAAGAAGCAGCTGTGTGAGTTGCCTCTTTGCTTGATTGCATGGCTTTGGCCATTGTCTCGCAATCTGAACGAAACCCATGCATCGCGCTGTCATCAATTCACTGAAGGGTTTCCTGGGTTCGTTTTTCATTGTTTTCGTTCTCACTCAACAGTAAGAGTGAAAAACGCAATCGGACCCATGACGGTACTCTTCCATATTTCTTTTGACAGCACTTCCTGACACTTAAAAATATATGCAGTTATCTATGCTCTGTGTGCAAAAGCATTACGCCCCACCTCAAGTAGGCTTGTCATATTTTGTACCAAAACTGTAATAACTGGTATATGGGCCAGACATCTGCCTGCATTTTGGAGGATTTGGCTACAGCTGAAAAGTCCAATGAAGAAAGGCAGGAACTCCGGGCAAAGCCAGAAACAGGTTTCTGAGGTTATTGACCATACCAGACCAATCATGTGGACCTTACACTGTTTAAAAACATCCTGTAACAATTGCTTTAACACTAGTTCATGAATAAATTTTTCTTCTTCAGAGGGCAGAGCAAATGGTGATGTTCTAAGCAAGTATGTGCTGTCATTAGAGACACTGAGGAAGGTAAGCTATTTGGAGTATGGACCCAAGTGTCCATAACTCTCAATTCTATTTGGGGTCAACCAGAGCTAATTGAAAAAATCTGTGAAATACTGAGATGGAAAGGTTTGAAGCCACTGAAATATTTAAAAAATGTAAGGACACTAACATACTGAATGATGCGGCAAATCTCGCAAGACTCGCTACTGAGCGCCCCTTTGGGTTTATGTTTAAATTGGTCCACTCTTCTAAATACGAGGCGACTTTGGGACTTCTGGTGTCACAGGCCTCCCCTGCAGCACTACCAGGGGTTATGGGTAAGCTGTGCGGCTCTTGCACGTCACAAAAACGTCCATGCAGTAAGACAATGCCTGTGACTCCCAAAGTCTCCCTCATCTGCTAATTACAAACTGAAAACTCAAGGTTTTCATGTGCGTTTCTGGGAGAGTTATAACCTGAGAGAGAGAGAAATTAAATCCTCTGTCCCGAGCCACCTTCAGAAGTAGCTGACCTGATGTTTTCCCCACGGCCCCCAGGCTTCCTTCCTGCTGCAGACACAGGCATGCCCTTCCCAGTGAGGAAGTAAGAAAGGCCCAGACGGTCAAAAACATGCCCTCGGGGTCTGGGAACGAGCCAGGGTACACAGGGGCGGCCAGTCCAACACTTTTTTCTCCCTGCATTTTCACCTCTAACCCAGCCGTCTTCTCCAGACCTTCCCGGCACGCTCCCCGCCTCACCTTGATGTGGGAGGCATTGATGTAGCCCGTGTTGTTTTCTTTGGTCGGTATCAGCTCGACTCGATTCTCCTCATAGGGCACAACTTCGCGGATCCGGCTGCGCTCAGCATTTTCGGGCAGAGCCGCTGTGCTGAAAATGCCATTCGCCTTTTTCTTTGGGATTTGCTCATATTCCGTGAACACCATTCCCTCTTCCAGCTTCTTCTTCAGGGTTCTGAACTGCAACAGAAATGAATCTTCAGCTCGCTGGACGATTTTAACCAAAAGCCCCACCAAAACAACCCGATTTCTTTCAACATTGACCCTGATGGTGTTAGTAAGGAGTTCCAAGACGTCCAAGTGAAGCTTGATTACTTGGTCTCATTACTGACCATGTTGCTAGTTCCAGTAACCAGTCTCCTTTGCACTTACACCTTCAACGGGACAAATCTGCAAGACCGGGCAAGAGCTGAAATTCACAATTGGTATTTTTGTTATTGACACCTCTGTTTAAAGTCTTAATGTAAGGAGATTTTTGGTCTTAATTACCCAAACATCCTTTTCTCCACAAACATAGCTCCTTTCACTGGGCTGAATCCGCAGATGCTACTGGTGCATAGTCCTGCAAGTCTGAGGATTAAAATAAAAGTCCCTCTCCTTTTATTCTTCCCATGGCCAAACTACTAATTACAATAATAGGTATTACTTGGATTAAATAATTCCTCTAAAGTCCCTTCTGGTTTTAAAAACAGGCTAATACTTCACATATGCTGACAGGAATCTAAAACCCTCCTGGTATTAGCACTCCACACCTGTTTCTTCAACCTCTGATAGCAAATTCAGGAACCAAAGGATCACCTTCCTTCACCTCTAAAGAAAATACTACCATGCAATTTAAGCAGCACATTAAGAGAACTCTGTAAATGATTGGGTGAAATACTCACTTTCTAAATAATGGTAATCATTCATAAAAATCATCGACATCGAGAGCCACGTCAACTGTTTAACTTTCTCACTTTGCGGAAAGGGAAAGGGGCCCGAAGACGCGGAGTGACCCGACCGAGGCCCCGTGGTCAAGGGGCTGGTCTCTTCAGGCAGCCGCCACTGGGCCCACTGGACAAAGAAACATCAGGTCCTTGGCACAGACCCACTTATTACAACACAGCTAGACTACGTCTCGCTAATCTCAAATAGAATTAATTCATCAAATAAACCCCAGTGATGGCATGTTTGGGCAAGGAGAGGGCTCTGGAATCCTCAGAGCACAGGGAGTGGGTCACGTGCTGGACCGGCCCGGTGCTTACCCTCTCGTCCATGGGAATCCGGGTGCCGTCAGCTCGGCTGTCTTCCCGCCCCGAGACCCGAGCGACCGAGAGCCCGTTCAACGCTGCCAACATCAGCGGCCTCTTCTGCGCCTCCAGGCCTGCCATCTTCTGCTTCTCTAGATTCTTGCGGCAAGAAAAGGCATGTTCTCATTGTTTATAATACCAGCGGAGTTCTGGAATGTGTTTTAATCTCCCCAAATCTGTGACTCCCCAGCCAAGGAATGCAGACACTCACCATTAGCAGGGCAAATCCAAACGCAGCCTACCCATCAATTCCCACTGTGCCGAGGAAGCCCGTGCCTACAGAGCTCTCGTGTTAAAATAGGTGAATCCGTGACCAAACAACAAGCAAACAAGAGCAAAGGCATCCTGCGACAGGGCTCACCAAAAACAATGAAAAAACAAACAAACAAAAAACCCCAATGTACGAGCAAGGTGCTAATACACCCTGCAACAGGGGCTCACCAAAACACACACACACACACACACACACACACACACACAAATACTGTGTGATGCACTGTTTAGAGAGCTGAACACACACATTGTAAAGAAAAACCTGCTCAAGTTTCCATTCTGAGGGGTTAACTAGAAGGATGTTAATCCTGTACTGAACCTCCAGTCCTTGAACTGTCACTCCCAGAATGAGAGCTGATGTGACTTAGCCAAGGAGCTCCCACCGAAGCCTGGGGCCAGCTAGGACGACGCCCCGGGCAGGCCCTTCATGAAGGACGAAGTGGACGTGGCCACGGCTCCCGACCACCGTGGTGGGACCCCGCTTACGAGACTCAGCTGTGAGAATACGCAGTTGGGGGCTGAGCAGACCACGTAGGGAGAGGTTGGAGGTTGACACCTGGCCCTCGCTGGTGGCTTTCGGACGGCCTCTGGGTCCTCACCGGCACTGCGGTCTGAGGCTGGCTCGGTCAGTGCTGAGTGCCAGGCCCCCTGCTGTGTGGCCTCGTGACCTCGGAGGTGGGCAGGGCATGAAACACCTCCTTTACTCACTTCACGCAACCCAGTGAGAGCATGTCCCCAAAATCACTTTGTCATCAAGTCGGCAGAACTGAGGGACTTTATAAAGCATGGGGAGATTTTGGGCCAAATGGAAGTGAACCAGTTTGCAGACTCCCTCCGCTGCTGCACATGAAGGGGCCCTCGTACCCCTGGTTTCTTTTCAAGCTTTTTAGTGGATTTGCTTAGTCCATCGTTTATCAATCTACTCCCCAGAGAGAGGTGTCTTGATGGGACCGTGGCGCTGGCAGACGGCACAGAGTGAGAGGGTTATTCTGGTGGTGGTGAGGGGATGGCATCTCACTCATTCCCTGGGTTCCACCCGCACCTGAGCGGGCCCTGCGTTTGTGAGCGACACTGCCCTTGAGATACAGTGCCTCCTCCAGGGACAGGGAGGACCCACTAGGCAAACCAAAGGTGCTTCTCAGGGGGAGTAACTGTGACAAGTGAGAAAACTACTGAAGAACTTTCAGCCAAAACATATAACAGCCTTAAAAATAGTGACCCTGGCCCTGGCTGGGTGGCTCAGATGGTTGGAGCATCATTCTGTGAACCACAAGACTGCTAGTTTGATCTCTGGTCAGGGCACATGCCTAGCTTGTGGGTTCGATCCCCAGTCAGGGCACATACAGGAAACAAGTGATCAATGTTTCTCTCTCCTTCTCCCGCCACCCCTCCCCGTCTCTCTAAAATCAATAAACATATCCTCAGGTGAGAATTAAAAAAAAATTAGTGACCCTGGTTTCTCCATCCCAGGCAGATTTAGAAAAATCTGAATTTACATTTTGGGGTTTTTTGTTTGCTTGCTTATAAGTCTGTTTTTGTGAGAGAGAATCCCCCCATCCCCCATGATCTCTTCAGCTGAGAATTGGTTTCACAACTCTGCAAAGTTTTGAGAGCCTAATTTTGGAAGAATGGGCCTGAAGCCCTTCTGATAGTCCTGCCTGCAGGACAGGTGCCCCTCCCGGGGCCTAAGGCAACAGGTCACGAACTCGCCCACCCGGTGGGAAAGGACAGCCCAGGGACAAACCCTCTCTCTCAGCTCCTTCTCACGTACCATATCGGCTAATTGCCAGAGATAAAAAAGGAAAAAGAAAATAAAGATCTGATTTGGCCTTTTCTCTTCCCTGCAGCGGATTTTGGATTTCGGGTCAGGAGCTAAATGTGGTTGGGCAGCAGCAGGAGCCAGAACGAGCGGCTGCCCAGACCGCAGGCCCGGGTCACCCATCCAACAGACAGGCAGCTCCTCCTGAGCTACGGAAAGCTGGCCGCAGGGCAAGTGCTCACCACCCCGGCCCCTCGAGTTCCCCTCGGGCTGCATTTTCTCACTGTTCCCCTACCCTCGGGAGGCCCAGCCTTCTCTTCTTACCTTCTTCTAAGCCACGGGAAAGCTGCCCGTTGGCGGGGAGGGCAGAGGGGCATCGGGCGTGTGGAGAGGAGGCCGGGGTGAGCTTCCTCATCAAAAGTCGGATGGAGAACCACGCGGCACTGTCACCATCATGCCCCGCACACTGGCTTGCTGAGGAACCTCCTGACCCTGCTCTAAGGTCAAGACACCCACCCCGGGAGCAGTCCTGGGGCTCCCAAGCATGTGGGATTTGGGCAAAATTTCACGGGGGACCGTGCAGTAGGGATGGGGCAACAATGCTCCTGACGAGTTAAGGGTGAGGTCAGCTATTCGCTATTATCCATCTGGACAGGATGGGACAGCACACGGGACACGTGGGAGAAGCCCCTTGCTGCCCGGTGATGATGCATGAAGCTCCGTGTAGCAAATCCATGCCCTGAGTCTGGCTACGGTCTTCTGTTTAATACAAGTAACAAGAGAAGCGGAGGGACCTGCCCAAAATGAGCCCATGGGACGGACCATCAATAAACATGGGGTCAGCGAAGTTGCTGAGCTGCGTTAAAGGAGGGCGCCTGGAGCCAGGAAGTGCTGAAAATCCCTTTCTACCATAAATTACACAGCCTCCCCCAAGGCGCCCCGCTCGAATTCCATCCCCCAGCCAAGTGGTTGGGTCACCAGAGGCATGAGCACATCGGTCAGAATTTCCCCTCCAGGTTTGCAAGCAGTGGAAAAAGTTACACCTGCCCCCAACGCTTAGCCCCCACTCCACTGCCGGCCAGCACTGGGAGGCTGAGAGAGTTGTTAAGGTCTGTCTAGAATAACAGAGTTGTTCCAGATTGGATCCCTGAACCCCGGAACTTGGCTTCCTTCAAACACTGGCCCTTGACTGATCTTTGCAGGCTGATTCCCACTGCAGACTCGGGGAGACTTATGAAGGAAGTCTAAAGAATGGCATTCAAAGCAAAGTTTAAGTTACGACAGCTCCGGAGTTCCTAAAACATGCCGGGGCGGTCCTAAGGGACGTTTACCATTACCAGTTCATGGTGATGTTCTTGGCTTTGTGTTACACATCTATGGAAAAAGACCTGAAAACCAGCCTGGACACACCATGCTCTAGTCAACATCGGTGGGCCACCCTGACATACAGATGGACAGAGAAAGCTCCTAAGAGATGTTGCTCTTCTAATATCTACCTGGGGGAAAAATGCTTTACTCTGGGAAAACCCCCCAAAAGGTCAACAGGGGTAGGCAGGTGAGCTCCTCGCAGCTCACACGGTACGTCTGATCCTTAGCAAACAGCAAAGTGCTGGCCTAGATCCCCATCCCAATACCACCGACCTGTAACGTCCCAACTCCATGCCTGCTCTTTGTACCAAGAACGGGAGAGCTACTGGAAGGGACAAAAACCAGGCTTTGTGAAATAAAATGGCACTTGTTTCATTGCCAGGTGACTCTCTGAATCTCTAACGCCTTCGCACCTTCTGCGGTGTCGGAGGTGCATGCGCTTTCCCGACAAACTCTCTCAGGGACAAGGGCCCGAGGAGCTTTGGGGGGCACCAGCCTGTGTACCCGCCCCCCAGCATGCCCTGGGCGGGGTCGACACTCACCCTGATCATCATCTCTCTTTCTATGATGCTGTCCTCCAGGGAAAACATCTCGGACACGGGTCTCTCCTTCACGGGCTCCTTTTTGACCCGCTCCTTCACACTGGTCAGGTCGGGCTCCGAGATGGACGGACCCAGGGAGGCCCCATTGACGGCCAGCTGGTCGGCGCGGGAGACGCTGATGGCCTTGGCCGGCCCGTGCCTCATCACCCTGGCCCTGGCGACGGCAGGAGGAAGGCTAGCCTGGTCCTGCCTCAGTGCCCCGTTGCTGACGCTCTTCCTTGGGCCCGGGTACTCGGGAGGGGGTTTGTTGGGGATCCGGGCTAAGGCTGCCTGCAGCTGGGCGCTGTACTCCATGTTCTCGCGGATCCCAGGGATCCGGGCCACTGATTCCGCCGCCTCCTCCTCCTCCTCGCTCTCACTGCTGTGGATCAGCATCGTGGCATCCGAGAAAGTCTTCTTGTGGTGGTACTGGGGCAGCGGGGGGACCTCGTGGCCCCCGGGCACCTCCTTGGGCGGCCCCTGCTCCCGCAGCGTGTTGCGGCGCGCCATGGGGATGTTGAGGGACTTGAGCGTCATGGCCTCCATGCCCCGCACCATGCTGCTCATCACCTCCAGGCTGTGGCGCTTGTTCACCGTGCCGTGGTGCTTGGTGGACATGAGGGGCTCGCTCACCTCCTGCAGCGACTGGTGCACCACCGGGGCGCTGTCCTCCTGGAAGGTCTTCACAGACAGCTGCACCTTGCGGGTCACCAGGTCGGGGCTGCTGCCGCTGACGTACTTGTGGCGGTGACTGGCCAGGTCTGGGGTGCTGGTGGCGGGGCGGGGCCGTGGGTAGGGGGGCGGCGGTCTGAAGAGATAGTGTTTGAGCATGTGGGCTGTGTTGTGGCTGTGGGTGCCCTGGAGCTGCATGTTGGCCAGCTCCGGGGTGCTCACCGTGTGGGAGATGGCACTTGCCCCTGGCTTGCTGGGCACTGAGCTGTTCTTTGGGTTTATCTGGTCAGATGGACCCACCAGTTTGTTACTGTAGCCCCCCTGTGGCCCGTAAGGGACAGTGTAGGGGTGCCTCTCCCGCATCTCCGGCTGGCTGTACACCAGGTCCTCCGGCTGGTTATAGGCGTGGGTGTTGATGATGTTGAGATTTCGCAGGGACTGGCTCTGGCTGTCTGTGTGCATGAGCCCCCTCTTCATCTGGCGCATGACCGTGTCGTAGTCGGGGGTCGGCCGGTACGAAGGCACGATGATGGCGCTGTGCCGGTGGCTGGGGATGTAGTCGGCGCGCATGATGTCGCTGCCGGGGATGCTGAGGTTGGAAGAGACAGGAGACGCCTGCATGAAGCTCTGGGAGCAGTTCAGGGAGTTGATGCTGTGAACGCTACACACGCTGCCATTGGCGATGGTGCCGTTTAAGTAATTCAAGTCCAGGCTGTTGTGAGAGTTGCAATAGAAGGCATCTTCGTTCCCGTGGAAAATGCTGTCTACGAGAGGTCAAACAAAGGCACGTGAACCTTCACGCCATCCTGCTTCAATTAAATCCATCCTTACACTCACAGGGGTGACTTCACTGAAAGACGTCAGAAAGAGTGCAAAGCCATAGTCTCCACCCACATGTCCCCTAGAAACCTGAATGTTTCTTGGATGAGATGCCCGTTCTCACATACAAACTCCTCCCATGCCCTTTCTGTATCCCAATTCCGTACTCGTAAATTGGAAATAGTAGCAGGATTATTTTGAGGGTTAAAAGAGGTGATACATTGCAAGTGCGAGAAGAGTGCCGAAGGAGAGGAATTCCTCTATAAATGTTAGTTGTCATTACAATAATCATTGTATCGCAATGGTTTGTTCACACATTCCGCACAGGAGTTTAAAGAGAGGAATGTAACACATTTCCTTCCCAAGTGCTCGGAGAAAGGGGCTGGTGGGAGAGATGGGGCAACAGCTAATGTGCAGGGTGGACATCATTTGTGTACTTGTTCAGTTATTCTGGAGGCCTGTGTCCCCTGTCACCACGAAAGCCACGCTGACAGTTCCTGGCAGTGAGGGGGAAGGGTGCTCTGCTGGGCTTCGCTGACACCCTCTCTTCTCCAAGCCCACTTGCAAGAAGAAGGAGGGAAGAACCTTGCTCATGGCCTCTTCCCAACCCCCTTCGCAGCCAGTTCTCGGGACATTTTTCTCTCAGGGATAAACGATATCCTATGCTTCTCACAAACTGAAGCTGCTGCTTGGCTGCCATTCAGACAATGACAAGATTAAAAATGAAAGTGTCGCTGTCATCTAAAAAAATACAACAAAGTCCTCTTCCTGCTTACCCATAATCAACTGTTCGTCTTAAGGAGGGAAATGGCAAGCCAGAGTTACCTTGTGAAGTGTGTGTTTCCGAGTAGTGTTCGCCACACTGGACGTGCATGGGCGGCAGGATGTACGGCTGCTGCCGGGGCTGAAACAGAGAACACAGCACAGGCGGTGGGTCGCACGCAGCACTGACGGCCATCTGCTGCCCTGGACATCCAGCCAAGCGCAGGACCGTCCCGGCACGCACCCGCATCTGCAGGGCAGCGCACCCAAACGCTCCACCACCCACCCTGGACCCCAGCCCCCTCTTCTCATCCATGCCCAGCCCTCTGCACCTCATCACCAAGTCGGGACTGCAGAAACAAGACAGGAGAAATAAGGAGGCTGGCTCCAGGTGAGAAGGACAAAGACCCTACAATCAACATGGACACATCCATTTATAATCTATTGTCTAACATACTTGCAAAGCTCCCACTGCTTTTTTTATAGAACAAAAATGCATATATTAGTATGATACGTTAACAATGGCTAGCAAGTGCTGGATCCTTCAGAGATGTGTTCAGAGTGCAACCTAAGAACCCCACCATCTCTAAGAAACAAATTGCTTTTTTTTTTCCTAAGTACACAAGGCAACACTAATCTAAAACGGACAATGTCGTTGTTTTCTCAACCGTGTTTTTCAATTACAGTTCACATTCGATATTATTTTGTATTAGTTTCAGGTGCACAGCACAATGCTTAGACAATCATATCGGGAGCACTTTGTAAAGTATACGATTGCCTAACCACGGCCTTTTTAAAGGGAGTAACAGAAAACACGTATATTATTAAGTTCCATGTTAGAGTAATGAGAATAAGGGGGCGCCCTGTTTCACTCTGTTCAAAACTGGCTGCCTCCTGGAGCCACAGGCCCGTAACACCCTTGCAGCTGCACCTAGGACCCCAGTTCACAGCGCCCCATCACGCTCAAACAGGGCGGCTGTGTCAGGCTGGGCCCACTTGCAAATTTACATAAAAGTCACAAATGTAATTCACAACAATGAGCCCACAGTTCTCAAGACCGCATACTGGCCCTCCCATCCTAGGCTCAAATGTGAAAGGCGCTGCCTGCAGAGAATCCAGGTCAACCAACTACCCCTCCAGTGAGGAATCTTTTCCAAAAGGCTCTTAAAAATGGCCATTCAGATTCAATCTGAATAGCTTCCTGCTGCAGGGGAGGGCAGAACTTTCGAAGAACAAAACAATGCTTAGATAAGTTCGGTATTTGGTGAGCCAACAAAGGAAACGTGATTGGTCGCTAATGTGATCCTCAGCTACTCATTTAACCTCAGTAGGTCTCAGCGTCCTGTCAATCAAACCAAGCCTCCTCCCTCCCCTTCTTCAAACACGGTCCATTTTATTCATATGTTGGGGTTCTAGGGGAGGCTTTGTTTGCAGAACGAGTGTGGATGCTAAAACATTTTGAACGTTAAAGTTATAAACTACCAAACTGAATGACCTCTTATATTTCCATTTGATTATTTTAAAATTAGCCTTACAGATATTCACTGAAATGTGGCCGCTTTGGGGGAAAAACTGAGATGACACCAAAAAGCGAGCCAAAGCCAGCAGGGGTCACACTCTCTCCGCCTCTCTCAACAGAGGACGAGCGTTCCCTGAAGTTCTGGGAGAATAACTTGTCTGCTACAAATAAGGCTTCAGCATCAAAGGGAGAAAAAAACCAAACCAAACCAAAACAAAACGTAAGGGCAAGGGATCCAAAAATTTTTAAAATCTGGGAAGAAGAGACAAAGAATTGAAATTAATGTAAGAAAGTTCAGGGTACCAAAGAAAAGGCGTTATATCAGCTCTCTTAAAAATTTCCAAATCTCCTTTGGCAGGTTTTTGAGTTGCAATTTAGAAATATTTTTCCAATTCTTAGTAATACATAATTCAACTCAATTTTTCCAGGGTCAGACAACCAGTCTGAAGGATTAAAAAAAAAGGAAAATGATGGGGAGGGATGCATACAAGGGAAGGGAAATACAGACAATGGTGGCTCACTGCCTTCTCTCGCTCTCATTTAAAAAACAAACAAACAAACCAAAAAGGGACTGTTTATGAACTGGCATAAGTATACAGGCAAAGGACAATAATAAGTAATCCCCCTGACACCATTTAGGGATTACGTTATTTATTCCACCTTTTACATCTGCTAACATATTATTTTATTTCTTTCCAGACCTGCTAATACAACACCCAGTGGCATGCCACAGTATAGGCAGCAGAAGGGCAGGGAAAAGGGTAATCGGGCCTCCTGGTTATCAGCAAGGAAGCCAAAGGAAACGACGTTATCTGGTTTGACTCTCACTCAGTCCTAGGAACCCCTGGTGAAGTGGTTCAATCCCAAGAGAGACGCCATGAATCTGGCTTCCTGTAGACTGCCTTCCTGCAAATCCAAGAGGAAAGCCTCTAGTCTTCTCCAGATAATTAGAATGAAGATTAGATCATTCTAATCTTCACGAGAGGTTAGAGATTAGATCACAAGACAGACTGAAAACACTTTGCCTCCCACGGTGTTCCTTGGACAGAAAGGAAACCTTATCTCACTAATAAAAACACTGGAGTCTAAAGAAGGGGAAACAAGAATAATATTCACAAAGGAGAAGAGTAAAGACACCAGTGCCGTGAACAAAGCTCCTGCGCCTCCTGGAGAAGGGCTCCAAGTGACCCCCAGATCTCCAGAGCAAGTGCGCCTGTCAGATGCGTGTGAATAAATAATGCCAAGATTCACGGCATTCACATGGATGCTCAGGAGTTAGTACGTGATGATATAACTCTAGAACTCTAGGGGTTCACGTCTATGCATCCCCCCCACAAAAAATTACTCAAAACTCTCCTTTTAAAAGACAAGTTAAAAATACATAATTCTTGTATACCCTATATATATTATGTATTAAAATTTTCCATTTTATTTGTCTTTTAACTCAAAGAAACTATTCATCTAGAAAAATTGAAAGGTCACATGTTTAACTATGTACAAAAAATCATAACCTAAACTAATGAATTATGGCTTAAAACAAGTAGAAAACTTTAAAGAAAATCAATTCTTTAATACCTTTTTATTATATTACCTTTAAGGAATTCTCAGAATAAGACACAGCCTAAGACAAAACACATGTAGTGAAATCAGAGTTGTGTTTCCTTATTCACATGATGAGGAGAGCAGTTTAAATTTAAAAAAAAAGCTAATGTTAGGTAGAAAAGTGGATGCATTCAAATTTTGTTGCTCTTAAAATCAGGAAAAGTGCATTTAATCTTCCCCATTGAGTACTTGACCTGAGAACATCAACTAGGCTCCTTCGATTTCTGCTCATCTAAAAAGCGTTTTCTGATGGGTTTACTAAGCTCTGTCTATGGCAGTGAACACAGAAGAATCTGTGGCGCTTATCTCTGAAGGCGTGTCTACATGTTTCAACCAGAAAGTTTATTAAAACAACAAATGAAAACAAGTCCACAGAAACAGTACGTCGCAGGCTGCAGGAACACGGCCTCATCACCCTGGAATAAGACTTCCTCAAGGGGGAGAACCTCTCCCTGAGCCTCACTCAGAGAAGGGATGGGCGTGAGGGGCACAGTGGGACGGGACAGATATGCATCACACCTACTCTGCAGACTGAAGCCCTTCTGTGTTCTCACCTGATCTCACCTGGTCACGATGCCCTAGTCACCTCTCCTCTCAAATTAGGATTGAAAGGACACTCCATCCCAACGGATGGAATACTTGATTACCGACAGCTATATACATACCAGAGAGTTTCGGCTCCAGGTGGGCTGGCGTCGGATGGGTGGTGGAGAATTGGATTGTCTACATAAAAAGTTGAAAAATAGGAGTGGTTATTATTTACTAGACCTAAGACAGACAAGACGGTAAGACTGACAGTGAACCATAAACATTTCTGTGAGTAAAGCTAAGAACAATTCTGATTTCTCCTCTTATTCTTTTCTTTATTTTCAAAATGTTTGGAACATACGGTACTTCTACAAAAAGTTTGCAAAGTGATATTAGAAGGATGAAGCTTATTTCTAGAGAAGGATTATGAAGGAAACAAGAAAGACAAACATTCTACCATTATTACATGGATTTTTAAAAACTGTATTTTTGTACCTTTGTATATGTGTAAAAATCCTTTCATAATAAAAAAGAACAAAAATATTTTTAAGATACTGCCAAAATTAAACATTAAAAAATCTAAAATAAATTAAATATTTTGACGTATAAAGGTATTTTTAAATACTACATATTGCAAATATCCATCTGATCAAATCTTTTCCAGATTGAGACTCAACATGATTTTTTAAAAAATATAGAGTTAAAAATGAGTGGGGATTAAGAATATCATCAAATTCTCAAGAACTGAAATCAAAGGTGCCTTTGAGAAATAAGCCCCCCCAAACCCAGACATGTGCAGTGGGCCATCAAGCTAAAATTCTTCAATTTAAAGCATTCTCCTTATTTTGGTATTTCATCTTTCTTATCTTTTGGGTGATAAAAATATCTTTTTTTAGCAAAATGTTGGAAACTATAATATAGTGATACTGGATTTTTTCAAGTGGCCGAATACAATATTGTTAGACTTATTGATAAACATCCTTCCCTCTCTCCTCTACATTTTTTCTCCCCAAGTGAAGACACAGGGGAACCACCCGCTGGAGCAGATTCAGCAGGTGACGAGTAGTAACTCAGTGAGAGAAGGGAAAAAACCCAGGACAGTCCCGCGGGCGTCAGAGGGCGGAGCCCTGAGGAGAGGGAAGCCATCCGATGACGCTGGCTTCATCCAGCTCCAGAGGTGGTTCGGCCCCAATGGAGCCTGTGCTGAGACTCTGCAAGCGTTTGAAGAATTTACTGCATACATGGGGTATGTGTGTGCTTTCAAGAGTCCCAGTTTTTCTCAGGTAGGAAGTTGGGAACCTCCCACACCTGGTTAGAAGAAAGGAACAGCCATTGCAAGAGTAGAAAGGAAAAATATCATTTCCTGAGTTGTCAGTCTAACGTGTGATGCTTGCCGATACTTAAAGAAAACACCACACAAAACAGAAATAATCTGTAAATTTTATAGTTAATGCTCTTGCTGAGAAATGGTCAAACCAGAATTTTATTACAATAAAATTCATTTCTTCACATACTTTTTAATTCACCTTAAAGAAGCAGACTATAGAACTCTTGTTAATGGTAAAGACACCCCCTCATATGAAAGGCCACTGCAAATAGAAAGAACTGAAGGACACAGACAAAGGTGTGGTGACTGACGGGAAGGGGGTAGGCAGGGGTGGAGGAGGGTACAGGGGGACAAATGACGATGGGAAGAAAAAAAAAACAACTGCAAAGAAAGGACCGAGAGGGAGTCTGTCCAAAAGCAAGCAAGCCACGTGTGCTTGTGTGCCCACAAGGTAGCTCTGGCGACTTAATTTGCCACTTCCCAATCAGGGTTCTTCTGATGGACATTTGCAAACTCTGCTGGCAGATCTAACACTATGAAATGCGCCTCCGGCTCTGACAGCGGCCAATTGCCGGGACTGCTGTGAGAGAGCTTCCATCGCGAAGAGAAAAAAGTGTGCCAGCACCCGATGATGCACTTCTGAAATGCGCGCTCCGGCAGGACTGTGTTAGGACCGCACTCGCGCGCTCTTGGATGTGTCCACTGGGAGAGTGGAAAGGCAGTCCTTCCCTTGCATTTACATCCCCGAAGTTCTTTGAAACAAAATTAAACACGCCGGGCACCCAAACGGCCGACGCACTCGGCCAAGGAACACCTTTTGAAGGCAGTCAAGGCAAAGGCAACGATAGCGTGAGCCCCAGCACGCCGTATCCAAGGTCAGGTCACATTTAAGTTCCCTCATCAGACTCCCTTTATCATCCTGATTTCCAAATTAAATTTAAAACACACATGCGCGGACTTGGGACATCTATTAGTGTCTTCCAAGGCTTCCTCTAATTACCCTGGCCTCTCATTTACAGGGAGATGACATGACCCAGAAGCACACGCAGGGTTGCCCAACTGTGTGAGCGAAACGGGGCTGAGGATGACAGGAGCTTCTTCCCTTTCAAGCTGGCTCGTCGCTGTGGCACACGCTTCTGAACATCCTCCACGCCTGACACGAAGGGGCACCCTGGCAAATTGGGAACGGCTCAGTTCCTCCAAACTCATCGCAGAGGTTGGAAAGGCACTGATAGTAATAGTGGGCTGAGCCATCCAGGCAGTCGGGCATTCCAGTCAATTTGTGAATTATCTCCTCTCCCGGCATAGGCACTGACTGCGCCACCCAGGCCTCATCATTAAAGTGCTCTCACTCCTGCCCGGCTTCACCTTGTTCCTTCAGCTTCTACAAGGAGCCAGGGGAAAAGACTGCACGGAGAAAGTGATTGACAGCATCCCTCGAGCACATGAATCTAATCTGCCCAAACCACCCCTTGAGAAGACAGATGAAATGTTTACTTACTCAGTGCAGATTTTGTTTTGTTTGTAAAACTTGTGCCGTGTAGCAAACAACCGAGAAATATACTTGGCATTTTCAATATCATCCTGGGAAAAGAAGAGACAGAGAAAAAAATAAACATTTCTCTGGTTATTTATGCATTTGACGAGGATTCTTCTAAACAGGGACACATTCCTTTCCGTCACAAAATAACACCCTGAGCCACAAACCGATGTGCTGAAATTGAGTGGCAGGCAGGTATATGAGGCCCCTCAAAGGATGACGAGACCAGATTGTGTGCTAAAGAATCCTTTATGCCCATGGCATTGAGGTTGCGTTGATGGACGGGCAGGTCTTCCCACAATTCCAAACCAAGTGCTTTACAAATGAATGAATGAGTGAATGAATCCAGGGAGAGCACAGAATGAATGAATATCAGGCATCATTAAATGAGCGGCAGAGAAATGCATGAACAGCTTGGGCTCTCGAGGAAGCCCTCAACAGAAGGACAATGGCTTGTTTGAGTTCAGATGAGGTTTGGGCTACGAGGAGGGACAAAATCCAGGTCAGCCAGCAAAAGAAAATGCCATGTGATAGCCTCAGGGCTCACGTGATGAGGACTGCAACCAGAGCGCTGAGGAATGTGGCCAGCCAGGCAATGCGACCCATCACCAGTAAGGCAGGTGGAGGAACTCAGGTGCAAGAATCAGTACTCGGCTTGGAAAGGAGGCATGTTGAACCTGAAATCACTACCACCATCCTGAACAAGTCACGACAGCACTGGGCAAGTGCTGGAAGCTTCAGTGCAATAGAATTTTCTCTCAAGGTATGAAGAGCAAGGAAAGGATAGTATGAGTTGAGAAGTTCAAGAGCAAGCTGCCTGCCGGACCCTGCCTTTGTCCACATGGCTTACCGTGTGAAAAAGCACAGTCTCTTCTTTGTTGATGAGCTCCACCAGAATGGTCGACTTGTTATGAGTGATATTCCCCAAATCATTCCACCTGGTCAAAAGAAAAGCGACAAGTTTGCCCCCAAATGGTCCATGCATTCGTGAATCCACACAGGAGGGTCCCTGGCTACTGCTGAGTCTAATTTTATGTATGACCATTTAGCTGCATTTTTAAAAGCTGAATGTTCCTTCTCACAGGCTTACAAGAACAGAAAATGCGACATGCATCTATTTAAATAGCTAAAAATCCTATGTAAACTATATCTAGATACTGTTGTTGGTGAAGTATCATTTCCTTTCTGACTAGTAGGAGGAAAATTTGCAAGGCACTTCTGTTGCCTTGTTTTACACGTTTTCACAATGACGAAGTATTTCTGGTGATCCCGGCTTTCAATGATGGAGGAACACATTATTTGAAGTTCATATGTTCCCGGAATCTAGGCCGAAGAATGCACATAGAGTCTGTGTTGTAATGCACGTTACTGATTGCATCACCTACCGAAAATGCCTAGGAGGTGTTTAATGTGCCTACATTTTTGTGAACTCAACACACACATCCTTCTCCTTCCTCAAGGAGACCTTATCCTAAAAGGTGATACACAGAAATAACCACCAGACAAGGGGAAGGAGGCTACTGCTGCCCATGCTGCTTGGAGCCAACTTCTAACTGTCTCTCACTACTGCCTACCCTGCACTCTCAGCGCCAGCCTCTAATGCCTGCCCACTGACTTCGCCCCCTCATGCTTTACTCATTACACTTCCACCTCTGCCCAGGTGATCCCTTTACGACTCAGCTCAGGAGTCACCTTCCCTAGGAAGCCCTTCCTCATCCCCAACCACCCACGTGCCAGGAAGGAACCTGGTGTCCTCCTCTGTCAGTTACGACACTGCATGACAGTTGCTTACTTCTTGATTAGATCTCTAACAAGTCCAAACTAGGCTATAGGCCCCATGCACTGGGTAGAGATTCTGCTTTCTTCATTTCTGTATTCCAAGCACTGAGCCCCTGGCACACAGCACACACTAAATGTTTGCTGGAAGAATTAAACGTAATAATATTGCTTCCTATCTGTACAGAGTACAATTCTTTGTGGTTCTGAGGCAGGGAAGGCACCTACTTTGGAGATGAGGCAATTCAGGCACAAATGAGTACATGACTTAGCCACATCCACTCTGCCCAGCGGGGATGGATGACTTCTGTACCTGGGGCTTCCAGGTTTTCCTCCAGTCACCTTTCTGTGACACCAGCACCAACTGTGCTTAAGTACATCTGCCGGGGCCACACTGCCTACAGGTGCTCGGCACAGCTGTCTGCCAACTTGAAACCCCATCAGATCACATCTCCATGGCCCCATAGCCCCACGCTTCTCAGTGAAGGTCTCTAGAGAAAAAAGCCGTTTGGTTTCCCCTGGCTGCATGCCTTCAAGTCAATTGCCAAAACCCTGAATCTACCCCTCACTGCACCGTATGACTTCACCTAGTAGCATGGTTCCTATGACATCATAGTAGAGAAAAATCCCCACCTTGTAAGGGGTTTCATGAGAAGTACTAAAGGAAGAGGTTTGGAAGCAGTTTCTAAGGAAACTGAACAAATCCTGGGAGTGGCTTACAATCAGCAAACTTTCAAACTGCTATTTTCTTCTCCAAGGCACTGATTCAGCTATGGAGAAATCACCACCGCTATCTTGAAATCAGCCCTGGGCATGTACTGGAGAGCTATCGGTTCAACGGAATATTTATTCTCTCATGCCATGGAGAACTGTGTAGGGCCAAATGCCTGGAGAGCTTTAAATGGGCATAAAGTTTTACAGTTACAACTCTGTACATATTTCTATGTTTTACTCAATTAATCTGTACTTTCTTGTAGGTAAATGGAGTTGACAAAATATGTCCAAAAAGAAAGTTCATTCTGTAACCCCAAAGATCTCTCTCCCCACTCACGCTTCAATAATACCTCTGTTCAAAGGGTGAGAGAAAATCAAGGACAAAAATAATGGCAGGGTGGGGACCGGGGGTGTGGGGGGAGGCCAATCAGGAAGTTTTCGGTGGGAACAGTTTCTCAACGTGGCCAGCAGCAGCTGCTGACCCAGAGAGTACGTAGCTGGCCGAGGTTTACTTCCAGAAGGCGGACTGTGCTTTTTCTCTAAGACCTGTCTTTGATCTCCTGCCCAAACGCACAGCTCCACCCATCCGATGCACACACAGTAAAGCTGTTCTTCCAAAAACCACAGGCCCTAGTTCCTGGTAAATAAGAGCAAGCACGCACATTTGTTAGGTCATTGACACTACCTGGAATCTGTGGGTACAAATAGAAAGCAAGCCCACTGACCTGTAATCGAGGGGGCACTCGGGCATGCCCCTCATGTCAAATGGAAAAGAGCGTTAAAGGGTCAAAACAGTCCAGAGTCCTTTATAACAAATTGTTTGCTTTTTAAAAACACACTCACAAGGAATCCGAGTTTGTGAATATAAAGACTAGTTTGCATTCTCCTAACACCTGTGGTTAGGCAGAGGGTGCAGGACAAGCGGGGGAGAGGCCAGTTTGAATTTAATGACTGGTCATGGGTATCCCAGCAAAGGGAATCAGCGAGAGGTGACTGGAGAGCCTGTTTTCAACCAGGCTTGTATAACTTACTCCCCTTAGTCCCTGTTCTGGACAAAGCACTTTCTGGCATCAGGTGGGAAGCAGGCTTCCCCGCTCTCCCCGCACCACCAAAAACAGGCCCCCGGGGAAAGAGATGAATTTCTCCAAATCTGCTTACATCCCAGAGAGCTGACATTCACTGGGTTGAGAAAAGCTCAGCTCTGATCGATGGCCTGACTCAACTCATTTGTCCAACTCTGATGTTCAGTGGGTTTTTCTAGAGTCCCTCAAAGAGAAAAAAGGAGAAAAGGCAAGTAAGACTACCTGTGTATTACTGCTTGTCTTCCGATTCTGTTTCTCACGAAAATCCCCATAAAGAAAATGCCCAGGTGCACACCGTTTCCATGATTGTCCTGTACCAGATCAATAAAAGACAGTCGTGAGGATGCAGATCACTAGTGAGCATAAACGGGCTGGCAGCGCCCAGCACTCGGGCCGCCGCAACCCGTGGGGACCACGCCCCCTTTCTCGCCCACAGATGGAACCAGTCACAGGCAGCATCACAACACAAGGCATCCGGACCCTGAAGGGACGCACCTCACTGCACATCGTATGTATTATTTGTATATATTTTCCTTTTTCTCAATTTGTCACAACACATATTCTGTTTTACAGAATTTTAGGTTTTGAGATTTTTTTAGCACTTTAGAGTTTCCCTTTCCCAATCATCTACGGGTATCTCGTTTTATCTTAGTTTTTGTTTCTTAAATCAAAACTGTGCATGCACACAGCTTCATTATATATGCACATTACATACGTGCAATTATATACGCACATAGTTTGAAGAACTGTGTTTCCTTAGAGCTTGTTTAAAACAAGTCGACAGCAGACCTGGGCCCACAATTTCCTTTTCCTTGAAGGCACCACCTTCCATGCTTAAAGCCCTACTGTGTGCCTTAGATGAACCGCCTAAGCTTGGCTTTCTACTTTAGAACCTCATGGCTATCAGTTCTGGGGAATTTTCTTGAATTACCACCTCCGGTCCCCTCTGTTTACTCCTTTGAAAGCTCCTGTGATTCAGAGGTCGGACATCCCAGCTGTCCCTCTAGTTTTGTCTTCTGCCTCCCACGTGCCGTTAGTTTTTTCGGTGAGATTTTCTTAATTTTATCTTCTAACCTATTCTGTTCTCCATTTTTGATATCATACTTTTCATTTCTGAGAGTTCCCTTTTCTGAATGTTCCTTTTTAAAAGGGATCTATTCCCTCAAGGAGGTTGCATATACTTCTCTCTGAGGCTCACAGGATGGTGGTATTCTGGGCAGGGGGTCCTCCACGCTGTAGGGTCTCTGTCTTCCAGGCTTTGCTCTCATTGCATTGGCCTCTGTCATTCCTACCAGGGCACCATGGGGGGTGCTGCTTGGCTGCCTATTCACAGTCCAGAGGGGGGTGCTAAACACCGACTGAGAGCTTTGTGAACACGGGCGGGGCCTGTGCACTGCAGACCTCACCGCCTACGACCTGCTGGGCCAGGTACTGGGGAGACTCAGGTGTCTAATCTTCAGTAGGTGCTTCCAACCTCCTGCCTGGGAAAACACAGCCTGGCCACCCATGTTCTTGACAGCAGAATGGGAATGAGGCTCCACATCCAGTGAATGAACTGTCACTCAGCCCCCTGCGTTGGCTGAGGGGACATGCTCTTTGTGCAGAGAGGGGAAGGCCACGCACGTCTAGGCCCAGGATGGAAAGAAGGGCCCCAACGTTCCTCAGAATTCTGATCCCTTTTAAGACACCAAGACAACACGCAGTGCCCCCTCTCAGGGATCTCTTCTCCACCCACCTGCCAAAGCTAACGTTAGAATAGGAGCTTTCCAGCAGGGTGGACGAAGGTGAGACTCTGCTGCCGGCCAGAGCAGCAAGGCTTAGGAGAGAAAGAGCCGGGAAGGAAAGAGGGTGCCTTGTCGCTACGAGCAGTGAAGAGGTGAGTTGCATGGCAGAAAAATGTGCATGGGAAAGGAAGAGAGGTGGAGTGGAGATGGGAAGAGAAAGGAACATTCTGTGGAAAGGCTTCCCCGGGCGCTCTGCCAGCAGATCGGGGCAGAAGTCCGGTGGTGATGGGGGCACAGGAAGGAGCGGATCACCAGGGCGGGGCAGCGGAAAAATCTCAGGACGGATGCCCGAGGCACTGCACGGGTTCAAAGTGAAGGGCAGGACGTGCAGTTTAGCCCGGGGGCAAGGCTCCGGACCGTGTCTGACTCGTTCCGCAGCACCCTCCCCAAGTCCAGGAGCGCTGACCGTACAGGTGTGTGTGGGCGAGGGGGGCACACCTGCCGGGAAATGGACTGGTACTCCTCCACCCTTGAGAACTTTTGAGGCCCCACTCAGGGTAAAGCCCCCGCTCTGTGGAAGTGTTCCTCCCCAGGACAAATCCACCACATCGTGGTTCTGCACTGTACTTGGTCAGGAAGGACCCGAACTTGCCCCCTTTCCTGTCTGCTCTCCCACCACCTCAGTGCCAACCCACCCCGCACCCTGGGGCTGCCAGGAATGCTGTGGTCTGTCGGTGGTCACCTTAGTCACGAACAGATATGTGCAGGGAAAGAAACAAAGAACAAAAAGAAGCCCAGCTAACTTACGCCCACGCACAGTGAGTCAGAAATGCCTGTCTGCCCACGCAGGGTAAGGTATAGGGTCCTCCTTGGCCTCTTCCCACTAAAGAACACGCTAGAAAGTGCATCAGAACCGAGCACAGTGGATTTCAACACTATCTCCACTGCCCCTACTTCCCACGATTCACAAGGACGAGAAACAAAACAAGCAAATGACCACCACAACAAAACCCCGACTCCCAGGGACTGGGAGTCAGTTTCCTAGAAGTGGAGAAGAGTTTACTCTGTTTGCATGACCCAAAGTATTGTGACGATGCACGGGCCGCTGAAACGCCAGTGGGATGCAGATGGCTTCCAAGGCATTATTGCTAGGAAAATGGACCACAGCCCTCTGAAGGGCAGCTGTTAGAGAAGCAAAAGAAAATGAAACAAATCTGGAAAAGGGCCAGTTCCCCGAGCTGTGGCCACCCTGCTCTGTGCTACTTGATGGGCACGGGAAGCTCCCAGTCAGGCAAATTGCAAATGCGCGATGGAGAGGGAGCAGAACACTCAGAAAACAGCCAGCGGAGCCAGTCTGCAGTGCAAGGTCTGCACTGAGATGGCAGGTGGCTCCCAAATTGCCAAAATGTGCCAGCTGCTTTAGGTTTCTGATAAAAATGCTGTCCTCTGTAAAGCTGGTCCTCAACAGAGAGAGGAAAATGAGTTTGCATTATGGGCTCAGCTCTATAAATGCCCATGCACTGTGACCCCCCAACCACACCAACTTCAGGAGCGGGGTTTGGGGCAAAGGAAGTGACGTGCTGTGACAGTTTCCTGGGCATAGTTTCCAGAAAACACCGGAGGGGCTGGAAACCCACAGGACGGGAGAAATAAAGCATGGTGGCATAAGAAAACATTTCATTCTCCATCAGACACCGTCTGTGTCGGCTTCAAGAACAGAAGAGGCGGCAGGTACAGGGAAGAGACTTAGGGGTTAAGGTCTTCACTAAGGCACACGTGACCGGGCTCCTTGTCCCCGTGATGAGACTGGACGTGTGCCTATCCCTTTCCTGCACAGGATGGGCTGGTGCTTGGTACTCACTCGGGCCAGCTGCCTACAGAGACATTCTTCTGCTGAAGTCGTGGAAAACTTCAAAATCTCTTAGTTACAACAAAAATGTTTGCTTTACTAGAGTAAACTGGACTTGCCAACTAATCCCCCGTGGCAGTGAGAAAGCCAAGCCAGTGTGGCCTGCTGCTATCAGCCCTGGTTTTCCGAACGCCCTTCCCAGGAGGCTGAAGCAAGGCCAGGCCCGGGGAGGCTACCTTCACGGGGAAGATTTCCTGTCCAAATCCATCCAAACGCTCCACTTCGTTGATGTACATCAGCTCAGCTTCGGCTGGCGGGATTCCACTGAAATCAAAAGGCAGCAAAGGAGGAAGCAGTTAAGGGCAAACCAAGTCAGGGGGAGAGCCCACCCTGTGCGTGGCGCATTCCAGAGCTGCGGTTTGCGGGCAGCCCTGGGAAAAGCAATCATCACCCAGCTGTGAGGGCCCCGTGCATCACTAAGTAATTGATGAACAGTAGCCCTTTGCTCACCAGGGAGTAATAAGAGGAAGGCGAAGCATTTAATGAAGAGCCACAGCCCTTTAAGGCCTAAATAATTATTCCAGACATCCCTAAGAATAATGCAGCCTGCTTTTAAAGAATAGTTTTTCCCCTACCTGGGGGGTAAAAAATCACAGCCACTAAAAAGAAAAAAAGGAAAAAAACAAGACAAAGTTGATGAGGATGATATTCTGGGAGCCGAGTGGCTGAGATGGGAGATGTCAGGAGCACTGCGTGGGTCTTCTGAGGTCGGGAGGGAAGGGTGTTTGTGTCCCTGCGCCCAAGCGCTTGGTGCCTCCTTCAGTTACAGTTGCTCACCCCCTTGACCCCTGTGATGTTCACTGTCCCACCCAAAGTAGCTCTTTTACGACTTCACTCCAAACGCGTGCAGCCCCAGGCTTCCCGGGCCCAACAACAGATTTTTAGGAAGGTCACAGAGAAAAATTCCCCTGGCCACCACCTCCACATGTGTGTGGGCTCTCTCTCTGGTATGGAAGGAAAAAAAAGGCAGGACGGGGGGCGGTCAGTAAAGGGAAGAAAAGGGAAAAAAGAAACAGAAAGAGGAGGGAGGACAAATAGCACAAAGCTACACACACCTCTCACAGCAGAGCTGAAGGGCAGGCTGGGAGAAATGAAACTGTGTTGACTCAGGCCCAGGACTGGGGTAGGGGCCAAGAGCCTCCTGCCTCAGATAGGACAGAGCTTCAGCTTCCTGCGGGCCCCCAGACCCTACCCTCCGCCCGTCTTACCTGTGGGCTTTGTGCTCTTGCGCGACCTTCTGCGTCAGCTCCTCCAGGACAGCCTCTTCCAGGGCCAAATCCTGTCACAGCAGGAAGCAGGTGAGGCCTTCGCCCGGGTGCTGGCTCCTCCACACCGCCCCCCACCTCCCCCACCTCCCCTGCACCCCTTCGAGTGGACGGTTGTGGTTTTTAGGACTGGGGGCTTAGGTTCCCTTTTCTAATGAGGCTCTCCACCGTGGCTCGGACGACTTCAAGGCATTTTGGGGGGCTGCCACCCAAAGTCTTCAGGGTCCAGGAATAGCTTTTATTTATTCACTTGGTTCTTCCCTATCTGCCTGCCTCTCAGACTCAACTTTATTAACAACGCTTTCTGAGCACTGACGTGTTTTGAACGGTCAGGGACAAGGCAGATGCGTTCCCAAACCATCATCCCTTCAGAGGCTGAGCCTAGGAAGGGACGGACTGTGCCTGGCCATCTCGTCCCCCGCCACAACACCGGCAAACCCAGTCAGAGCCACCTGCCCGCTCAATGCCGGCATGACGGGGCCTTGGGAGCCGAGGGGGCCAGGACGGCTGACATGCGTCATGGCAGCTCTGTAAGGTAGCAGCTGCGTGGCTGACCCGCTGGTGTCCCCACCACCTGAGTCTGAGGCCCCTGGGACCAGGGGCGTGGCAGCTCCCATAGGATCAGCGCCAATGGCACACACGTCTCCCCAACACCCCTTCAGAGATGGAAGGAGTCTTCACAGGGCTGGTAAAATAAACATTTACCAGCAAAGCTTGGTCAGGGTTGCAGAGATAGAGTCTGGAGGAACAAATCCCAGACAAGGAGACCAGAGCAACCGGTTCCGGAGACACTGACAGACAGTGACTCTAGAGCCGGTGGGGGCCCCCGGGGAGGCTCAAGCCACAGGGCCAGCTGCCGCCACCCGGCCCGGCAGGGAGGAGGCCGCAGGTGTGCGCCGCTTTCCCCTGAGCTCCAGGAGGGGGGGTGTCAGAGGGGGTCCTGCACTGTGCGTGTGTCCTAGGGAGGCGGCTCTTCCAGGTGGTGCGCAGGCGATGTCTAGAATGCCGCGTGCCCTGGATTCCACAATGCCGCTCACGTGAAGATCACATGCAGTTTAACAACGTCTCATCAGTGAAGCACTACCCTCCAAAAGGCATACCTCGGGACTACAGGCAATATCCTCTCTCAAGTTGCAAAAAGGAAAAGGAATTATCTTTTTTTTAGAGCTGAAAAATGGGAGCACAACCATATACTGGGAATTCTTCAGCTCTGCAGATGGTCATGAGAAACCTTAGAGAAGATGGAGGGAATTACTAGCAGGTCTTACTTCTCACGTGTTAACTGATTAGTTTGTGGTTTCCTGTTTGGCCATCCATTGAAATGAGTCAAGGCCATGATAGGAACTAAGCTCAACATTTTCAGTTGTATGTTGTGGAATAATAACAAAGATACCACATGGCTTAGATTCAGCTGTGTGTGTTTGTGCATCTAGGCACTGAGTAGCAGTGACAACACAATACTGATTTTGAAAAGCGAATAAAAGGCATGTGGCAATAGAATAAGATAAAAAAAGGTTAAGTGAAGATCAAAAACTGCTCCTTTAAACCTCTGCTTCCTGCTGGGAAAGCAGAACACGCCCACAGGTGCCCCTCCGCTGCCGCTGTCATTCAGCAGCCTCACTCCGGGCCCGGGGCCTCCCGGAGGCACCTGCCCCACCACGGCCTGCCAGTGGCCCCGCACCAATGAAAAACGGCCGCGTGCATGCCCGTGCACAGCCGCACACCTGTGCGGCGCCCTGTGTTCTTAACTTTGCTCTTTTCTCTGCTGCAGAAATGCCATTTGACAAATTCGGTTAGTTTTTGAGATCAAACACAGCCATTCATCCCATCTTCCCTCCCCCTCCAAAGGAATGCATTCTTCTCTTTGAAAGGTCTTCTGGACCCAAGCAGGAAGTTTACGACCTGCCATGGTTCCCCGCTGCCTACTCAACCAGGTCAACACCTGGCCTGGCGCTCAGAGCACTCTGCTGTGACCCAGCCTTCCCTGCCCCTCTGTCAAGGGCTCGAGGGCTCAGGCAAACCCCTCTTCCTGAGACAGACTGCTTTTCCATCTCCCCGCACACTCGTGCTGACCCCTCCTGGGAGCACCACCCTGACCCATGACATCACCTCGTATGAAATGTCACCCCACACTTTGGGATCCTTCTCAGCTACCATTCCTGGGGCAGGGCTTCCCTATTCCCCCTGCCGGGTCCACCTCTTCCACTGAGTCTCTCTTGGAGCCCTGACCTAGTCTGCCTGCCTAGGTCCTCCGTACAGAGTTATTTCACACTCATCATACACTCCCTGCCCACGTCTCCCTCCCTCCCCTGGATTCCAGGCACCCAAGGTCATCTGTTCTTCTCCATATCATTTTTGGGACCCTGTCGCAGAGCGTTTACACAATGGAGCTTATAAAAACTTTCAATATACAGTAAGTGATCCATAAATGTGTACTAAACTGAACTCAATATGCCACATGTAAGTTTCATTATTGTCAAACGGGAGTTTTTAATCATGCAAAGCTGCTTGACAGTCATGTGCACCATCTGCCTGGCCTCTGCCTGCTTCCATTTCGAGATGCATACACTATTGTAACCGGGAAAGCACACTCTTCAGCATCCCTGTCCCTGCACAATGGAGGCGGGATAACAATGCTAGAGTAATAATGACAATGACGATGATGATGATGACGATGACGACAACTAAATAAACTCACTGAGAGTCTGCCACGTACCAACTTAAGTACTTCACGGGCATGCTCTCCTTTCATCCTCAATCAAAGTAGGCTTGTTATCCTCATTTTTAGGTGAGAAAGTGGTTAAATAACTGGCCCAAGTTCACACAGCCAGTAAGGGGCGGAGACAGGACATGGGCACAGAATGCTTGAGCCTTGTCCTCAGGACCTCCTGACCACAGGCCACGACGTGTCCAGGATGGGGGGGGTGTGGAAGCCACGTGGCCGATGGCAACGGCCTAGGAACGCACGCGATTCAGGCGTGCACCCTGATGTCGGCTTCTGCTCAGCACTGTGGGCGCTGCCCCACAGGACTGCCTGCGACGCTGCAAACTGTCTGTATCCGAGCTTTCCAGCACAGCAGCCACAAGTAGCTTGCGCTATTGAGCACTTCAAATGTAGCTGATGCAACGAAGAAACTGAGTTTTACATTTTACTTAAACTTTAAATGATTTAAATTTGAGCATAAGCAGCCTCGTGTCACTAGCAGCTACTACCCTGAAGAGGAAAGTTTTATATGCGAGAATGACATGGATATCTGTCTGTCTGTGGCGGGATTTAACAAGGCCTACGCTGCTTAAATGTCTGATTTGCTCAGAGCTCAGTGGAGTTAGTCTCACTCTGAAAAAGTATGATACACAAAATAACTCCTTTAGTGTCTCGTACTTTAACCTGTCAAGGCATTTCACCACCTACAAACTCATAAATATCACCCAAGCCTGATCTCTGCTTAAAGGCTGCATGATAAAGATAGTTAATGAGAACCCTGGCTGGGTAGATCAGTAGGTTAGAGTGTTGTCCTGATACACCGAGGTTGCAAGTTTGATCCCCAGTTAGGGCACATACAAGAATCAACCAATGACTGCATAAATAAGAAGAATAACACATTATTGTTTCTCTCTCACCCTCTCTCTCTTTCTCCTGCCCTCTTCTTCTCTCTCTTAAATCAGTAAATTTAAAAACATTTTTTTTAGCCCTGGCTGGTGTGGCTCAGTGGACTGAGTGCAGGCCTGCGAACCAAAAGGTCACCAGTTCGATTCCCAGTCAGGGCACATGCCTAGGTTGTGGGCCAGGTCCCTAGTAGGGGCACGTGAGAAGCAACAATACATTGATGCTTTTCTCCCTCTCTTTCTCCCTCCTTTCCGTTCTCTCTAAAATAAATAAATAAAATCTATAAAAAAATTTTAAAGACCATTAATGAGAGAAAGGTAAAATTGTGAAAAATTACCAACCTAATTTATTGTCTCCATTTGAGACCAAAAAAAAATAAGCACATGGTCTGAAATTCTAAGGTATGAGCTTCACACTTTCCTCCTTCCAATCACCCTAAAAAATATCCTGACTTTTCAGGGGCGCTTTGGAGAGGTTAGATATGTTGATTCAAGCATGTGGACACTAAATCCCGTGAAGAATTTCTGTGCTAAGTAACAGGGTTTGAATTGAAGTTGATGTAATTGGTGGAATAATAAAGAATAAAAGAGAACAGACCCAGAACATAAAACTGCTGTCTTCTTAGAGGGAAAAAGCGTAAGGGAGGAGCTGTTCGTGCAAAGTTAGACATCGTGCAGCATTTCCTAACCTGTAAGAATAAGGTCGGCCGTCAACCAACTTAAATCTATCCCGTGCACTGATTCTGGGTAGCAAGGGCATCCTCACTTCTCCTAGTCTCTCAAAACCTCAGGTGTCACCACACACCCGACTCTCTCCCAGATCCACAGCCAATCAGCCACCAGGCTCTGCCCATCTTACTTCCCAAACATCTCTCGCTTTGCTCTCTCATTTTTATCTTCACTGCTAATATGCAACTGGCATCTCTGACCCAGAGGACCACAAAGATTCTCATCCGACCTGCTCCCACAAATGGTCTCAATGCTCTACTTCGGCAGCATTCCAAGTGAGGGGTCTACAACCCCCTGGACAGAGCCCATGCGGTCTTACTCCCCAGCTGTTCAGTCTCATCAGCTGCCTTCAGGCCCCCTCTAGCACGCCTGAGTGACCGACCGGCCGGCGGGCGGACTTTTACGCAGTGCTGCAAATGGAGGCCACCTTGCCTCCGCTCCTTGCCTCTGTCTCCATCGTTCCTTGTTCCCTCCCTGCCGGCAGTCCTGCCCATCCTGTTACTCACACACTAACCTTTAATCCTTCCATAATCCCCCAAAGACATGTAACCCTCTCCCTACATAAAATCCTGATGTGCTTTAATACACTTGACCTTGTGTTTGGATTTTGCAAACTTCCGACTGACTCAACCACTCTTTGTCTGCCTGAGAACAAGCACTGTTTCTTGTATAACTTCATCCCCCGGGGGTTAGTTACCCAGGTCAGAGCTTCGGGCCAAGCAGTTGATCAAAAAATATGTGTTGAGTGATTACGATTTCCAAAATAAGAGCCAGAAATGTCGGCCTGGGCAGAGCTCTCCCCTAACAGGGCTTTTCAGCTGTTTTAATCCTTCTTTGTCAAAACTCTTCTCATTTACCCCAAAGCTACCAAAAAACAAACAATCAAAAACTCCCCAGGGATTAAAGCCTCGCCTCTTCCCTAGCTTAACGCAGGAATGGACGTTTTACTTCGTGGCTCATTCAACAGACTGTGATGAGCACAGGCCAAGTGGCGGACAGCAGTGGGCAAGGCAGAGAGGGCCCCGGCTTGAGGAACACGAAGCTGACATTCTAGCTGCTGAGACACACAGAGAGGCTGAGAGAACCAGTTCGGCTCCTGGGCGCTCTCAAGCACACACAGCGAAGGTGGTGATTTGCAAGACAGCGTTGGTGGTGGGGGTGCATCACATAGGTGGTCAAGGGGAAAAATGTGCCAAGGAGGTGGCCTTTCAATCAAGACCCAAATGACAAGTCACAGGAAGGTCTAGGGCGGAGCGTTCCACACAGAGGGAACCACGGACACCAGCTCTGGTGTCAGGAAGGAAGACAGCTGCGGCACTGGAGAGTAGTGGTGGTGGCACTGGTGGTGTCATGGGTGGGGCGGCGGCGCTGGGGCACAGGCAGAGAAGTGACTTGAACAGGTGGGAAAAGACAGCTTTACTTTTCCAGTGTTTTACAAAATTTGTCCGTACTTTATAAATTCATGCACTTTCCTCCCCAGGAAATAAGTGTGTGTAAAATACTCTGAGATTTCAAAAAAAATTTTTTTGACACTCAAAGAAGGTAGAAAATTAAGTAAGAAAAAGGAAATTATACTTACCATAGGAAACAACACATATTCTCTGAGGAAATCTTGAGAATCGAACTGATTATAGTCTCCAAAATCAGCTGAAAAGCAGAGAAGAGGGAAGGGATAAAAATTTCATTTTCTCTATGAAACTAAAGACGGAATGAAATCGGGTGGACTTATCGTCACATTTACCCCTCGCACGGCACCCCACTTCTGCGCAATGGTGAACCGACACAGTGCCACGGTGTGTTAGATACTGTTACCGTGTTTACTTAGCAATGCTGTCAACAGCAGCACTGGAGCGCCGCTACTCGATTTTCTAGGAAGAATGGGGGAATTTGAAAGTGATTTCTAAGCTATTTTTAACATTTAAACCAAACCTATATTTATCTTCCTATTAAATACACATCAGCACAGGTCTTACAAATGCCTGCCAAGGGGACTTTCTAACTCGAGGCTCATTTAGAGAACTGCGGAGCCAAACCCATCTGTGTCTCCTCATATATGTGCAGCTGGAAATTCCCGCTGTGAATCACCCTTGGCGAGCAGCCCTGCAAAGCTGTACCCCTCCCACCGAACATCTTCACGGGGTGCCAGACGCCGAAAATTCTGTGTCATCCCATTCCCACCTCACTGTGCTGCGTCTGAGCCCATGCAAAAGGAACACGGTGAGCCCCTATCACAGGTCTACACATCGCTTGCTTCTGATTCCCCTTGCTCTCAAAAAAAAAAAAAACCCATGGCAGCATGAAACTTCGTTGCTTGTCAAAAAATTAGCATCACGTAGAAATTGGTTCAGGTATCTTGAAGGTAACAAGAGATAAAGAATCCAGCAGAGGGACGTTGCCGAGAAGGCGGGGATGCACGTAACTAACTACCAACCCAGGGAGGCCTTCGGGAAGGCGAAGGTCCCACGCTCTGCCGGTTTTCGGGAACGGTCATCAGTTACCATATTTCATCACGAAGTCTATCTGTGCTGATGTGTCTTCCTAACTGCCCAGTGAGGGTCTCCGGAAAAGTGTTTTACAGATATTACAGCTAGAGCAGGTTTCAGTAGGCCGAAGCGCCAGCTTCAAGGACCCAGTGAGAAGGGAATCGAGAGTAAGTTCACCAACTTCCTTCAGCCTGAAGCTATCACCAGGGTCTCCCCCGGTCCAGAGTGCCGGCAACAAGCCCGATGGCTGAAGAGTAAGAGCAGAGAAAGGGAGTGAATAACATGAATGGAGTAGAAAGCTTTTTGAAAGGAGAAAGACCCAATCTGAAGATGAGGGGCATACTGGGCCTTCTCTCTCTTCTTCCTGTCTGTTTCCATTATTTTAATGATTTTTCCGTTGTAACCACGGACTGTTCCGTCACACTGTTCCGGGCCCTGCTCCTTCCCTTTCCGGTCTTTAAGTGGACAGATGGGATACAATGCGTTACTGTCCTTCCATCCACAGGGTAACAATGGAAGCCAACTAGGAGTTACACAGCCAACAAAAATCACGAAACTGCTAATACCCTGGAATGAAAGAGGTCAAGGGAAGGCTTCCTCTATAAACATTTCAGAACCCAGAAGACTCAACTGCAGTTCAGAGTTTGGGATGGGAAGTTCAGTTCACAGCTTCTACAATGACAGCCCACACAGCAAGCACTCAGCAGCTGACAGGCTTACACTGGGAAGTTAACTGATTTTAAAGAAAATAATGGCTGAAAGGAAAACACGTTTGTCTTTAAGAATTATATTTGTATCTTGTTTTGAAAAGGACTAAAAACGATTAAGCTATCGCTCAATAAAGATTAATGTAGAGATATATGTAAAATTAAGCAGCATTATGTTATACAAATATATGTAAAAATATGTGTAACAATTTAGAGAAGATAAAAAAGTTGCCCGACAAGCCTAAGCAGGATAGATCGAAAGATAAATTTGGTCGAATGTTTGTTGCTTCACATTACAACTGGGCACTTTAAATTTCTCTCTGTAACTGTGTAAGAATAAGTGACGCTCTGATGTTGAAAGCTAACGCACTTGAAACTGATGTGAAAGCCACACGGTCACAGCATTGAGCCACAAGATATGACCCCATTGGGCAGTGGAATAATTCTGAGAAAATGTCCCACAGACCCTGAAATGTAGCTTTAATTAAAGGCAGGATGGAAGCTGCTATTTTTTTTTCCAATAAAACGAAGGTCACACAAGCACAAGCAATTTGCAAACAGCTTTGGGGAAGATAATCCACCCCTCTGCCACAAAATCACTTACTCTGCACTCCCAGCGTCGGCTATCTAGAAACGAAAAGGGAGGTACTGAGGGATCTTTAAGTCCATTGCCCTTCTCCCTCCGCGAGGCTGGCAACATCGCAATCGCGTGGAAAACGGGAACTCACACTCCGGCCTCCTGCCGGGCCCTACCCCCCCCCCGCCCCCCCGTCTCTTACCCTGCACGGCGAGGCCGGCCAGCCGAATCACCTGGTCCAGTGGACACCGCAACCGCCCTTCCAGCACGTCCTTTTTGACTTGCAGGTAATACTGATACCTGGTTCGTGGGAAGAGAGGAACAGATAACCTTAAAAAAACACATACTTGGAATACATTCCCACCACATCAATGTCCCTGGATGTCCAACCTTGTGTCCACAGCAGGACACACAGGTGATGTTGACAAAGGTCGGCTCTCTGAAAGATGGAAAGTGACCTCTGCCCGTGTTTGCCTTCCTTTGATGTGGCAGGTGCCACATCCCGTTCATTCTGGGTTGGAGTGCGTTCGCATCACATCATTTCTCCGCGGGCCGGCAGGGTGACCCGCTGATAAGGACCAGCCCTTCCTAACCGAGGCCGAGCATGAAAATGCTCTTCCGCACCCGGGTGCCCGCAGGGACACAGCTGCTAGAGCCAGGTTCAGCACGGGCTTCCTGGGAAAACTCGGGACACGCACCATTTTTTGAACTCAGAAGTTTGGAAGGGCAGATCACGGATAGGCCACCTCTTTGGAATTCTGCTCAAGGACGGGACGCAATTCTCCGAAGCCAGGCCCGCCCTGCGTGTCTGTGACTCATAAAAATCGCATCGAACGCACCCCCGCGCCTTCCAGCCCCAAGAATGTTCTCCAGCCTGCGAACTGCAGACGGACAGAGTGTGTCCGCACACAGCAGCCGACCTCAGACCAGACGGCTGGTCTCGGCAGCGAACACAGGCTATTGTTGCCTTGCCAACCTCACTGCACTCTCAGACTGACCTAAACACTTAGAAATCCGGTCACCCCACACCTTTACTTCCTGGGACTCGACGTCCTTCGACCACACTCTTAACACACGGTCACCTCTACAAGAATCAGACTCGCCCAGCATTCATTCCTGCAAACACGAACGACCTTTGAACTCCTGGGAGCCCTAACTCTCTTCTTCTTAACTTTGGCATGTCGGTTAAGGGAAGTCTGGAGTGACCCCGGGTCCAGTTCCTTTGGAGAGAGGCAATCAGCAATGACAGTGAACCACTGCTGGCCCCAGCCTGACACAGACATCCTCACACCGGGATCTAACGCCCGGTGGAGGGAATAGCCAGGCTGGCCGCCCACTCCAGTGTCATCTCTGCTTCTTCTCTCCTCCGAGTCCACTGGACACGACACAGACAACCGTGTCTGTCTCTGGTGGGAAAAAAAGACTTTCCTCGAAACAGAAGAACCAACTCCGGGAGTCAGTTAAAAGTCCTTCCTAGTCAAACTTCACGTATAATAGAAACACAGCCTATCGTTCCTGCTCCCATCCTACCTCTCAACTAAAACACGGGTAATGGTTTTACAGGGTCCGCTATTCAATGCACGCTCTTACTTCCAGTCTGCATCACTGACGAGGAGATAACCTACTGACGAAGCACTGCCCGTGTGTCTGCGTCAGCGAGAAGCCGGGGCACCTCCTGGAAAGGTCTGAGATGGGCTCCGCCTCGCACAAAGGCTCACCGTCTCCTGCCCACTGCTGTCCCGTTTCTGTCCCTAGAGCACTAGGAAGGGGTCAGTTAGTCAGAACCGATGAGTACAATATTTTAAAAGGTATTATCGTGGCATTATCTGCCACAGCTCGAGACTTTTTTACGTGTCACCTTGGAGATGAAAATGATCAGCTGATACCTTTGCGGAATAGATTGTCCACTAACTCATCCACGAGATCCAGCAAAACAAGAATTCTAGTGTCCTCACCGTGCTGGTCCCAACTTCACTCTGCAACTATCACGTCTGGGAGGCACGGGCAAGCTCTGCCACCGACCCATCCCACCGTCCTAGGCAACAGCAAACGCCCACCCACCAGCAAGGCGCACACCAGGCTTGCTCCTGGTCACTCGGGGTAGGTGTGGGTTTGTACTGGGATGCAAAGCCGAGGCGCTGATGCAGCGCTTCTTCCTGGGAGCCTTCCAGCCTGCGAGAATCTGAGCAGCGCTCAGGGCCCGGCGCCGTGACCGCGGGAGCTCGGGGACAGCGCTCCCCGAGAATGCAGGCACGGGGGGGGGGGCGTGAACCTGGACCACTTGGAAACTATGCGCTACGTTTTTGCTCAAAAGGCACTTTTACAAAAATATAATAATTCTATCCTAGATGAAGACTAAATTAGAGAATATGAGCTGTGATTCTATTTCCAGCATGCTTGGGGTTTGCTTATTTTTGATTAGCAATTTGATTCCGACGGCGGTAAAATGTAAGAGTGAATCCTATTTTGGAAACATGCAATTTCATGGAAGTATACTCCACCCTGTCACAGCTCTGGGTGGAGGGGAAAAGCAAAAAAAAAAAACCCCGATGCTCATGCCAGGAAAGTATTTGCCAACTTTCCGAAGGGATCCTTTTTGAAAAAACTCAAGTTCACAAGGCAAACTTTTAAATATTTTTCACGTTCAAAGACCTGGAAATCATCTGACTGCTGAGGTCCGATGAGCGGTCTGAGGCTAGGATTCTGTTCTCCCTCGAAGAAGTGGGGAGCACAATGACGCCTATTGAATAGGGGTCAAATGTCTATTTTCAAAGTTTCTTGTTTTGTTTTGAATCTGCCGGGAAGATCAAATTTGCGCACTAAACGCGGGTTTCTGTGGGTGAAACGGAAAAGCCTCCCGGTGGTTTGTGGCACCGAGCATTCCAGTTGGAGCCCGACAGTCACTGGAAGTGACACCGGTCTCTGGAAGTCTGTCCTCTCTGGAACATTTCTATGTAATCTCAAGAAAATAACTGACTTGTCTGTGTTCCTTCCTCCCCCTGCGATTTCTGAAAAGGAAGTTTCAAAAAGCGCCATGTCTGGTCGAGGCAACAGAGCTTACCATCTCACAGGGGTGTCAGAGAACCCTCTCAAAATTCCTCTCCATAACATCTCCCTCGACACTTACAGATGAACTGCTAAGATCCGCAATCTCTCTCTTTAATTCGCATGTGAGAGACTTCTAGGCAACCATGGTTTACTTGCAAGTCCGTCACTACTTCTCGGATTTAGAAATTCCACGTGGTGGGTGTCCTGAAAGGTATGACCTGTGTGACCCCAGAACCCCCAATAGGATGCCAGAAACCCAGAGGCCAAGTGCATGTCACCTTTAAAATATGTCTCCCACCCCTCCCACGAGCGAAATCCTCATTCCAAGCCCAGTTTGGCGGACGTGCCTCACACAGGGAACAGCCAGGAAAAGACCAAAGCCTTAAGATCTGACTTTGGTCCTGCTTCTACTCAAGGACTCAACATCCTGAGCACAAATCACAGGGCCGTGGAGATAGGAGGGCGGGAGGCAGTTACTGCTGTTCCAAAAGTTTGCTGCTGCTCCCCAGGGGGCCTCCCTTCCGGAGGGCCACACACCTGCCACCTCATTAACTCTGCCTAGCTCTGGGGTCCACGCCATGGGGGCGGAAGTGACCTGTGCCTCTCCTGGGCCGAGGCCCTCTGATCGAGTGTGTGTCTGGTTCCCATCTCCACCCCCCAGCCCCACCCTCAGCCCTGCAGTGTCCAGGCAGGGGCTTCAGCTCCGGGAGCCTGGGCCCCGGGGGGGCAGAGGGCAGGGCACACAGCAGACACACAAGGTGCGCAAGAAACGAGCCTTTGTCTTTGAGGACAACAGAGGGCTGGGGGTCCTCGATTGTTGTGGTGTGAGCTGGCCTCACTTATTTCATAAGAGAAGGATTTCAAAAAGTCTAACCCTTTTGTTTTTAGAGAAGGAAACTGTGCTGAGGGAGAATGACTTGCCCAAGGTCACTGTGCTCCCCCAAGGCAGGGACAGACAGACCAGAGCTCGGAGCTCCTTTTAATGCTCACCCCCCACAAGTCCACAATGAGGGTGGGATTTGATTCCCAGCCATCACAGGCAAGCCGTGAGTTCCACCGAGGTCTAAACATAAAGACAGGAATAAAAACACCACTGCCTGGTGATTTTTATGGCCCAGTGCTTCCAAGGAAGGACTCCAGTAACCAAGCTGCCCTTGCTCCCCCATCGGGTGGTCTGGGCCACAGCACGTGAGGCAAACACTGACCCGAGAAGTTGTTCTGTATGAACCCAGTACAGGACATGTTTCATAAATTGGCCCATGGATTATTCAGAGTTGTTTTCTCTCCCAGTGAGAGCCTCTGGGATATTTTACTTTTCTCCTCCGGCGGCAGGGGAAGGGAAAGGAGACTGCGTGAGCTGTGCCTCTAACTACTTGTTTACAACTTTATAAGATGCACAGAGGGATTAGGTCAAATCTGGAGACTGGGGTCTGTGATTGGAGGCCCCTGGCCAGGAGAGGCCATGCCCACAGGCAGCACCAACCGGGCCCCTTAAGTGTATGGACTTCCAAAGGCAGATTTTAAAAAATAAACAGCAGTCCGTCGGTGTCACACACAGTCTTTACGGACTCTGGCTTTGAGTAAAGACTTCTATACCACGGATCGGAAGAAAGTTATCCAGACGTCATTCTCTTGCCACCATAGCACCACCTGACGAAGGGATACGATCAGCACACATCACCCACGCACTGCTCTGCCGACCCCACTGCCCCAGGAGAGCTGGGATGGAAAGCCAATGCTTCTTCATAGTTAAAAGCAGGCCAGTGAAAGTACAGTGTAAGCTGCAACTTCGAACCTGCAGTATCGTGGTTATTATCACACAGCTCGGTTGGCCTTGCCCTCCTCTGGAGGTCAAGGTCAGCCAAACCGGCTTATCTCTTCCCATGTGCATGGTCACTAGGGATGTGACAATTTAGAGACAGGGGGCATACCAGTATCACCCTTAGATTCCTCAGTCTGTGAAGTCTTTCCCTACAAGTCCTGGGGTGGGAGGGGGAGGGAGAGGGAGAGATGGTTTTGACATTGTCATTAAGACTTTAAAAGCCCCTTCCTTACTAGAAAACTTCCTCCACAATCAGCAGCATCAGAAGAATCTTGCTAGGATGTACTGGCACCTAGATTCCCTCCCCACTGCCTCGGCCAGTGCAGAACGCACCAAAGCGCTCACCTTGCTTTCTGGCTGATATTATATGGGGCGGGGGAGGCAAATGAATATGAAAAAATGAAACATGTAATGTTTCTCTGCTATAAAA